CACATAATCCCTTTTTCACTTTAAATTTCTCTATTTATCTGTGTCTTTAAATTATAATACTTTTTTCTATTTCAATTTTTCTTTAATATCTCTGTATATTACTAATGCTTATTATGCAATGTCATGTTTTCCTAAATAGCATGATATTTGACTATAAGATTAAATCACTCTGAATGAGGATTTTGGTTTGATGTCATGAAGTGACAATCATTACCAGATAAGTGGAATATTTAAATATTTCATCCTTAAAGACCCTACTTTAAAACATTATTTACAAGGCTTTTATGAGAACACATTCGTTTTCCAAATGTTAAAGTTTTGTGGAAATAATCCCCTTTCACCGGGTTTCTCTTGTCACAAGGATTTTACGTTTGAATGTTCCTTTCCTGTATGTTTATAGTGATATGGATATAATCAAGTTTCACTAGCTTTTTCATTTTTTTCTCTGGGATTTTCGCATCACAAAGTTTCCTGTGTGTGTGATAATTTCCCTGACTTTGGATTCTTTCGAGGCCAGGACTTTTCAGCATCTGTTGCTTTCTTTCCCTTCGACTTTGATTGTGTTTTTTCTTCTTCTTCCTATTAAACATTAATAAATTACACACTTTAATTTGCTAAGAAAGAAAGAACAATTTACATAATGGATTTTGGGAATAAATGATTTACTGAACATGTGAAATTCAACAATGTCAGAGGAAACATAGTTAACATGCTTGTAAGGGTGTGACTGAGTGACTGTGGGGGGATATGTGAGTACTGGAAGTACAGTGTAATCCTAGATTTAACCAGCCTTTATTTTGCACTGGCCCGATTAAATTAAACTACATGTACTTTCATTTTACATGTATTGGAACATGAGGGGTTGGGGGTATTATTGAAGCAAATAAATTATTCAAGAGACAGAGATTCCAAAAAACATGTACCTTGTCAACTAAGTTAAATCTTTTCTTGATTCTTTCCTTTATCAATAGTCCTTTGATCAAAAGCTTCCAGTTTCCTATTACCCTCTTCTCTTTTTTCTGGATTAAGAAATAATTACCGTAATAAGTATATATTATAATTTACCTTAAAAAAAAGGTAATAAAAAATTGTAAGACTTCTCAAAAAATGCTACTGAAACAAGATAGATTATACAGTAGTTAGATAAGAATTAATAAACTTGATAACAATACTCAATTAATAATTTGAAGATAATTAATGAAAGACTAGATCTTGCAAATGAAAATGAAATTAAACCAAATCTTTCTTAACTGATTCTGAAGCCATATCTCTAATGTTTCACATGTACATAATGAATAAGTACTAAATAATTCAAACCATAAAATTAGCCTTGTACAGAATTAGTGAAAAAAAGGTATTTTCACATTTTTTTCTTCTAATAGTATTCTAGACTTTTAAGTACATGTACTGACTTTAAGTTACTTTGGATTCTAGAAATTGTCATTTACCTCTGCCTCTTTTTCTTTCTGAATTTCCTGTTCTTCATCCCAAGCTGCCAGTAGAACATCTTTATGTTCCTCACACACAATGAATCCATCTAATCTGTAATAAAAATCACAATTTATTACAACAAACACAAAGTGTTCACTTACAATCAATGCATTGTTAATGAGACCACATCCATCAAAGAGAAAGACACATATGTAACTATCACACAGTTTGATAATATGAATCCATCTAACAAAGTAAATCGATCAATTAAAATTCGCCAAGTATAGGAAATGTAAATCTACATTTATCAAGTTAATTTTACTTTTTTAATTCTTCAGAATATCAGACATGTATACTTGCACTGTGTATTAAATAACACATTCAAACAAGTGCAAAGAACAAAAGGACTGGGGGTCACAAGGAGGCATTTATTATGGGGGGGCATATTTCTGTAAGGTACTGTAAACCAATTTTTATTCGTGATGATTTTATGTCGAGATTTACTGGTGGTAAACTAATTCGCCACAATTATTTTTGCAATCAAACCTTTTTTATTTGTTGTTATTAACAATGGGACTTGAAGGACCGTTTCTTGGTGAAAAATATTTGTGATGAAGAGGCTCTCGCGAACCAGATACTTACACAGGATGTGAGAATCCACAGTGAGAGTCCCAGCCCACCATAGCAGGAACACAATCTATGTTTAACTTCTTAGCTACCTTGTTTAAACCTGGGACTGAAAAAATAATGATTTTATCATTGGAATTTTTTTAAAAACTTTAATGGTATATGAATACATTAATACTGAAATATTAATGAGTGACTATTCTTTTTTCTAAATAATTTACTAACTTTTGTGATTTTCTTCATTATCTGATTACTTAAATTATCCTGTGAATATATATAATTTTTTTTCTAATTATTAATTATATGTAAATCCAACTGAATTTAAAATTGAAAGATTTTCTCATATTAAATCATTCTTTTTTACTTTAAATATATACACTGAACTTAAAGTAATTTTGAAGATTTGTATACATACTTTTGAGATGAACTGTCCCTGCTGGTAACATTGTAGGTTTGAACATTTCCACATTCCCATATGCATTTCTGGGGACTTTTCCCTGTGTGTTTTAATAAATTAATAATGAAAAAGCAACTCTCCACAGAAATTTAAAAACAATATATTTTTTCACACTTAAAATCATATATGTGTGTCATACATTGTTTATCATAATTACAGAGAGGTCCAATTTTTAAAAAAAAAATTTCTTAATTTATAACATTTGTTATTAACTCCTTGGTGTAAAAATCAATTAAATTTTGTTACAAGTCAAAATTTTCCATCTATTGCAAATTCACTAGAATATTTTGTCTGCACACCAAATGCAAAAATCTTACGTCCACAGCTGGAGGCGGTATATAGACTTCTGTCTGCCATAATCCAAACACTTCTAGGTCAAGGGCATCAGGGTCAAGTTTAGGCTTATTCTGTAAATGATCACAAAATGCATTGTAAGACTTTTGTTGTGTAAAAATAAAAAAGAAATTATATAACAACTGAAAATCCATAAAAATGTGAACAGTGCTCATGACAAAATGTGTACAACATTGTGATTGGTTCAGCAAAATGACAGAATAATGCCTGAGAGACTGGATGAATACCTCAATAATTTTTTTCTCTATTAAATTGATAAATAAATCTGTACACAATTCATGTTATTTTGTAAGTTGTTTTTTTTTTCAAATAATGATTCAATCAATCAAATTTTCTGGCACTGCTGCAAAAACAGGTTCCTTTGAGAAAACAAATTATTATATTCAAATGCTCTAATATACATATGTCAACCTCTTGTCTCTAATGTAATGAATAACATTTTTCAGGCTGTTCAGTTTATACACTAAATTCATTACATACCCATTTTGGTCTTGATTTAACCATTTTGTATGCTTCTTCTCCAATCTGAAATAGCATAAAGATTTTGTAAAGTGTTTTTCAATTGACAAAATAATTAACCCTCTGATTGTTATGTACTGTAAATTCCTTATCTTACGCGAGTACTTATTATCGCGAAATAGCCCTTTCATGTCAAACTGCGAGAATGATTATTCGCGGAAGAACGATTGATCAGGAGAATTTACATGAGATTTAGTACCATAAAAATAAAAGCGAGTAATTTAATTTCGCGTTTACTGCTTTTCGCGAAATAACGCGATAATAAATTCCTCGCTAATAATTAGGAATTTACAGTATAAAATTGATGAGTACTTACTCTCACAGCTCTGCCCTCTTTCAGCCAGGTTTCTCTGGAGTGTAACTGTAAATATCAAAAACAAAATTTACGTGTCAAAAATGATTGCCTGAAGTAAATCTTCAAATCTTGCCAGTATTATCTGAATATTTACTACAGAATTATTTGAAAATTTGCAAATCATAATTATATGTATACAACTACAAAACATGAAATCCACACACCGGCTTGACAGAACCTCAACCAGTTCCCACATTTACTGTCAAAATTATAGATATTTGAACTGGATCAATATGGCGCTAAATACTTTTTTTTTAATAAATGAACTGAAGCCATTAAATTAATATATATCATATAACTATAGAAATCATAACATATTATTGCCAATTAAATTTAATGATTTTGTCAGCTCCGCTAAACAATATTGGTACCCTACCTGATGTACACACTCTCTGGCATAAACTGGTTCCCCTCTGATGTAACCTAGTGGTGCTGACGACTCGGGGTAGATAGCCTCAAACTTCAACAAATGTCTCCGAAGGGCATATCTATCATGAACACATTGACTTCAATATCTAATTCCCATTAATTACAGAACCATGTTTTGACTTACCTTCTCTTTTTCAAGTTTAAAACAAGAATTGTAATATGTGCATGTGCTTTACATTTTATTTTACGACTTAAACAAAATTAGATATAAAGCTAGATGCTCATGGAATTAACTTTGAGAAATTAAAACCCTGCTTACAGAGGATGGCTCTTATAAGCTGAAATATTTGTGGGTAGTGGCCTCTTCATTAAGTTGGCTAAAAAACAATAAAGAAAACACCTAGTTATTAATCATCAATATTTAATCCTGATATTTTCAGACTCCAGATTGAATTCTGAATTCTAGTTTCTACACTAAATTTATTATATAATAAATATATCTAAATTAATATATCTAAATAAACTGCTGCGGCCATATATAATATATTACACCTGTTCTTTAATAAAGCAAATTTTGTCAAAATTTAAAACTTTCCACATTGTTGCAAATGGTATCTAATCCACAAGCTCCCTAAAACTGGGTGGTAATAGAATTGATGCAAATCACCCATTAATGGTTATTGATGATATTTTCAACCCCTTCTCATATACAACTTCCAAAACAATTCATTCACTTATTTGCCTAAGTCTTCATCATTGAATTCTTTTTTACCTTTTATCTCCTCATCTTCAGCCCTGTCTTCCTCACATTTATACACACTCAATGTCTCATCCCACCACTCTGGATCCACCCGTAGTTTTCTGGTCTCTGTCATCCAGTTAGAAGCATACCTGGCTGTCACATCTTTCCACGTTCCATCTGAAGTAAATTTTATGTTACTCATAAATTTAATTGACACAAAGCAAAGAACAATGTCAGCCAACGTAATTATATTCTTAAAGTGTATTGTATAAAAAGGTTATTTTTGCCCTTTCACACTTTGCAAAATTTTTGCCCTCCTCCCTTTTAAATTTATCCAGACACAACTGTTTTAAAAAGATTATGTCATATCTCTTGAATCTGCCCTGTTTTTCTTTTTACAAATGTCCACTTCCAATGAGGGCTATAGGAGCAAAAATAAAACTGGGCAAAAATTTCCCTGCATACAGTAATGTATGCAATCTGTATGGTCTTAATTAAGCTATACTTCATTAAGTAAACTGTACTATATTAAAAAATAATTTGTAATTAACTTAAAATACACAAAAAACAGAAAGAATAATACATGGCTATTGGATGAAAAGCTTAAAATGATTGTTCATCTTAATTTAAACCAAGCATGCTGCACTAATTTTTATTAATCTGACCTTCATTGTAAGCCATGACATAGTGGACAGGCTGGGTGGCTGCACTCTCTATACGGTAAGGACGATTAATGTGTCCCCTCAGACAATCTATACCTGAAACAGAGGGATCAAGCACATTTTTGTAATGGAAATGAGACTTTCTAAATGCTTGACAAAATTTCAATTTTAAAATAATTTTTTTTGAAAGAAAATACGTTCATGCTTGAAAAAATTCTACCTACAAATGAAGAACATTTTAATATATATCAAATTATAACAAGACATTTCATATACACCAAAATAACAAATTTTCTTCACTATCTTTAAGTCATATAGAGAATTTCTCACTTACACATCCAGGAATTCTCAGGTTCCACATAAACCTCTACCCATTCGTCACAACCTACAAAATCATGCAGTTAATTTATCTAAAGTCAAACAAACCAACAATTAAACTTGCCATCAAATAGTATTGATCAATATTTTCAATAAAATTAATCACTTTCTTCTTCCATAAATTACTTCTAACTGGGATAAAATTCTTTAAATCACGATTTCTAGTTTCAGCCAAAGAGACATATAAAGAGTCCATTAGTCTCCGTAAAATTAAAAAGGAACAGCATCATTGCAAGCCACAGGTACTTGTGTCCATTCTATTTCAACAAAATGGGAATAAAGAAAAGAATGGGCACAAATCCTGTGGCTTGCGATCAAATGCGATGTCGAAAGGAAGATCTGCTCCATACCTTGTTTGGACACCTGGTCCTCACCATCCGAGTCTGAAGATAAGACTTTTTTGTTCTTCTTCTTCCCTGATGATGATTTTCTGACTGGAGACCTGAATGTTTTTGTTTCTTCCTCAAAATCGGAATCTCTGTCTAACCTGCTTAATGTCAAATAAAACAACAAAAATTCAGAAATATGTACACCTCTACGTGTATCTTCATAAGAATATGACTATACAGATTTATAAACTGCTTTTTTTTTACTTCAAATATATTTTCACTCTGTCCAAAATATTTTACAATCTGAAATATGTCTTCAGTGTACAGAAACTATTATTCAAACTTTTATTACTGATTAGGATTGAAATTCATTTCATCTAGCAGCTGTTGTGAGAAAATTGGAATGAAATCAGGAGCTATTACAATAAAATCATGTAATATCATCTCAAAAAGAGATTCTATTTTACCATTGCCTTTAAGATTTCTAAATCAAACAACAACAAAAAATATTTTAAGACAACTTTACCTCTCCAAAGATTTGTCAGAACTGCTCATGCTATCTGAACTCCTCGACTTTTTCCCTTGATGTTCTTTGTCCTTTTCAGGCTCAAAATCATCTCCTGAGTCATCAATATCACTGTTGTCATGGTAACTGTTCGGCCTCACTTTGGAGTCCCGCTCCCTAAGACTCTTGTTTTTGATTTTTTGAGTTTTTGACACAGAGCTTTGACCTTTAGATTTCCCAGCAGCACTTTGTTTCTTTTTATCCTTGCTTTTCTTCTCTGACTTGGTTTTACTTTCTTTTTCTTTGACTTTACTCTCTGCCTTACTCTTTTCAGTGGGGTTTTTCTTGGAGTTTTCCTTGATGGGTTTCTGTATTGCAGCTGGGTTTCCTTTTATTTTGATTTTCTTCACATCATCTTCCTGTTAAAGAAATTAAGTACAAAACAGTAACAGTGAACTGAGATCAACATGCATATAATTGGCAACTGGTCATTAGTTATATTTGAGTACTGCCATTACTACAAGAATTTTTTTTTAATTACCTTATATTTATCATTTTTATTTAATTGTGTTTTCTTTTTATCATCCTATGGTTTTCTATGCTTTTGATCAAGTGTGGTGATGCACTTCTCAATGTCAAACCTAATCACTAGTCATGTTACATTATACATCTATAATATAGAATTGTAATCAATATTATCATATTGTAATAATTTGTTCATGCACCCCGTGGGCCCTTGATTGGTGAATAAACATATACATATATAATTCAACTTCTTTTGATATGAACAAAATCAGAATACCAAATCAAGTTCATAATCAACGAACGTGTACATCGATTTGATAATTCATTCTTTTAAGTCAAAGCCATAATCATGTGTAATGAAAGAGATTTTTGTAGAAATAAAGCTCACCTGTTTTGTATTTTTAAGAGGTAGGGGCTGTAGAGATGTAACCAGTCTGGCATTAATACCTATACATCTCAACATCACTAGGTAGAACTGTTCAAAATAGGACATACATGAATCAACTTGAGTCGTTGCATTCTGATGCACATTTGATTCATACCTGTTTCAAGTAACTCTAAATTCCACTTTTCATGTCTCTGGTAAATTATACAAGTACAGATGCAGAATTTACAAATTTTTACATTCATATATCATTTTGCTTAAAAATTAAACATTTCATTTCAATGGCAATTTCTACCATAATATTGTTGTGTATCTGAGTATGTTGAATATTGTATACTGTTGACTAAGTACTATCAATGCTTACTAAAACAAACTCCTGACGACTGGCCACTGTTTTGTTCTCCATTCTTCTTACCAGAGTTTCAGGCTAGACACAAAACATAGAATATATTGATATCAAATCATATTCATGAAACAAAGAAAAAAATAAATTTAATTTTTTTCTTTGTTACATGAATATGATTTGAAATATGTTGTAGAATTTTTCTGTTTATTAATTTACAATTTATACATGTTCTAAATCTAATTCGTAAAATCAAATTCAAATTAATCAAGAAATTTCATAAAAAAAATTAAAGAAAACTGGATTTTTTTTTTTTTTTAAATGTTAATTATATTGTATCATAGCCAATTCATGTATGCTATTTGACTGAACACATGCATTTACTTAAAGATCAACTGAATACAAAAAATATACCAAATATATCAAAATGAACACATACCAGATTTGATTTCTCATTATCACCAATGCTAGGATCAATACTAATTGTTCCTTTGTACCAATTTACAAATCTTGTATGAGTGGATACTTCATATTTCTCTGATGGGAGGGAGGAGAACTCATGGGGCAGGAGGGACAATGCCACACCCCTCAGGACCAAGTTATTACACACCTGGTTCAGGTACCGACCCGTAGACAGCAAACACATCAGATGTACCTGTAATGAAGTCCAAAAAAATCAAACATATCCTTTGTTTTTATCAAGAAAAATCTTTAGGAGAAATCAATCCAGAGTTGTCTTCCCCGACTCAAACTCAAATCTTTCAATGTCTTAAGTCGTATGACAAAATTTGACACATGCAGCAAACAAATAGCAGATAACGCATTGTACTTAAAAACAGGAAGCAGATAAATTGATTAGACTTAGAAACAAGTTTTTTTTTATCAATATACTGTATGTGTACTTAAAATAGAAAGCTTCATATTTTAGCGGCTTTGGCGAAGAATACAAGAATACAGCAAAGAAATCATTTATAAATAGAATATATGGCATGAACATGTGTAGCGCTAATTCATGATTACACCACCAACTCCGAATCCCATTGATCGCGCTAAATTTTGAATATGCTAAATTGTGTACACGTACAGTATTTAGAGCGCACTACCACAGTTGCCACTGAAGAGCTAACCTTGTGAATATCCTCCCTTAGTTCTTTGTTAAACCTGTTGATTTGTCTTTGGACGTAGGCTTTCCAATCAAATTCCTTCTTCTTCCTGATTGGGATATTTGAAAACAAAATTCTTTCTTTAAAATGGCAAACAACATATTTTATCTTCAATTACTAATTTATATCACACTGTCTAAAAATTTCTAGATTAAGCCTTTATCAAGGTTGCATAAATTCAAAGCTACATGTAAATAAACAGATGATTTACAAAGGAGTAATCAATATGATATAATTTCACCTTTTTTTGAGGAAGTTAGGGGCCTCTAAAATCACTTCCACTGGTTCTTTGGGAATCTGAGACTTCAGAGGGCTGCCTTCAACATCTAAAAATAAATCATGTATATATCATGTATCTTATTATCATCATTAGTCTTGTAATTTTCATACTGAATTTATTAATGCACTTGTGTAAAATACTTATGACAGAAGTAAAAATTCATCATTTTCAGTTTTATTTTTCTTATAAACTTTTATCATTTCTTTGACAAATAACACAATGCTGTCTATATTAAAGAAAATCGAGGTTTTGCCACTTGCAGATTAAACCATATCGATGCATGGCTACAACATTTCTAAGAATATTAATCTGTTAATCTTTTTCACCTTTGACCTCCTCCCAGTCAGACTCCTCCTCGCTGTCCCCCTCACTCCCCCCGTCACTGTCCTGACCCCCGACACACATCCCTGAGGGCCCCGCCTTCTCACCGACACCCTCCATGTGCAGTAACACTGACATTACATCAGAATGGTCAATGGGCTTCTTGGGCTTGTCTGAGGGTCCTTTAGAATGAACACTTTCTGGTGGGCAAGAAATATCACTAGAATTATGAGATTCATGTGTGGATTTCTCTACTAATTTTCCTGAGTTTTTCCGTTTTGATGAGGAATTTTTGTTAACATTAGTTTTACTATTCTTTTTTACGTCTTTTTTGTCTTTAGTTTCTTTCTTTGTTTCTTGTCCTTTACTATTGAGCTGCTTTTTATCTCCAACTTTCGCTTCTCTTTTCCTCCTTCCACCTGCTTTTATAGGAGCTTTACTCTTTGATACTGAATTAAGCAAACTCTTTTTATCAACATCTTCATTTGTTTCATGGACTTCCTCTTCGCTGGAGGACTTCAATTTTTTTGTCACTGGTTCAAACTCATCATCAGAATCACTTGATGACATGACACCAACCTCATCATTTTCCTCACCACAAGTTTTTTCAACATTCTCACTACAAAGTCTGCTTTCCAACTTGATATCAAGATTCTCGGGTGCCTCTGTTTTTAGCTTAATAGGAACATCTTCATCTTTCACCTCACTTTTCACCATTGTGCTGCCTTTTGTTTTACCTCTCCCTGCAGATCGTTTAGACTTCTGCCTACATGAATCACTCAGATTATTTACACTCTGAACATTTCTAGTTCTAGTTTCTGTTTCATCACCTCCGTCACCTGAAACCTGTTTCTGCTTTCGTCCACTAGTCTTATTTCCATTCTTTGTACCATCATCATGCAGTGTTGTTGAACCTATTTGGGATGCATGGCCTCTAAGTCTTTTACTTTTAGTCCTGCTGGGTTTACCATCTAAAGTGTTCGGTGTCTTCTTTCTTGATTTCCCTGCACCCTTGTCAGATTCTTCAGAGTGATCCACTGCAGCCCTCTTTCTTGATTTTCTCGCAACCAGCTGATCACAACCGTTTGACATTTTTATTGAGTTAAAATCATAGTCCATATTTCTTGGGCGGTTGTCTGACTTTACTGTAGAAGTCATTTCAACATGACTAATTCTATTGCCACCAGCACCAATCTTTGATTCTGCATTTGCTTTTAACTTTCTTTGATCTCTCCTTCTGACTGTTGTGCTTTTTGCGACCGCATTGTCAGTTTCTTGATGAGTGCGTTTCCGTGATGGCATGGTGAAATTAGGAATCCTGAAAAATTCACAAGGATTGAATATAACATTGGAATGAGAATTTTTTTAAGCAACACCCTACTGCTGTAGGCGGGTTAAAATTGTGCAGATCATGCAAGTATATCACAGTATCGGTTTACATATATATGTGCGTTACATCACAGGGACTTGCTCCCGGAGTGTAATAATTATTTATTAAAAAAAATCATATAAGTTTAGTTTTATTATTACGGTATATGATTTTTTAAATAAATAATTATTACACGCCGGGAGCAAGTCCCTGTGGTTACATAACTAACAAATCTAATGAATATGGCAATATTATGGATTGGTGCACTAATTCGTGCATATTCATAGAACATTTTATACACAGTAAATATAATTTTAAAATGCAATTGTGGTTTAATACTCACTGAAAACAGTTTCACGTGTTTGTGTTTATTTGGTTTTCGGTTATGCAACCTTTTCCCCCCTTTTTTCAGACAAGTCGTACCATCTATATTTCGTATTTTTCTTGAACTTCGCACCGAGGAAAATATTAGAACTTACACTGACCTTATTATATTAGTTTATTTTAAACCCATTCATTCCTTTTTTATTGAGGAATATTAATCTGGATTTTCTCTTGAGCCATTTTTTAGAATTCTCTGGTATAGAGAAAAAAAAGGGGGGGGGGTCTGAAAAGATTGTATAATCATGTTGATTAATGGTCAGTCCAGCGTAGCTGCAGATCTGTAGCAATGTGGTTTTATACAGGGCATTATAGGCCAATTTGTCTTTGACCATAACGCTACAGATCGCATAATGCAAAAAAGAGCAATTTACGGCGCAATATTTTTTGCGCACTTTTGGGGAGAATTTTGCTCCCCTTTCCAGCATCGGTTAATTAACTACCTTTCACTCCCTAATTCTAGACACATTCTGTAGCCAATTTGTATATTTTATCCACCTCCCGACCATTAATAGTTGTCTCTACAGGCAATAAACTCGCTTGAAGTGATTTTTCAGCAATCTAACAAATAATTTTAATCAAGCGAGATTCTCACTTGTAGAAACAACTATAAACGGTTGAGAGATGGATAAAATAGGCAGATTAGTTAAATAATGTGCCTAGAATTAGGTAGTGAAAGGTAGTTAATTGACCGGTGCTGGAAAGGGGAGAAATTCTCCCCAAAAGTGCGCAAAATATATTGCGCCGCAAATTGCAGCTTTTTTGCATAACGGGAGATCTGTAGCGTTAGATCTATATATTTGGTCAGAGACTAGAATACAAAACCATAACGCGACAGATCTGCAGCGTAGAATTTTCATCAGAAGTCTCACTGTCCTCTTGTACCCTTTCTCGGATTATTTCACCAACCCACCCTCCCAAAAAAGTTCAGTGCTTTCAAATATTAGATTAAAATATCGGTTAGCAAATATCGATCGATTTCAAAGTTTTTGCAAGAAGTATAAAATTTTGTTTTGATTTTAAATATTTTTTTCTGATTGACTCTCCAGTCTGATTAAAATCAGATCTTTGTTACGCTTCGAAATGCTGTACATCGACATAAGAATTTTGGAGCGTAACAAAGATCTGATTTTAATCAGATTGATTATAATATTGACTCCGAAGCTACATGTAAATTGGAAATAATTCTTTCACATAAAAAGACAAATTATACGTCTTGAATACCGGGTTTTCCAGTCACGGGCCTATCCTTTCCTTTCAGAGCAAGGCACAATTGATGGGTTTAAAAATCCATTCCATACTGGCAGGAAGTAGGTAGTCATGAATCCCACACCGCCTCCTTGATAAAAAAAAAAAATCCTGAACCCACCCATGAGTTCTAGCAACAGTTAAGCTAAATTTTGTGTTTAAAAAAGAGGATACATATACTTTTATTAATTTACCTTTGGCAAATGAGTTCATGAAAAACACACCCTTTTCCTTCACTAAAATCCCTGTATCTTTAATTTCATTTTTTAAAAATATATTGGAGTTATTCAAATATTGCTTTTTTGATGCAGCTTTGTCATCTTTCGTATATTTTGTTTCTGGAGAATTAAGGAGAGAGTAACACCAGTATCTTTCAAATCCATCTGAAGCAATTAGAAATAAAATTCTTTGATTTTATCACTCAATAACATTTTTTATGTTACCTGTAGTTTCTGGAAAAAGAATCGACATGGCAAAGTAATACCCCCCTTTTTTTACTGACACGAGTATGCTCTGATTAAAAAAAAATAAATACTTAAAAAGAAAATTGTCAAATCTCAAAAATCCTATATCGTAGACACAGGTACCTGTGTTGAATAAAAAAATTATTCAGAAACAATATGCCTATCGTGAGGGTGTTACTGTAGGGTATAGCTTTTTTCGTAATGAATGCAATTCATGCATTATCACTGCACATTCCTTTATTCTTCTATACTGCAAAAAAAAAAAGGGGGGGCTTTCAGTGAACATTTTCAATAGTCCGATATAATAAAAAGTTTTGTTTGTAAAACGTCCCTGATTTTTTTTTCTTTTTAAGGGATGGGAGGGGGGGGGGGCGAAAGAAAAAAACAAAACGAAAAGAATGAGCGTGAAATGGATATACATCGCAAATACTCACGATGTTTTTAATTTTGTTATGTTCGCGATTTATCATTTTTCTGCGAATTTTTATCCATCGTGAATGTTTTTACTAGTTTTTAGAAACGTTTATATGCTTTTATATATAGTATTACGAAATTTTGAATAATTTCTTGCAGCGTGGATTTAAAACCATCGTAATTGGTACTTTTTGAGATATCGTGAAATTTTAGCACCGAGAAATTAAAACAACCTACAGTAATTTAAAATCAACTTATCTTTCATTTTATAAACATTAATAAAAAAATAGTATTGAGAGGAACAAAAAAAGAGAAGACTTTTTAGGGCATGTACAAATGTTTATATATCAGAACAAAAATAATTGTGAATTTTGTTAAAGTTTGTCATACTGGAACCTTTTATAAAATCACTTGTTGGGTCATTTTCACGCTGACAGGTAAAAATCAATTCAGTGAAAAACATAAATAATTTAAGTGAAATATTTTTTTCCTAAATGAATAGGATATGATGATGGAAATAATTGAAATTTAGCTGTGCCATTTTAGACCTTGAAGCAAACTTTGATTAAAAACCGAATATTTGAGTCTGCATGTGATTATTCCGCCGCGTAGATGAAAAAAAAAAATGTTGAATAGCCGAGTTTATTTACTACTTGGCGTTGTGTATCCGCGATAGAAATGATTCAGACAGGTACGATCGCACCTGTTGATATTTAATTTCACGTCAACAGCGATCAGCCATTTTATTTGCGAGGGAATTGGCATGGTCTGACATGTGCTACAAGGTTAGGTGTAAGAAATGTCAACGATTCACCTGGACAGGTAAATTTTAGTCCATTTATTTATATCAGAAAATTTTACACGTATATTGATTGTATCTTTTATTTACACGTGTTTGGATCTTTTAATGTGGATTTTTCACTCGATCAAATGAACAATTAACGGTATTGTTCTAAAACATGACGAATCTTCCTTTACCGTTCTTGTCATGACAATTGCCCGTTATTTATTCAAGCACACCTTTGTGAGACGAAAACACGGGAGCGGATCTAATGAAATGTTTTTATTTAAATTGATAGGGTGCGGAAGGCACATAGAGCTAGTTTTGGAAGATATTCCGGTGGAGGAAAGGTGTCAGTGTAAAAAATCAGGGAAATGTACAATATTGTAAGTTTCTCTCTCTCTCTCTCTCTCTCTCTCTCTCTCTGAGTCAAAGATCAGAGTTACAGTGTAATAACATGCATATATAGTTATGATAAATTATACGTTAACTTACAATATATCATTTATCTGCCATGCACACATAAAAAAACATAGAAGAAACGTAATTTGATAAAAAAAAAAATCGCATTTTTTTTAATTATACTTTTTCCATTAACTTTTAACAGATAGTATCTTATGTGGATATGCAGTCATATAACAGTGGAAGAGAAGAATCTCAATAATTATGCAAGTTTACTCTTAAGTTGAACACCTGCCCTTTTCTTGCATATTTTAACAGTATGTGCCAAATTCATTATAACTCATATAAACTTATACAATTCTTTATTCATATATAGGCCTTTTGAAGGTATATTTGCATTTTTTTTTGCATATGAAAATTTTAATTATATTTTCCTGTTGTTGATTTTTTTTTACATAGTAAAGGTATTTCTTGTTTGGTCCAAAAACGGCCTTGTAAAGTTAACAGGAATTATTTTAACCTTTTCTTTGGAAGAATGTTCAAATTGTCATATAGAAGATTTTTTATCATTTGGTATAAAATATAAAATGAATAATGTAAACACCTTTATGCACACACACTATACTATCTGAGAGCTAAAATTCAAAATACATTTGAATAATTCATGTGACATTTTATTATAATTTTGGTGCTTTATTAGTCTTTTATTGTGGTTTTAATTTTGTAAGATATGCATCTATACGACATGCATTAAGGTGTATTTTCAAAGTCACAAAAGTTTATTTTGCATATTGTGTAACTGTATACATTGTACATGTATCCAACCAAATAAATGATGCATTCATGATGGAACATCTTTAGACAACCTTAAAGCCACCATTCCTTTTTTTTGAGGTGGGGGGGGGGCTGATGATTTTTCAGAAGGGGTCGGGGTCTAGGTGAATAGAGTTGTTTCTCTATCATATTGTCAAATAGTTGCCACAGCTATATATAGATGAAAAACTTTGACTTTAAAATAATATTTAAAAATAATGTTTAAAAAAATTTGGTAGAGATGATTTTTATGAGTCAGTCAGAGTACGTACATCAGACAAATAATTTTTTTTATTGTTGGCCGCAGGTTCAAAAATTTTTCCACGTGGCTACATGCATTTATATGTCTTCTGTTGTTGTTACTGTAACTTAAAGGTAGAATAGTTTAAAATCTAGAGCAAGTCAATATTGGTTTTACCAGACATTCAATGTATTAAGTATTCCCCCACAGCATTGTCCAAAGTGTTATTTTTCAGCATTATTTCTCAAATTTCACTTCGGGGAGATGTCCTAATTTGAGACCTGTATTCTCCTATACTATACACTCCTCCTGGTTGATGGCACTTTTAAATTTTTTTTTCTTTCATTTTGATTTGCGACAGCCCAAGGCAAAAAAAAAAAATTCAAATGACAAGACACACACAGGTATCGTTTGCCAATGTGTAACTGTATTTTCTCAAGGTCATGCTCTTGTAGCTAAAAAGATGTAAAAAGATTTTGACAAAAGAATTGTGTTACTTGTTTATAAAGACACTTTTAAAGAATTTTAGACATCCATTAGAAATCAGATACAATTCAGAAAAAATTACCTTCAAAGTAATGTATAATGGGTTATTCTAAATTTTCACATCAAAAGACATATAATTGGTCTGAAAAAAGTGTAAAGATAGTCATCGGGTTCAAATTTATTTCCATTTTCTGTAAGATGTCAAAAAGATATTTTTGGTTATTATGATACAGTGCACGTGTATTTCAAATTGTGTCAGAGAGTTGCATATGTACTTTATTAAAGACTTTTCGAGATGGTAATGTCAAAACTGAAAATAATGTGTTTTCATTGATTTTATAAAAGGATGTCAAAATGTCTCCATAGTTCTTAAAAGAATTCCTGGGATTGAATATCTATTTTGCAATTAATACACTTTCTAGGAAAAATCATAATAATATGCGAGAGTTATAAATTTTTGTCGAGAAGCAAGTAAATAGGTATTGTTTAAAATGTCTATTTTTTACGTTTTATTTCATTGAGTCATTTTTGAATATAATTTTTTATTAAAATAAATTTTTACAAAGGGTGAAATTGCTTACATTAAAACAAAAATTTATTCATAAAGTGTAGAGTGCAGGTTTTGAACCTAAAAGAACATTTCTGACTTTGTTGTTCAATTTTTTTTCCTTCGTGTAATTATTTTTGTAGATATCAGGATCTATGTTGTATTTGATACATGCTTTAATCCGATAGGCAAAAACAGGGGCATTTGATCACAAGGTTCATTAGAGATTTTTTAAAATTTGAAATGGAATTTAAAGTGTAAATAGTGGATATTTTTGTATCCACGGAATTGGAATCTTTGAGTCTTCACTAAATGAACATTGTTTTGAACTAGTAAATATTCAGTTTGAAAAAAGTGTTACAATGGTAGTTTCATCTTTTACTGAAATTTTTATTTAAATTTGTAATTTCATTTTATATTTTTTTTTTTATTACTCAACAAAATAACAGCAAATTAGTTTTTAACATGGAATATTTGAATGGTATAAATCTTCTGGATTTAATCCACTATTGTTTTTAATCATTTAAAAAGCCAAGGGCTTTTTTATTTATGGCATTTATAAAGTGTATTCAAGCATGTATATTTCACTTTTTTCTTTTCTTTCAAGACCTTTTTCTTGAATATTTATGTATTATATACACGTACATTAAATGCTTACTATCATGTTCAATTCATGTATTTTGAGTCAATATTATAGACTTATTTTTGACAGATTCTGTATTTTTATTACTACAGTTTGGTGCTAAAGTATATCATACAGCATTTGCTTAAATGCTGATAAAAAAAAACTCTTTGCCCCAAAAAGGTCTTACAAGATATAATATTGTAAAGTTCCTACCATTCATTTCTTTACATCTGTAAATTGTTTGCATGTTTTTTGTCAGTAAACTAGTCAAATAATTATGTCTTATTTCTTATTGTACAAAGCAACTTTTTCATAATGAAATTGCAAAATAATTAAAAGGAAAATAGAGAGGCATTGATGGAAAGAGTTTGGCAGGAAAAGGGAAATAACTCCAGCATGTAGAATACATAATATTTTAGATTAAAATGGTGAGGGCATCCATAGGTAACATTGCTTGAAGCATTAAAAAAATACAACAAAAAAAAAAAAAAAAAAAAAAAAAAAACTGAGCTGAATTTTTTTCTGTAATAAAACAAGCTGCCAAAGCACATTGAATGTAAGATATGATCAGGACCACAAAAAGTACTAAAACTAGTAATAAACATCAAATCAAAAAGTAAATCTCCACACTTGACAGTGTTCTTACAATCCCATCACTATCAACATGCAGACTCAAGTACCGTATAATCGCTATTAACCACCCCGAGCGCTTAGAAAATTGCGAAAAGGGGGCGATTATTTGGTATTCTAGTTATAATTTTTTGGGTCATATTTTAAAAAAATCTTTTGAAAAAAAATTTAAATTCTGAGATCCATGAAATAATTGTCTTACTTTCTATGATGTTAAAGATAAAATCTTAAAGGGGTGGTATTTCCGGAAAATTGAAAAAGGCATGGGCGGGTGGATAATACGGAATATTAAAGCCATTTAAAGGCCTTAGGATTGTTCCTCTGAAAAAGTGAACAAAATTTATCAATTCCTCTATTGTTATTTCGATTTTTTCTATAGATAAAGTCTTGAAATTCCAAATGTAAGTCACCATGGCTTACTTTTTGGTTAACATAGCCTGAGAACAAAAGATGCATCAGCTGACAAAATTTAAACAATGACCTCTTTCTTCAGAGTGAAAAAAAATAAATTAAGGCAAGGATAAAATAAAATATATCTGAGGATGGAATTGATGATGATTTATTTGAAAAAAGAAAAATTTCAAATTTACAAAATTTCTCAGTTTGTGTTACACTGTAGCTCTCATCCAAATGATAAAAATATATGTTCATATTCATGTACATGTATCATCATCATGATTTGCACTTTTGATGTTATTTTTATGTACATAGACTAAAGCTAAATACAAGAAGAATTATCAACAATATAAGACTGTTATACAAGACTTTGCCTTTTCCTAGTTCAAGTGCATTGAAACTTGTTGGCACAAAGGTAAACAAAAAAAGTAAAAGTTATTTTGTTAAAAACTCAACAATCAGACATATATATACTATCAATTCTTTTCTTATTGATAAAATCACAACCTGTTATATGTACATTTGAGCAAATTTAAAATTTCCCCTCTAAATTTATAAACCTTGAAAATATACAAATTTATTTTTGAAAGATGTAATAAAGTGCAGTTTTAAAATTGAATTTTCCACCTTAACATTGTACCATCATCTACTTGCACTTTTGTTAACTTTCATCTGTCATTTAAAAGAAAACATTCACATTTGCATGAATACAATTTACTGCCATATTCAAAATTGCTTGAACTTGAAACCAATTTTCTTTTCACATATCTATATAGTACACACAATACACAAAATATTGAAAACACTGTATGGTGAATCTTCTTTTCCTTGATATGAGAAAAAAAATTCTACAAACTAAGATCATGAATCAATACAAATATTCTAACTTTTGTTTTCCTTGTTGCTCTATGTAAACAAGGCTTATAATATAATTTAACCATCCTTATACAAAATAATTTTTCTGCTAAGATTGCATGGTCAGGTTTGTTAATATTTGGCTATGGTTGGTTGGTTTTCACTGGGGATCCCTCCTTCTTCTTGGCGTGTGCCAGCGCTTCTCCCAGCATTTCTGCAGCATGTTCAGCATTATACTTCTCTATTGTCCTGTGGAGCACATAAACACACGCAGCTAAACCTCCCATGTTGAACCCCACCATGTTCCTACATTTCCAGTATTTGGCCGTTATTGATAATGCCTGAATGTAAAAAAAAATGTTTTACAGTTCCATAACACTTTGATTTGTTGTTTTCATTTTTCAACAACTCATAATATATGTTAAAAGACATTATTTTATGAAAATATACTTTGAATATTACAATTATTCAGAGAAATCTGACAGAATCCCTCTTTAATTCTAACATTTGCAATTAATAAAATTAGTAAAAAAAATGAAATCTTTATCACTTGTGCCTGTGTTAGTAAACATGCCTGACCAGTAAAAATAGCTCTTCTTAATATTACTTTATTCATATTATACTTTTTTTTATGCAGTAAATGTGCTCAACCATTATACACTGCAATAAGTAAAAGTTTAGCTAAATCTTTACTTTATTGATACACTTTTTGTCCTGCGTCAGTAAACACGCCCGACCCTTCTCCACGCGACAGACTCGGGCCATCTCCATTAGAGTGTTAGGATACAGCTTCCAGTTGTTCATTTTGGATCCACTCCTATAAAATTATTCAAAAATTACTTTAAGGTTCATAAATCCCCTGCTCACTTATATAAAATGTTGCTTTAACTTTAATGATTTTCCAAAAGAAATGTATTTAATAATTAGTTAAATACAACAATTATACCATAGCTTGTGGGGCAAAATTAAACAAAAAAGACATTTCAACTTTCAAGTCTAAAGGAATAATAGACATTTATGTCATTAAGAGTTATCTCTCTTATCAGAGTATCAATGAACCTTAAACTGATAAAATTTTAGGTAGTTTTAAAAAGGCACACTTATTTTATTTGCATGATCTTAAAATTTGATTAGATAGGAAATATCTTTTTGTGAGGGAAATTATACCTTCTCTTCAAAACTGGATTCACATGTTGCAATAACATGCTCAAGATTTAAGGACAGATATATATACATCAATAATATATAATTTTTTCCTAAATTTTGTCATTGAGATATTTTTATTCATTTACTGATTTTGTGAGAATTCCTGGTTTGGGTTTCCTAGCATTTTTGAAATACATGTACAATTATAATAATCATTCATTTCTTAATTTATTTTTTACAAGTACACTGGATCGTTATCAAGAATGAATGTAAAATGAATTAATTTATATTTACCTTATTCCAAATGGCTAAAATGAAGAAAGAAAAGTGTCATCAATGTTCAACAATATATAAAAAGCTGTAATAATGTGATAAGTCATCAACTATCATATAAATCTATTCACTTTAAATATATTTTTTTCAATTTTAAGATAAAACTTATAGTCCACTCAATCTGGAAATTAAAAAGGCAAAAAATATGGCACATCACAAAACAAAAGTGTTATTTTTATTATCAATTATTTATGCAAATTGATATAAATTATTAAATTTGACAGAAATAAAAAAATAAAAAAAAAAAACAAGGGAAAAAAAATTAACTATAAGGTAATGGTTCAAACTTCAAATAGGATACGTTACCAAAAAAAAAAATTTATGTTATAATGGGAAGATAGAGACTGCTTGTGAAGTAATTATTTCTGTCCCAATTTGTTCTGGATTGAAAAACTTATAAATATTGATTAGACTACTAGATAAAAATAGGTAGAGTTATCTGCCCTTACCAGATCTGTGATGACTACATCCATACTCTCCGTCTTTAGAGGTAATTTAGTCACGTCCCACCGCACAACGTCCAGCGAAATAGGCCTGAAAATAGCATTAAATCAAACTCACCACAGTCTACAACAGACAAGATGTATCTATTATCAATCTATAGACATCATCAGTGCTTCAGATGTATGTACAGTGTAGGAGTAGAGAAATCTCATGCTTTAATGGAACTTATAATGCCTTCATTTTAGCTAATTCTATTATCCTCTCGTAAAGGTTCTATTTAGTCAATTTGGATTCCCATATAATATTAGCTGGAGATGGGAAGATTCATCTATAATTATCCTTATAAGATGAAAATCTGGACAAATAGCAATGACATTTGTGAATGTCTACCAGATATTTTGGGTTTATTTTTTTTTTCTTTTTTAAGGAAGTGGGGTTGCATAGTTGGGGATGGGGGTTAAGGGGTGAAGGTCAGCACTGATGATTGATTTTTTATCAGTGAAAAATGATGGATTTCTTACTGAGTCTGGCACACAAAGTCAATATTCTGCTGGGTTCTCTTCACAGCATTATTTATCATATCTCCACATAAACTGGCACAGGTCTCATATGATACTGCTGACTGGAAACAAAAAATTAAAGAACTTTGTAATGTTGATGAATTCAAGGAAGAGCACTCTAAAAATTGAATGAAGTAAATGGAGATACCAAAGATAACCATCCCTAGCTAAAAGCTTATAAACTCTATTACCATTTTTGAAAGTGTTTAAGAACTTTCCTATAAAAAGCCTTTAGTTGGCATAAAGTGTACATGAGTGTTTAGAAATATTCAATGACACTCTCCATCTTTATAATTAATGTTGATTGCATGGTGACACTGTGTACATATTTCAGGTATATATGTAAAATGATGGTATTTATCAGTCATGGCATGCGAATGTATGTATGCTTCCCCCACATACATGTATAAATTAATGCACTTGTCCTACAACACCATCAGAAACCCACGGTCAATCTCCCGTAAACTTATAAACACCTAGCTGTCATACAGCATGTGAGATTGACCCAGGGGTTCCTGAGATGTTCCTATAAATATCTCACCTGGATAGGAATAGTCCCTCCCCCACACATCGGGTCACAGATCACCTCTCCTGGCTCTATCTTGCAAAGTCTACAATGGAAAACTCATCAAATTTACACCAGTAGTACATTAAACCAAGCAGCTTGTGGGGATAAAAATTACATGTACCAAGTATATCTTTGTTAATTTTCAAATGATTAATAAAGAATTCTTTATCATTATCTTTTTTAACAAGGCATAACTGAAATTTATCATACTATTTATTCCTAAATTTAAGAGAAAAAAAATTTGAAATCATTAACAGCACATGGCTATTCCTTTACCTGAGCATATTGTATGCAATAGTAGCCCTCAGAGCTGTAGGTCCAAAAGCTTTGATAAATCTATGATGGAGGGACTGCCGTGTTAGACCAAGACACACTGTGACATCACGATCCTCAATGTTCAGAATCACCTCAATATCAAAATTCTTCATGGACACATTCCAGTTGAAATAATTGAACACACCCCCTCCAAAATTAGCAGCTGCTCCCATGGAGTCAAAAGGGTGGCCCTGGCCATTACGATTGCATGTCACTCTGAATGAAGGTTTTGTGGGGTCATGACATGTTGTTTTTTGTTTCTCTCTGGATTCTGATTGGTCAGTCTCTAGCTTTTCTGATTGGACATTTTCTGTGGTTTTTATCTTTTTGCTGGCTGGTGATTGGTCAGTCTCTACATTTTCTGTCCGAGTCACATGTGCTGGAATATTGTCTGACAGATTTTGAGAAGTTTCACTGCCCTCTTTCATATCCTTGGAAATATCATTGCTCTTTTCCAATGATGCTGCGTTTTCCAGATCTTCTGCATTATCTACATTCTCTTCCTTTGTGGATTGCTGAATATCCTTTCCTTTGTTTTCTCTCGCTTGTAATCTACGCTGTTTCCTTTTTTCAGATTTTGATAACTTGGGTTTTTTGGGTTCTTGAGATGAGTCCTTTGCATTATGAAATCTTGAGGAAAGAGTTGCCTCCCCTAAATCTTTTGGTATAACATCTGGTACACTGGCGATAGGGTGACTAAAGGAAAAGATTCTACTCCAAGCTGCAAGTCCAAGTTTCCAGTTTACATCATATACAAGTTTTCGAAGAATGGCCATACATTCTAGCTGAAAATTAAAAGTTAAAATTAAATAGCTGTGGGTTAAAGCCTGTCCACTTCTCTAAAGAGAATAGCATATTAATGACATGTAACTGTAAGTGAATAAAAAGCCCTTGCAAAACATCAATAAATAATCAACTGATTATAATTTTTAAAAAGGTGATACTCTACATGAGCCTGTTGTCTCTAATCTACTTGCAAATTTTAAAAGTACATGTTATTAGCCAGTGGCGTCTAGAATGCTCGTAACTTTTACATGTAATCTGATCAACGCCTGGGCGAAGAGCTGCAGAACTGCACATTCATTCCATATAATTATATATCCGCAGTAATTTGAGAGCCACGATGCATCGATTCGTACACAAATGCTAAAGCCATGTTCTCGCGATAATAACGACAAAAGTTAAAATAAAAATAAACTTGCCTTGATTTAATGAATTTATCTGTTTATTGCAGAAAAATAATCATAAACTGATTGAAATCAGCCCTGTTCAGCTTCAGTTTAGTACAGCAACATGCAAAGTTTCAAACGACGTCATGTGACGTCAGAGTCTTATATTGCACCGAATGTCACATGCAGTTTGACGAGTCCGATCTAAATGAAAACTGGATAAGTATCTGCGCTCGCCCTAACGGTTGCAACGTCAACATATAATTAATCATAATATAGCCATGGCGCATGCAGTGGCCTCTAGCTCTGTACTTTTTTTTAACATGTAAACTGATCTTTTCTGGACCCCCCCCCAAAAAAAAAAATGGAGAGTGCTAACTGCACATGAATGTATCTAGACATCAACTTTTTTTCTTTTAAATAAGATATTACAAATAATGGAATACCTCATCATTTGTGAAATTGACATTGGAAAATCTTGACATGACAACAAAACAGTTGTCAATACCTCCCAGCTCCAAGACCTAAAACAGAAAGTATGTTGCATAAGCTTAAATACAAAATTCATATATTTACAAGTAAAAGGAGTCAAATATCTTTCATCACATAGATTATGATAGAAGAGGTTTTATCATTGATCGACCTTATTAACATCTTCTGTAGGAATTTTGAAAATGATTCGGCCACGTTTGAAATCCACTGGAACTTTAAGCTTTTCCTCTGCCTCCTCCTTGGCCACATTTTCAAATCCCGACACAACTGTCGCTTCAATTTCACAAATATCCCCCTTATTTTTCAGAGGCATGTTTTCCATGGGCGCAGACATCTTGAACACACGGACAGGTCACATGACCGTGTTTTGATCTCGCTGTACTTCCGGGGGAATCCCGCTAGCGAGAGTGACACGGTGCGCTGTAGACAACTGGTCAATAAATGGCTTTCAGGTATATAAACAACACCGATCGGGGGAAAACTTTGAACTAGTTGCTATCCTTACAGACGAATATGGTGTTGATATACAAGAACGTGTTAGGAATGATGTCATGATAGATTTTGGGAGCGAGACATGAGAGTGAACTGTCGAAGGATCGCTTTCTCTATTCTGGTGGCATACTTCGTTATCTCATGTTTCTCAGGTTTTCTGTTGATTCAAAGACGCAGGGCTCAAGCCGCTTACGAATATCAACGAATCCAAGCTTTAACAGGTATGTTTTTAGTCACAAATCAGTTTAAGAATTCGGAATGAAGGAAAGGGGGGGGGGGCACCTGCATGCAGGTATATGAATCATTTTGTTGACCAATACTAATCTAGAAAATACCAATTGCCATTAAAAAAAGGAAAACTATAATTGATTTAGGAAGAAAAGATTCATGAGGAAACTTTGTTCATCTTTTAATTTGCATTTAAGTTCCTAGATTAAATATGCTCTGTTATCAATATAGTGGTCAGTGCATTGTTGTTGGCTTTATGGACTTGGCTGTATGCCTTAGGTAAGGAATCAATGAGATTTAGAGCTGATAAACCCTGACTCAACCTTTGTTACATCATAGTCAACCCTTTGTCCACTGAGGAGCATTTAAATTTTAATTGTTTGAACATAATGTAAAGTTACGAAACCTTAAACTTTTTTTTTTTCGAAAGTGCTCTTTAGGTATTTGAACAAGCAAGTATAAAAAAGCTAAATGCACATGATCTTTTCGGTTTGTTAAACCTTTCTTTTTAATCACTTAGTTTGTTAAATCTTTCCAATTAACATGATTTACACACTAATTCTTTACTTTTATGTATAGCCACTTCTTTACTTTTATATGTTACAGTTATGTATATAAATAATGTAGTAAATTACAAGAGCAAGAGTTACTTCAAAGGAAAGGAGGAAATAAAATTTTCTGAACATCAGGTTTTGATCTTAGTGGTGTACCATATAAGATTAAGATCATAACATATTTTTTTCATTTGATAAATTTTTAATTAGCACCTGTTGGAAGATGCTGTTATTTTCTAAATGTTATCTCTGACTAGAATGTCAAATAAATGGCAGCATCATATTACAGACAATTTAGACACCTACCATGCACACACAAAATGGTTAAAAGAAGCAATATTGTGACACCAACTAGTTCTATAGAACATTGGAGATAGGATATCAACTTGTTAGTGAAAAATTTGCATCAGCTCAGGGCTTTATATTACATTTTTTCCATTATTGTGCATTTTGGCAGATAAAATACACAGCTTGCAGTTAAATTATAGGGTTCTGAAATTACACCCTATAACTGGAAAGAGTGTTTAGACATAAATTTTCAGATTACATAATCTGCACTCTATTGTGGTAATTGTCATTAGATGAGTCATCTCAGGGGCAGCATGCATGGTCACAAACTCGTTAATAAATTTATTTTTATAAAGATTAATTTATTAGCAAGCCTTCATGCTGTAAGTGTTCATTAAATTTACATTCAACCTGTTTGTGATAGAACAGGTAAATCATACACGTTTTCTTGAAGGAAAACATTAAACTCTGTGAATTTTTTCATAAAATGCATTTTATGCAACAGTGAGTAGCTAGGGCTGGGACGAGATATCGATATATCAAGATATCTGTGAGGACGATACGCATATCGATACATATGAAGAAATATCGAAATATCGTCCAAAAAATATCTGACTTCTATTTTTCTTTGTTTATTTAACATTTGGGATTTAATATATAAAATAAATAAGTTAAATATAAATATAGATATGAAATAAATAATAATTAACAACACTTGAGTAAAATATTTTTGTTTTACAACATATGAACAACTATTTTGAATAAATTGTTCTTATTTTCAAAGAAATAATTTGTTTATTTCAATGCAAAAAAAGATTTTATAAGCAATTAAACATATCGTGATACATATCGTATCGTGGCTCAAATATCGTGATAGGTATCGATATAGAAAAAGTTGTATCATCCCAGCCCTAACAGTGAGAGTATTTGTTTCAACAATAATAGATCAGGAATCTTTTGGGTTAAGGTGAAGGTCAGTGTATAGGTCAAACATTTGAGCTTGAATACTGTTCATCATCTCTGTATATTTCAATGCTAAAAATACAAATTTGCAATCTTAATTCTAACCCCATGAATCTTCTGGGGTATGTGTAATTTGTAGATGTACGGTAATGCAAGATTTAAATGTTTACAAGCAGGTTTATTTTATTTTATTTTTTTTTTTGGTTTTGTTAAAATACAACTATTTCAAAGTGAATATATTTGCATTATGTCAAAATTTATTTCCAGACTTTTCAGATGACAGTGGGAACAGCCTAGGAAGTCAAGGGGCAGAACTCCAGTACAGACGTCAGTTTCAGAAAATCCTCTGGAACCTCGAAGACGATCAGAATGTGGTCGCCATGGGAAACAAGAGCAAGCCGGAGTACGTTGTGGAGATTTGGGGAAAAGCCGCCATAAGTAAGTCTACACTCTTACGGAAGCATTCTGTACATCATCTAATGCATGTATAATTGTCCATCTAATGCAGGAATAATTGTACAGTGATCTCTGTTAAATCAGCATTCTGCCTTATAATGTATAAAAGAACACTGACATGTTATTGCGGTGGTGGAATGAAGTGTCCACTGGGAGCATTAGACCTGTCACAATTTTTTTTTTGGTATCATACGATGCATGTAATAATGTGTTAACATGCACTTGATAGTTTTCATATCATACTTTTTTTAAGACCTTGTACATGTTATCTGCTTTTATCTGCAGACATGCAGGTGCCAATCAATGCATGTTACTAATACATAGGTTGATAAAAGATTCATGATAAATGATGTCTTTTGTTAGAGCACCTGACCTCATTTGTTTGAGGGCCTGACTTTATTTGTAAGAGCACCTGACCTCATTTGTTAGAGCACCTGACCTCATTTGTTTGAGGGCCTGACTTTATTTGTAAGAGCACTTGACCTCATTTGTTAGAGCACCTGACCTCATTTGTTAGAACACCTGACCTCATTTGTTTGAGGGCCTGACTTTATTTGTAAGAGCACTTGACCTCATTTGTTAGAGCACCTGACCTCATTTGTAAGAGCACCTGACCTCATTTGTTTTAGCACCTGACCTCAGTTGTAAGAGTGCCTGACCTCATTAGTAAGGGCACTGGAGCTTATTTTTTTGAGCACCTGATTAGTAATTTAGGGGGCCTAGGTTTGAATCCTGGTCTTGTCCATCATGGTTTCCTTTTCTGTTACACTTGGTGCTGTTATGGCAATGACCTGAAAGTGATCATTTTGTAAGACTTTTAAGAGTGGAACCTGATTTGGTGTATTCAGAGGCAACAATTTTAAAGGACTATCATTCATCCCTCCAGGAGGGAGGAATGATAACTCAGTTAGCTTACATGTAGTTGGTAGTGCTCATGTCTAGTGAGTGGTTCAGGGGTCTGGGTTCAAATCTTGGTCTGTTGGGTAATTTGGGTTGCATTTTCTCCTCTCCAGTGACACTAGCGGACGAAACAATTGCCAAACTTTGATGACAGACAGCAGACATATATCTACCTCTCACTTGAAGAAAGTTGTCTAAAAGAGCATTGATGATTCAGACTGAGATGTTTTCTAAAAAACAAAGGATAATTCTATCTTCAACAAGAGTCAACTGTCATGGTTTATGTATTTTTTATAAAGGTTTCTTGTATGGCTTTTCCCAGTCTTATCATTATTTAGCACCCATTCTGTGATAAAAATGTCATCTTTTTACTGCGTTGTATAAAATATTGGATAGCCTAGTAACCAGATTTATTTTACTTTTTCCGTCTTAGCAAACGATCGTAAGAATTCATCTAATATTAACAACTTTCTCAAGCATCAGGCCTACAAAATTCCTCTTTTTTGGACTTACGTTTTGGCCAAGGCAAGTAAAGCAAAATAAAAAAAGAAGGAAAAAATAAAACCCTGAACAAAGAATGTATCTACCGAGACAGACTTTAACACTGGCATCAAGGAATCGAGTATCGCAGAGTGAAAGGTTTTTCTCTGGGGAACCCTTGAAGTATGATCTAGGATGGTCTTCAGTGTAAAAAGTCGGAATTTCTGACCTAATTTCCGTACTTTGCCGGAGAAATGTGTTAGTTAAATAACAGAGTGTTGATTGTCAACCAAAAGCGTCAAATAATGACAGAGGTTGACGAGAAGTTTTTTTGGGGGAGACACAGTGATGAATGGATGTGTCTGTATTCAGAAGACTTTTTTCGGGCAGTTAATGATCACCTTGAGACTTTGTAGCTTTTAATTAGATATTTAAAGTCGCTCAATTTGTACGCAGTTCTATAAACATTTTATTAAAGAGTCATTAGATTAAACACCCCTCTCTTGAGAATGTTAATTTTTAATAGTGACTGTCTCTTTTATGGTTGATTTATTCAAATACTGTTCTAAAAAAACTCTTTACTTTGACAAACCTTTACAAGAGTAAGACTTAAAGTTTGTAAAGTTAATGATCACAGAACCTGAAGTAAGATTTCAGTAGGTACAGTGTAAGAGTACATCAGAAAGGATGTTGATGATGATTACGAAGTGTAATTTCTAAGTTGCAAAAATATATTTACTTGAATCACTTACCTTTGCCTTAAAAACAAAGAAAGTACACGAAATTAAGAGATTATTTTGTATTCCAGCCAAAGAAAATTATATTTTTCTGCAGAAATATGCACAGTTAAATTGGTTAAAATGACCATAAATCACTCTGCCTCCTCATTTTCTGAAGAGTTGTAATTTATAATAACATGTCACTAATTATTGTGCAACTTTCAGTTTTATTTTTTCAAGCTCTAAAAAAGATGCATATTTTCAAACTTCACATTTGGCATTGCCAGTTTGCTAAGGGAGATAAATATAATTTTTTTCTTTGTGTCTGTTTGTTGATCCTTTACATTCCTTTGAAATTTTTCACCTTCTGGTATATTAGGATTCCAAAATCTGGTGGAAAATGGCAAATTTAGACTTATCTTTTCTCAGAGTGCCTTTCTATGACTGGAAATCTTGGCTCATCTATAGGACCACTGTCACAGTGGATTTGAACCTGAGTTATGACATAACTCCACAACCACTTCACCATACAGGCAACTCTGAAATTTTTTTTAACTCAGTCAAAATATTCAAAAGATAGAAATTTTGCCCCTTTAGGTACACTATCATAACTACAGAAAAATCCCATATTTCACTACCCTGAGAGACATGTTCTCCCTTCAGTGTGTCTCTCTCTTTCTCATTGATAAAACCACTAAAGGGACAATCATTCCCAACTACAAATTAACCTGTTCATTGTACAGAGGTCAGTGACCAATCTTTGTGTAAATTCTGCTTAATTCAGCAGTAATCTTGCACTCTGCCTTTGTGTAATTACAGAGTGGCAGCTATTTAACCTCCCTAGCACTCAGTCATCTTTAGTGTCCCCCTAGTAATTGGTCTGTCCCTGAAGAGATGTACGTATAACTGTGTACGTCTGTAAAATGACACGAAAGATGGACTCCTTTTTATGCTTAAGTCGATTCCTGTCTGATTCTTGACACAAAGTCGCCATAGCAATCGACGGAGTTATTATAGTTCAATAAAATATCTCAAGAATTGAACCTTGGTAAATTAATCTATAATTGTGGATTACCTACTGGGAGATGGTAATTTTGCATGCATTTCGGTTCAAAGTTGACGTGCATTGCTCTCATTTTTGCATTATTTCATGCTTATGCGAATACCTAAGAGATAATTATTTCTTATAAACATTGCCTCTTTAAATTACTGATCACTTACATAATACATGTACAAAATGATTTACACTGATACAGTTGATTATTGGGAATGTTGGTTATAGTTAGACTGCGTGTCCAGACGATTATATTAATTCCAGTACCAACTGACCAATCAAAATCAGAAATAATGCACCACAAACTGGATTTATCTATAAGTAGGATCAAATCTGCATTTCCTGTACATTTTTCCATTATTTTATATTTGTGCAAAAATTTATTAGTCTATAGCTATATGGTACACTATGTAATTAATTTTTTTGATTGGCTTTTTATTTAGGAGATACCACTGGGCATAACATTACTAATACACCATGGCACGTATGTTATAATTTTCTTAAGATATATGTGTTATATTGGGTTTGATACGTTTTTCCAAAGTACCTTCCTTATCTCCGAATGTAAATGTTCCGATTATTCCATAATTAATTCGTCAGCCACAAGAGAAGGAAAATTTTTTTTATTGAACTAATTAGGACTTTATTCTTGAGGAAATTAATCGGGAAGAAGGATAGATACGGTTAGTGCCGGGAATTATGGGACTGAATCTGCATGTTGATGAGCTAAAGACATTTCGAATTAGGCTCCGATAATAGGTGACAGATTTCAGCGTCTTTTTTCCTGATGAAGTGGCTAAATTAGTTTGAGAAGTGTTACGGGAATGTAAGACTCCCTGAAATGAGTAGGGAAGATGGGTTTTATGGAGAAGTAATGGACCTTTAATATAATCAGTGGGCCACATCCATTTTGGGTCCTCTGAAAAATGGATGAGAAGCCGTTAAAGTGGTTATCAAAGATGTATATAGGGAAAAAAGTGGGGATATTGGTGTGTTCAATTTTTTGTTCACTTTGAATTTCAAAGAGGAATATATTTATAATATATCTACATTTGTTTATAAATTATAGCACTATTGTTGTTTGAGATTCAATTTTTAAAAAAAGTAGAAAAATGAAATACGTACATGTTGTAAGATATGCTAATAGCAAAGTACAAGTGACACAATTTCATTATAAATGTAATTCATTTGTACATTTTAAAACTACAGGCAATTGTACCATGAGCATGCAGCTGTATTAAAATTAGGGATGTCAAAATTATCAATAATTGATATTCGAATATTCGATAGGAGTATTCGAATATATTCGAATATTCGATTAAATAAATACATTTTGCATTTTTAAATATATATCTTCACTCTCCTGTCAAAGATATAGGTTTTATGCCATTATTTTAGAATAAAAAAAAACTCGCGTAGAGTTCGGAAAATGCACTACAATTATATGATTATATATTTTTTTTAAATATTGAATGGTATACATCCAAGATGTCATGATTTGATTTTTGAAAATTCAAAATATTCTATAATATGTTCCAGATTAAAGCCATATATGGCGTATGTTCAATGAAAATTATTAGACTAAAATTATCAGAACTTATTATTTGTTTCATTACTTTATATATTAAAGATAGAACTTCTCCGTAAATTACAAAATCTGAGTCAATGGCGTTATAAAGAATTCACAATTTAATTTGGATTCTTGGAATTCTCTCCGACTCGGAAGAAAATACAAAATATTTAAATAACACATTACAGAGAAGATAAAATCGTATTATTAGTTGAAACGAGGTGTTCTCCATGTTCAGAATTGTATGAAAAGTTTTAATTTAAATGTATTAACTATATTTCTTTACTTAATTTTGTATTTTTCAAAAATATATTTTTGGATCAGTTACGCCACATTTAATTGGCTTTAATTGATCGTCTTACTAAAGTCTACACTGATAACTCCTACAAAATTATACCAAGCAGAACAATTATATAATGGTGAAATATTAAAAGCAATTACTTTTTGTTAATTATAATTTCCTAATAATGATTTTTAATGATATTTACATAAACAAGAAGCCCGTGTGTTTACTGTAAAACATGCTTCCTTGCAACAATACAAGCTGATTATTAGTACTGGAAACTATTATTATACCACTAATTAAGTGAACAAATGAATAAATTACCTTAATAGATACACTCTTCACACCTTTAAGATAATCCAAGAGGAATGGGTTTTTTTATTTTGTAAAGACTCGAATAATAAGTCGATTCAATTTCTTATGAAACTTGTCAAGTTTTTCTCCCTTTTTATCCTTGTATACTTAAAAACGAATATTCGAATCACAAATTTATATTCGAATATCAACTCATCAAATGAATATTCGAATATTCGTTGACATCCCTAATTAAAATAGCTGCTCTGAAAATGGGCAAATTAAAGAGCATTTTAATCATATTTTTTTCTGTATAACTAATATGTCGATTGATTTTATTAATCTAAATTCTTCCTGACCAATTTTTGACACCAGTAGGAAAATATGATTCACTTTCTATAAACCATTGTGAATGGACATGAAAAAATTCTTTTAAAATACGAGTCAATTTTATTAATGAAGCCATTTTTTTCCTGACAAACTGTGTAAACCAAACCAAGTCTCAGCAGGTACCAGGGATCAGAATCGCACTCCACACCGCTTAAAGGCATAAAGCACCAGGATGTGTCAAACACAACTTGTCCTTTGTCATTTTTAGCAAATTGGGGAAAAAAATTCTATTGTAACGGAAGATGTATTATTTGCCACAGAACAATTGTTAAAAAAAATTCACATCAAGATTTTTATGGTCTTGAGATGGAAGAAATGTTATCAATTTGATATTTCCTGCCATTAAAATAGAAGGGGACTACATGTTTCCTCAATGTATAATGTCTTTTCTGTCATCCACATGTCCGTTAGTCCGGTGTCCCTTCATTTTCTGTAGTATTTTTCTACCCTCTTTGCAGGCAGGTTAATTGTCAGCATATCTGGTTCATATTTGCACATGTGAGCAATGATGAGTTTTAGCTCACATTTGAAGAAGTGTCAAACTTTGTCAGCTGATCCAACATGTTGTGTAGAAACTGTCATGTATTTAAAATAGGTCAAATTGTGACCTAAAAATAAGATGATATTGCCAAATCTGGAAAAATCCTGTAACTGGACAACAGTCAGTTAGATGTAGAATCATCAAACTTGTTCAATTAATGCATCTTTAATATAAGAGGATTAATGTTGATACATCCTACTTATATGTGACCATAGTTATCTTTAATTAATATCAAGTAAAATTAAAAAAAATGTGTCAGTTTACTTAAAACAGTATTGCATAAATTGTATCAAAAAATTCAAGAAATTACACATTTTTTAATGATATACTAAACACCTGTATAACAAATACTATGGATTGATCAGAATCTTTTTTGTCTTGAAGGCCAGATTATGGTTGTTTTGATGCACCTGTAGTATGAAAAGTTTATTGAAAAGTTTATTCATGACAAGGAGCATACGGTGAGTGTGACAGGTTGGCAGGGGATGCTCACTCCTCCATGGCACTTGATCCCACCTCTGATGTTTTGGAGGTCTGTGTTTGCTCGATTGCCGGCCAGCTCCTATTTGGCAATGTTAAATGGACTTTTGAGCTTGAATACTGAATGTTATTTCCACATATTTCATTCTCAATTTAGAATTTCTATTGAATATTGGTTAGCATCTAACCATGCACATACATAGTTTTAGCTTTGATTGAAAAATTGAAAAAAATATAAAATATTATCCAATTGTTACACAAATAGATTTTAGTACATAAATCACACCAACAAATTACTTTTCTCTCAGTTCGTCACTGTAATAATATAATATATGACCAGAACGAAATGAAATCACGTTTTCCATTACATGAACTAATATGTATTATTGGGAGAACACAGTGTGACAAAAAGAAATATCTCTCTCCCTTCTCCGAGTTATGTCACATTTTCAATCTAGTCCATTGGCTGCTGATGATGAAATGTAATATGGAGATATATTTACAGAGAGGCAGAATAATTATTTTCTTTTGGGAGTAAATTCTCAGATTTCTGTTAGAGTTATTGACATTTCTCAATGATTGAGTGAGCTTCCATGTTGATTTGGGAAAAGGGCACCTGTCAATCAAAGCTGTAGGTCACTAGAGGTCACACTGTGATTATTGAATTGCATATTCTATCTTCGTCTGAATTTTATTGACTAATGTGAATGTTGAGAAATCTTCGGCATTTGAATATATAAATTATATGCATAATTGCTTTAAATCATATGCTAAATACTGGTACTCATTTCTGAAAATTATGTAAAACAAAGTTGCATTAGGAGTATATCAGTTTATCCTCATAAAGAAATTATTAGAGCCTAGAGCCCCTGGCTTGAAAAATTGATGAAGTTATAGTGCTCTGAAAATCCTTTTATCCACATTCCATAATGTGATTCAAATATCACTGAGTAATTAAGATCAGCTCCTTACTGAGGCTGCATCTTAAGAATTAATGAAGTGAGACTTAAATTTTGCCTTAATTACCATGGTACTGTAACTTAGACAAATCACACAGTCAGGCAACAGACAACTTACCTTACCATTTATTAATATAGTGGTATTTAACTGATTCTGAACTATTTTAAAATTACAAAATAGTAAAATTCATTTTAAAAATCAACAGTACGTTCTACTACTAACAAATGAATGAAGAAATCTGTAAAATTTATATGTTAATATTTTCTGATTTCATAATAAGAGATGTTTATGCATGATTTCAATGTCGGAAATAGCAATAATTCTAGCTAGGATATGACCATCTTTACTAAGCCAAGGGTTTAGAACAAATTCCCTAAGGATTGGAATCATGATCATTAACCCTATGCTGGAGACTCAAGTGAGCTTGTCTGATCAAAATTTGCACATCAAGTTCATTGTCTAGTTGGCAATGATCATAAACTTTTCTCTCATGAACCTTCATCACCAGAATCACTGGGCCAAGTTTCAACCAAGTTTGCCTATTACAAGCATCCTTAATGCCCTGCCCCCATGAAGGGGATTCAAGATTATATTCAATGATTCAGAAATATATGGAGATATGTACAGTATTCAAGCTCAAAAGTCCATTCAACAATACAAAAGAAAAATTGAGCAGCTAGACACAGAGCAAACACAAACCTCAAAACATCAGAGGTGGGATCAGGTGTCATGGAGGAGTGAGCATCCCCTGTCGACTGGTTACACCTGCTGTGTGCTCTTTTTCATGATCAAGAAATAACAGAAAACTCTGCCAGCAATTCAGTGTGTATATAATGGCCTGATAATCAAAGACAAGATCAGTGTCCTCTTAAAAGGGCAGATAACTTTTAGAATTGTGAAAAAATAATAATCTCAGCTTTCAACATCTCAAGAACTACTTTGCTAAACAATATGAAAATTATATAAATGCTTCATTTTACCTCTGCCCATATCTTGCCCCCTGGCCTTGGATATCTTCAATTTTTTTTTCTTGGTTCTGTCAAGTTTGAGATAAATAGGTTTGACTGTAATTGGCTATTATTGTACGTCCTCATAGATTAGAAAGAAAATTGTAGTAATCAATAATTGAGTGCTATAATGTAAGTTTTTCAGAGCTTTCAATCAGGTAATTTAATGTACACATTGCATGGCCTTGGGAAACTTTGAATTTTCATCTCTATTTAAAAATAAGTGATCTTTTCCTAACGATGCACAAAACTTGAAATGACCATAGGAAAAATATGTGAAGAAGCAGACAATGATTAATCTAAATAAAAAATCACATACAATACAAATTCTGTAAGACAGAGCATAAAACAAAGACCTTCCAGAAAATTCCAGCAGTCCTGGGATCAGGAGCCAAGGTGAAGTAAGCATCCCCTGTCAACCAATCACACCCACCATGAGCACCTTATAAGTACAGTGGAGCCTCAGAATATGACAAATTCAAATTTGGTTCCAAACATAAATTAAAAGGCCATATGATATGATATATTTGCTTACAAGGTTATTGCAAAATCACCAGTTCAACAAGACAAAATAACATTAAAAAATTCCGTTCTGATGAAAAATCGTCCGGATACTGAAGCATCTGAAAGTAGTACCAGGATTGAACTCCAAATAGTAGATTGGCAAATAAGGAAAGTTTAGAATATTTTATCAGCTGTAAAATGTGACGATTTTCAATGAAAATTTAAAGAGAAGAGTCTGCTTAGTTAAAAATATCGAAAAAATGTAACATTTTAGGATTAGCTCCTCTCTAAAATTGAATAGGCTGGTTCAGCGATTGTTTAATTAGCAAGGTATTCCACAAAGATTTCTTTACTTATCTGACCCTATAAATTCTACAATGATTGATCTTGCATTGTATTCAATAGCACATTTGCCCCCATCCAACAGATGTTTCCTACATCCATCGCAAAAGAGTTCCGCTAAGTTAAGTAATCGTGATATCAAGTATTGCTGACTTTTGAATAAGATCTTGAAATCCCTGGAATATCAACTAGTCTGCCTAAATGGTTTAAAAATGAATACTGACTCATAAGCTGTAATTACATTTGCTTCTGAGTATGAAATAAGTTGGGAAATATAATTCCAAATGCAGGTGACGTGAGCTATAATTGCTACATAAATAAGGAAAGTTGCTGATGGAAATAATAAGCACAATCAAACATATATTTGACGGCGAGAAGAAATCATTTAATCAATAATCATTTAATTTTTTGTTTATTTAGTTTCCGTTCATTTACTTCAAACCATTGCACATACTGAACTGAAATTTGGTATACAGGTTTATCAGGTGAATATCTAGGTCAAGTTCTGTTTTGGGTGCGATCACACCATTTTTTACAGTTATGCCCCTTGGACTTAGAAAAATTCCACGTATTTGCAGTTTCCATTCATTTTCTTTGCAGAGGTTGCACATACTGAAATGAAATTTGTGGAGCTAAATATGGGACCAAAAGCACCCTTTTTGTCATAGTTATGCCCCTTCCAGAAAAATTCCATATTTGCAGTTTCCATTCATTTTCTTTGCTGCACATGAAATGAAATTTAGTATACAGGTTGAAAGATTAGGATGCAATTTATGCCCACTGCACATAAGTGTTTTACATACATCTCTTGTTGGAAGATGAAATTTTCCATCTTAGCTAGCGAAGGGTTTCCAATCTGAAATCTACTCTTAAGGTCATACGCAATGTAGTTTGAACTTTATTGGGTTTTTTCCTGGAGTTGAAGAGTTCCACTAAATGAAGGACCTGTGTGTAATATTTTTAATGTCTAATATATGGATTTGTTCACCTCTTCTAACAAAATTTTTGATAGAAAAAAAATTTTAAGTTCATGTTTTGTAATTTTTGTACATTTTTCTTTGAATAATTAAAAAAATATTTTACAATTTGCTGTCTTTTCAAAACCCCTGGTAACCCATGCTGATTTTTTGTCTAAGAACATGTAATGGTATTGTAAGTTTAAATTTAGAATATCTTGAAAAATTATCAGTAGGTGATGAGGAACGTTGCGTATGTCCTTAAGTTGTAGATTTTGGATTGGAAACCCTTGGCTAACAAAGATGGAGACCTTCATGAGCAGACTGCCTTGCTTAATTATGTAAAAGTGATTACCTGTAAATAATTTACAGTAGTGTCAAATAACATCTTATATGTCCTTATAGAATAACTTATACATCACTGCAATTCAAATATGATTAGAGAAGTCTTCTCATGGAAGATCGAGTTACATGTGCTGGCAGTCCCTAATATTAAAAATAAACAATTGAATTTGTGTGTATTCAAATAGATTACATGTAATTACTTTATTCTTTCAAAAGTAACTATATAGTACAGTGTTCACTTTTTAATGCAACTTTACTGATTCAAAAAATGTAGCAAAAAAATAGTTAAAAAATAACTTCTCCTGCTTTAGATTTAGGACGGGACCAGGAGTTACTCCTTCAAAAGTGCCAAAAGACACACAGAATCTTGTTTTGACCCTCAACGTCCGGGACTTCACAAAGGTTGACCCGGCTAAAGCTTGGCTGGACGCATTGTCCGGCTTCCCGCAGCTGAAGAATGTCGCTGTGGTTCTTCTCGGCAATGAGCAGTGTGACAACGAATGGATCAAGCCGTACCTAGTGACCAATAATGGACCAGTCAAGTTTGTGTTTGTTGTTTACGATAGCCCTGATGTTGACAACAAAAACTTCTACCAGTGGCCACTTGGTGTTGCTACGTAAGTTATAGCTATCATATAGAAATTTTCACAGCAAGTTAGGTAAGATAGTTGATTTCTTCTGTAAAATTACTGTGTATTGTACATGGGGTGTTTTCATTTTCTAGTTATAGGAATTTTCCTAAAGTGAAAAGTGCCTTCATTCCAATCTCCATACAAAGAAAGCATATGTGTAACTACATGGGGACAATATACGTCAACTCTTCACGACAGGTGCTCCTGGATTTATTATCCACGCCAGAACTAAAGGACAGATGTTACGTCAAAGTTCGCCATGAGTAAGTACATATTGCCTTTTTGATGTTCAAAACTTTCTAGATTAACTATTTCCAAAACAAGGTCTGGGCACAGATTGTACAGTTGAAAACAATATTTTGACTTGATTTTTTTAAGACACAAAAACAGAGAAGACAAAAGTTTCTATCTGTCCAAGTTTATTTGTTGGCCTAATTTTTGGAATAAACTGTACTTTAATATTGTACATCAAAATATTTGTCATTTTAGATGGTTACCTGACGAGACTGAAGGTTCCCGAGATAATTACCTTAAAGTATTAGCACACAGCGACCTCACCTTTAACCCCGTGGGAATGAATCCAGAATGTTACCGCATATACGAAGCCCTCTCTTATGGCTCCATTCCCGTTATAGAGGACGTTCCTACCCTAGGGAATTGTGGGAACTCGTCTGGATTTTCTGTAAGTGCCCCTCATCGACTATTAAAGTCTGAAAAAGCACCTGTGATATTCATCAAAGATTGGCAAAAGGAACTTCCTGCCATTCTTGAGAAAGAGGCCAAAATGACACTGGAGCAGAAATCAAAACGAAGGAAGGACGTATTGTTGTGGTATGAGAATTTCAAAGCCAAAATGAGGAAACGCTTTGTGTCTGTGATTCAAGAGAAATTTTTTGGTGTTCATCCATTATTTTGAATTATATTGCTGATAACTTGTGTGACATTTGCATCGAATAATTATTGATTCCTTCATCTGTCAAGGGCGTGAAGGCGAAAAATGACGTTTTCAAATGAAAATGACTTGTGTTCTTCAGATACATGTGATATGGTGATCAAGACCTTCTTTTGACCCAATTTTGGTCAAGGGAAAGGGCAGACCAAATTAATTAGTACTGTACAATATAGTTTTAATGAAAATTAATGAGACCTGTTTCATGATTTCTACCTAATGTTGAGGGCAAAATTTGTCAGTTGTTCTTTAATAAATGCATACAATTATGTGATAAGATTTTGATAGCTTGTTGAAGTTTCAAGAATGTATTATAATAATATATTTGTGCAGATTTTAGTTATTTGTTTTATACATCAAATATGTGTCTCACTGAACAAAGGTTGTTAATTGTACAGAAAACTTTTTTCTTAATTTGTACATAATGTATGTGTATACATGTATATTATACGGTCTTTTAATTCTAAGGCAGCTGAAACTGTATAGGTTGTATTTTTTTTTTCATCCATGAAATCATTTATTGAGTTTATAATTTAGTATAAAAATGTCCAAGAAAAAAAGTCATTTTAAAAATTAATATTTTCTATGAAAAATTAACTCAGCTTGATTTACCGTAAACATTCTGAAAATGACTTAAAACAATTTTTGACAGTTCCAATGTAATAATACATGTTGATTCATTGTACTTAATCTGGAATTTAAAGCCAAGTTTTGATCTCTTGTATTCTGTGATTAAATGTGTTGGATTATGGGTAAAATGATTTCATTCTATGAATGTTCTTGCCAAAAATGTATTGAATATTCATGTTTGGTCAATGATTTTTAAGGGGAATAACTCTTTATGCACTGAACTTTTGTTTTCTAAGATTGACTCTAAAGTGTGGACATTTATATTTAGTAATGGGATCAATTTTGCTTTCTCCTGGATATAGATATTAAAATTAGTAAAAAAGGTTTTAAAAGTGAGGTACCCTAGCTGTGAATCATTGATATTTCAGAATTCTCAGTTTCTCACATGCTGAAAGAATGTGAATTCACCACATTCACAGACATAATGTCTCTGTTGCAGATGTAGCATTGATTCAAATACGGTGTAAAAGATCCAGTCTATCAGATCTCATGATTACAGTATATTTTTTTTTCAAACTTTACTAGTTATGCCAGTCAAATTCTTGGGGGATTTGGTATGGTGCAGACTGCAGGTTCTTTTTGTTGGTAGGTGTTGGGGGTTAACATTTACATATTTGTGGTCTCAATGCATGAAGAGATAGGTAGTGGATTTACTCATCCTTAAAAGTGTATTTAAACTTTTGTTTGAGAAAAATACATTGTTTACTTTTAATCTTCTCATATTGTTTAATGCATGTATATTTTACCTAAACAGTAATTTTTACCCTGCCAAAATCATGAATATTATACTTTAATTTTTACCCTGCCAAAATCATGAATATCATACTTCTCATAACTATTTTTAGTTCATCTACAGATGGTGCTGCTGTTATTCATACCTTGAAGGTTATAGTTCATATGTACATAGCTTTAGTTATGTGCACATTTCATTTATTTATCTACATTTGTATTTGAATTGTCTTAATTTTGTAATATATCTGTTATAAACTTTTTGTTCAGTGGTTGTGTACTTGAACTGTCCTAATAATTAAAATGTCAGCACTGTGATTTCACATACATGTATTTACAGTCAAACATGCTTATAGTATAACATGCTTCAACTATATTGACTGAACTGAAGACAACTTGCAGAAAAACTGGATTTTGGTTCGAAGTATTATAAAGGGAGATAACTTTTCATTGCTTTCTGAGCAATTCATGTTATTAGAATTTTACATGAACCACTGGAAAGTTAATACTGTACATGCTAGGTGCTCTACATGTAGCTCATGGTCATTGTACACCTATTTGCATTCCATATTTGCCAGTGATATTACACTCTAACTGCCTATATTTTATTCTCTGTGAGAAGTGCTTTAAAAATTTCTGTAAATTTTTTGACTATCTTTAGATGCTGGTTATTTCAATAATGGGAAAAAACATGCTTGACAAACCTTTGTGTTTATAGTTGACCATTTTACAGTAAAACTTATCTGATCCAGATGCTCTGTATTCCAAAAACTTGTCTATTACGGTGAAAAAACTCAATGTTATTCTGACAGTAAATTCAAACACTTAATATTTTCTCCAAATATGGGCTGTTGTTTATTCAGGCAAATGTGTGCCATGGAACCAATGCTCTGTGGATTAAACAAGTTTTGCTGATCAATAGATACATGTAGGTAACAATAAATTAAGAAAAGATTATCAATGTCAAAAATTTATTTTAAAGCTTTTTAGGAAAAGTAATTACATATGTAGTCATATTGAATCTTGTATATTCTTTCATCCATTTCATTGTTAGTTTGTTATATTTCCAGAAGAATAAAATGCAACAGAAAAAAATTAACTTGTTCTGTACATATATAATTTAATGATCGATCTCTGTCAACACAGAAGCTGATCATGACAGTCTGAATCTTGGTTTCTCAAATTTGGGAGTAAAAAAAATTGTAAAAAAAGATCATTCAAAGTTAAACATATATCAATGTAAACATTTCTGGTATTAATAAGGTCAAAAGACCTTTGATTTATCTGGGTTGTCCCTAAAAATTAAAATAGAAGGGGATATATATATATATTCAAAAAGTAAAACAAGATCATGAGTTTCTTCCCCTGATGAGGAGTTTAGGTATCAAAATAACTGGCGGATTACATCCTTATATACGAGGAAATTTTCTGGCCCCCGGGTCTGAGGGACAACCCTGCTTATAATAATGGCATCCTAATGGAAGAACTTCTCAACCATCTGAGAGAAAAACTTTGAGATATCCAATGATTCAAGATATGAAGGGTGAAATACATAAAGAACAAGTGTTTGACTTCCAAATCGCTCCAACATATCCATGGTATTTGAGTTACAGGGGCGTTCTACAAAAGAACTTACGATTAAGACTACTGGGTAAAAACTTTAGGAGATTGTAAAATTTTGCAGAATAAATGATTCTTTTTAAAATTGATAACATATCTTTCTACATTCCTTTTTTAAAAAGATTAAAACCATTGGTGCCTAATGTAAATTAGAAAATTAAAAGAATTAAATTTTAGTTTTAGTCCTAAGTTCTTTGTAAAAAGGGCCCCTGTATCTCAAATACCATGGATATGTCAGAGCGATTTGGAAAATGCGTACATCACTTGTTTTTATGTATTTCACCCCTCACAGTTTGAATCTTGCGTTATATCTCTCAGTTTTTTCTCAGTCTCATCTAATTTGAGATAACAGGGTTCGTCTCTATGTATTTATGGTTGAAATACAGAAATATGATTACGTCAAATACTTTCCATTTCCACAAGAAAAATAGATGAAGGACTGTACTTGCAGCAGCATGCATCAAACTTAATAAACAGCTGATATTCAATGTTTTGTTGTCTAATGGACAACTATGTATTTACTGTATAGTTACAGTGAAATTTTTGCCCCCTTATTTTTTAACCCAGTATCAACTTGCAAAGGATATTACCCTGTTCTAAATTTTCCTAAAATATTTCTGGTTAACAGTTAACTGTCATATAATGAATTCTCCCTGTTTTTAAAATTATATTGAAATCAGTAATAAATTTGTAAATGATTTAATCTTCTTAATTAAAAGTCAAATACATCATAATCTCTGATCTCTCTAGATAACAACATTGCGGTATTTTTTGTGTTTCTTCTCTTCCGGTTTTATAAATTTTCTCCGCGGTAATACAGTTCTAGCTTCCATTGGATCCCCAGTGAATTTAAGTTTGGCCAGATATTTCACAACGTGGTTCAGAGCCAACCTCTTGGATCCATAAATCCTGTAACAAGAAAAAGAAATCTATTAATTTCTTCAGTCAAAATATAATGGTATAAAATGAAAACATTTAATCCAAGAAAGGCATGCTTTTTCAATTTAAAACTTAAAAAATTGTAAACATTAGAGCACTACAATGGACAATACCAGTCTTTTAAAAAATGTTGACTTTGATCATTTTGATTTTTTTAGACATAAATCTTAAACGTGTTTGAAGAATAATTTTGTCAACGATTTTACTCACGTGTCACCAATATCAATGGGCAGTCTGCGTATTTTAATGTTATCCTCAAACGCCCTGCTGTACGACAACTTGTCTTTTGTTGTCTTATCCACTATAGCACCAATAATAGGTATCCCGTCTTGCTCGGGAATGTAATAATGCTTGGCATCTGGCGAAAGATACACCAGTTCCTCTCTCGGAAACAAGTCCAGGTAACTCTTGTCTGTGATTAGTGACACAGGAAGATCATTCAAGGTCCTACGACTACCGCAGTACTCCTTGGACCGAAAAACTTTTAAAAACTCATTGTCTTCCAACGACGGCTTAGCATTACAAAACATTATATTCAGAGTCGGTGTTGGTTCGAAAGCAGATCTGTTGATGCACTCGACTAAAGAAAACAATTGTCTGGCCACGTGAACGATTTCACTGTAAACTAACGAGTCAGCGAAGCCTAGGTCAATCAGAATCGGGTCCTCTAGCATGGTGGCCTGACCCACGCGATTGTTGATTATCAGCCTCTCTGTAAAGTTAAACATGTCCTTGTAAAAGCGCTCGGGAATATCTGGGTTCCTTTCTGTTGTCACTTTTTCACGGGGTTGCTTAGACCTTTTCCAGTGATTTTTCTGAAGAAAGCTACAAAATAGTATTAAATGTCTGAGAAAAGGGAAATACTTGTCTTCTTTTGTAAACACTTTATCTCAACATTCTCATGAAAAGAGTAGATATACATTTACATCCTTTAATGTTTTTTAAATGCAATTTCTAAATATCTTTTTAGGTCAACTGAGTAAACTCAGGTGACCTATTACTATCCGTATTCATCCATCTTCATTCGTCGTGCGTTAACATTTGAAAATTTTCACTGAAACCGCTCAACCAATTTCAACCAATTTTGGCATATAGCATCTATGGGTGAAGGGGAACAAAAGTTGTGAATTTCATGGTCCCTGCCCCCCTGGGGCCTGGGGGATGGGGCCAAAACCACTAAACACAAGTGAGTTAAGGATATACGTATGGAGTTTCTATGCAAAATATTTAATTAAAACCCACAATTACTATACATATAGCAAAGAAAATGTTAAATCTTGTTTCCTAATACATTCTTGGTATCCACGATATACGAAAGCCAGTACACATTATGAGGTCATATTATGACGTCATCAACCTGTACTACACAAGTTTATAAGACACATCAACAAAATCTCTCTGGCGCAAGGGCATACCTTACTTTGTTTTCGAGAAACAAGGTATAAAAGGATGCAAAATTTTCCAAGGATTTAGGATATTGCTGCACAAATGTCGACATTGAAATTGTTTACTTTCTATTTGTACAGTTCTAAGTTGAAACAGGGTAAAAATTCATAGTCCAGTGTAATTTTCCGAAAATTTTTATCAATTGAAAAAATACATAGGATTTGCGCAACAATTTTATTAATTTTAAGAATATTCTCCTTAATATTTTACATTATTTATTTTAAATCAAATAGGATATGCCCTTGCGCCCATGTTGTTTTGTTGATGTGTTTTATTCCTTGAATGGGAAAGAACAATGACGTCATAACAGGACTTCATAATGTGCACTTGCATTAATATACTGTTGGTACTAAGTATACATAACAAAATCAATTTGAACTTTTTCCATAAATAAAGTATACAATTTATGCATTTTTATTAGCTCATTTGCATAGAAAAGCTTATATTTAGCCTAAACTCACTTGCGAAATTAGTGCAATATTTAAAAATCTTTTTCTTTACTCCTGGACATCAAGCAGTCAAACTGTTGGCATGATTGCTATCAGCATTGAGTCCTCTACCTAAATTGTAAAATTCATGGCCACAGGGTCAGGGGTTCTAGCGCTAGGGCGGGGCTATATTGATTATATAGTGAAAATGCATTATTTCTTTGAAAATCTTCTTCTCTGTTTCTGAGAACTAAATAAACGAATTTCAGTACATAGTAATGATGAGTAAGAGTGCCTCTTTTAAAATTTTGAATTTTATGGCCCCAGGGTCAGGGGTTCTGGTGTTAGGACGGGGCTCTATTGATTATAATAGTGAAAAATGCATTAATTCTTTGAAAATCCTTTTCTTTGCTTTTGGGTACAAATAAACTAACTAAGTATATAGTAATGATGAGCAAGAGTGCCTCTTTTGAAATTGTGAATTTTATGTCCCCAGGGTCAGGGGTTCTGGTGTTAGGGTGGGGCTCTATTGATTATAAAGTGAAAATGCATTTATTCCTTGAAAATCTTCCTTCTCTGCTCATGAGTATTAAAACCAGAAGTCTCTGTCGAGACTGTAGCTCTACTGGTTTGTACTGATCAAAAACCGATGCACAGAATTATGTATCTTAGTGTAGTCTACTTGTGTGATAAGTTATATTGAAATCAGACCAAAACTGTAGAAAGCATTTTAAAGGAATTCACAGAAAATTCTACTTTTAGTAACCATGGCAACACCGTTCATTGAAATCAAAAACCGATGCACTATTATATGTAAATTAGTGTAGTTTACTTGTGTGCCAAGTGATAATGAAATCAGACCAAAACTGTAGAAGGAGTAGCGTTTTAAAGGAATTTCACAGAAAATTCTATTTTTAGTAACCATGGCAACATCGTTCATCGAAATCAAAAACCGATGCACTATTTTATGTATCTTAGTGTAGTCTACTTGTGTGCCAAGTGATATTGAAATGAGACTAAAACTGTAGAAGGAGTAGCGTCTTAAAGGAATTTCTCAGAAAATTCTATTTTTAGTAACCATGGCAACATTGTTCATCGAAACCAAAAACCAATGCACTATTTTATGTATCTTAGTGTAGTCTACTTGTGTGCCTAGTAATATTGAAATCAGACCAAAACTTTAGAAGGAGTAGCATTTTAAAGGAATTTCTCAGGAAATTCTATTTTTAGTAACCATGGCAACACCATTACCGTTTATTGAAATCAAAAACCGATGCACTATTTTATATATCTTAGTGTAGTCTACTTGTGTGCCAAGTTATATTGAAATCAGACTAAAATTGTAGGAGGAGTAGCGTTTTGAAAAATAAACTAGACAGACAGATGGACATATTACTATGGCATCAACTCTTCTGGTCTCTGACCAGTAGAGCCAAAAACTAACTAAGTTATGATAAGTAAGAGTGCCTCATTTATTATTGTAAATCTTAGGGCCCCAGGGTCAGGGGTTCTTGTGTTAGGGTGGGGCTCTATTGATTATATAGTGAAAAATGCATTAATTCTTTGAAAATCTTTTTCTGTGCTCCTAGGTATTAAATAAACTAACTAAGTACACAGTTATGATGTGCAAGAATGCCTCTACCAAAATTATGAATTTCATGGCCCCAGGGTCAGGGGTTCTGGTGTTAAGGCGGGACTCTATAATGATTATATAGTGAAAATACATTAATTCTTTGAAAATCTTCTTCTCTGCTCCTGGGTAATAAGCCGGTGAACTATCTATATAGTTATGATGTGCAGGGGTTCTTCTTCCAGAATGGTGAATTTCCAGGCCCCTGGGTCAGGTGTACCATGGGGGGGGGGGGGGGGCTCTACTTAAATACTGAAAATGGATTGTTTGAAATCTGCTCCTTGGTATTAATCAAACATTTTTGATAAGCAAGTGTGCCTTTTCAAAAATTGTGCAATGTGTGAACCTAGGGTCAGGGGTTCATATGTGGTAGGGGCACTTCTTATTATTGCTGAATATTACCGATTAGTTGATATGCATTTTTTTGTTCCCCTACCCTGCTTATGGGTATTAAGTAACTAAACTAAGCAATTTATACCATGGGGGGCACTAATTAAATACTGAAAATGAATTGTTTGAAATCTGCTCCTTGGTATGAATCAAACATATTTGATAAGCAAGTGTGCCTTTTCAAAAATTGTGCAATGTGTGAACCTAGGGTCAGGGGTTCATGTGTGGTAGGGGCACTTCTGATTATTGCTGAATATTACCGACTAGTTGATACGCATTTTTTTGTTCCCCTACCCTGCTTATGGGTATTAAGGAGACTTAGTAACTAAACTAAGTAATTGCTAACTTCATAGTTATGATTAGCAGTGGTGCCAGCCTCTTTCAAAATTGTGAATGCTATAGCATCTATCTTAAAACATGAACCAAATTCTATCATTTGAAAGTTGTTGCATGATTCTCAGGTGACCTATACGGCCATTTTAACCACAGTGACTTTAAAATTCTTCATGAAGACTTTTTCAGGACAGAGCTATACATCTCTTTTCTTCTTTACTACTATGAAAAGCAATTAGGCAAAAACCTGCAAAAATTTGCTTTAAACATGTTAAAACCTTTCTTCACAAATACTTTTAACTTACAGAAAATGTTTTTCCCTGGCACTTTTGCCTTCTAGATTCATTGTATTCAACCACTGTGTATCAGTGGGATCAGGCATCTAAAAATATAGAAAAATAAGACAATCACCTTATAAATCCAATGAAATGCATTCAAACAGTGCTGGAATCAATGCCTGTATGAAATAAACATCAGATTACTGAATAAATCTAAAAATACATGTATGAAGTAAAACAAATCCCTTGTACCAATTCCATTAATCGCTATCCCATATAAACCTAGACATTGTAGAAATTTATGCTATTGGAAGGGTATAAGTAACAACACTTTACAGAAAATCTTAAAGAGATGCATATTGATATTAAAAAAATTTCACCAAATCTTATATTACATCTAATTTGCCCATCCTGCAGAGTGCCAGATATTCTGACTGGACAATCTGAAATAGCCTCTTCTCCTCGGGACTCGCATGTTCCTCAAAATCCTCCAGATTCTGGATCTGATCCGTGGGATAAAACTTTCTCCTCTTGTTTGTGAGAAGATTTGATGTTGAAGAAAAGTTTTTTGACCATTGTTGACTTCTACAGTAATTTGTTCTGAAGCCTTTTCTCAATGACCTTTTAAATTAAAAAGAAGGTACATGTATAAAATTTTTGTTAAAAAATATCAAGACTTAAAAATTATTGGCCAAAAATGTATAATACTATTTTTTAATGAGATCTTACATACAATTACACTTATGTACTAATTTTTTCATATATAATTTATTTGCATATATTATGTTGAAAATTTGGGAAGATCGAAACTTAAATTGACCTTTAACAGAAATACACTTCATCAATGTTCACATAAAAAAAAATTTGGCTTGAATTTTTTTGTTTTAGCCACAAAATTTACTTACCTCTGTAGTAACTTTATTGACCACATCTTACTTTAGCTTCATGGATTGTTTAGTTTCTATGTAATCTATAATATAAAACATGATTGTAATGGCCAGTAAAATGGTACAGATCTTAAAAATGTTCATAAATTTTATTCGAATAGAGAATACAGCACAAATTCTTTTTGATAGGCTTTTATCCCTCTACATAGATAAAAGTATACATTGTTAAACAAAATTAAAATATCAAAATTTACACCAATGAGAAATTTTCTGAGAAAGCATGGAGCATTTCAAAAAGTACAAGAAAAATCCATTGCAGTTTGGAAACATTTAAATACTTCAGTATTTATCAGGTCCAGGCCAAGGACTATTTCTACCTACGTAGCTATCAATAGCAAACGCAGCGAGGCGGCGCAAAGCGCCGCTTGCGTAGCGAGCTCAATAGACTAACGTGTACAAACGGAGGAAATTCGGGTTGAAATCTGCACATTGTTTCAAGAAATTTTTATCTCACCGCATGAAAAAATTCCAAACTCCCAATAATCCTTTGCGGTGCATAGCAACATGGTGGCTAAAACATAGCAACAACTTACTTGAAAAAAAATACAAACAACGATTTAATGCAATATCCATGCCACAAAACTATTTGTTCTTTAAGTCAACAGGAAATTTGAAACTTTCGTCAATTAACGACTCGGGTATTTCCGATTTTGTCGGAAACTTCCGATATGTTCGGAATCTCGATCCCGACGCCTGAGAAGTGATTTCTTTTTATTCTTTTCTTTTTTTAATGAACTGAGGATAGGCAGTGCAAGTAAAAGCTGTGTAAAGGTTTTTGATAGTAAGTAACTGCGCTCGCCCCAACGGTCGCACCCTAGAACATATTAGCTACGTAGGTATTTAAACCTACCCAAAGTAGCTATTTTTACCTACTTTCTGTTTTACTTGCATTTTGTGGCCAAACTCAGGAACGGCGCAACATGGTGAGCACTGAATTTCTTGATACAGTCACACTAATGATGGATATGACAAAAATTTGGCCAAAAATTGATTACTTCATATATTATCAATTTTGCATAGAATCTAATGTAAAATATCCTATTCAGGAAGTAATCATTTTTTGGACAAAATTTTGTCGAATTCATCATTAGAGTGACTGGTATTTACCATGTTGCGCCGTTCAGTCATTTGGCCACAAAATGTTGATAAAACAAAAAGTAGGTAATAATAGCTACTTTGGGTAGGTTTAAATACCTACGTAGCTATTAATAGCTACGTAGGTAGAAATAGTCTTTGGACTAGACCTGTTTATTCCTGAATATGGTGGAGTACATTGTTGTTGGATCAGAAAAACATGATTGTCTGTGAATAATAATATGAAAGTGCCCTCTCCAGATCGATTAACTAAATCTGTCCACTATTCCTAGTTTTTGTTTACACCTACAACATGTACAGATCTATAAAATTTTACATATTAATTAAATGTTGTTAAAAGAAAATGATTTCCAAAGACCGATATGACTCCAGTAAGTTCTGTAAGAAGAAACTCTATTTTCCATTTTTTCTGCTTTGTTCACCCTGTTGCAATGTAGATGTTACGATAGCCGAAAATACTTGAAAAGAATGTTTGACATCTGTTCAAGTAGTTCCGAGGAAATTCGAAACATTTGCAGATTTTGTGAATAACGTGGTCATCTACTTGTTCCTACCTTTGACATCAACGGATAAATCTTGATTAGGAAATGGATGATGATAAAGTACAACTGGTATCCATGATTAACAAAATTTCTTCTGCTCAGTTAGAAAAATACGTGATGTTTCCAAACCCACATGGAATCCATTTGTTTACTAGCGCATGCGCACACTTGATACATAGGTATACTGCAAATTTATTGGGATAACTCAATATTTTCCGAAATAATGTACTGAACTAACCAAACACGTGCGTGCACACTAAATAAAAAATTATAACGTTTCTCTAAGAAAACCTTGAGGACAGATCTACCCTGATATACCACTAAAAAAAAATAACATTCTTTTCGACAAACTCACTTGAAGTTTTATCTGGATAACAAAGGCGTCGGAAGCAAATTAAGAAGGAATTAAGGAGGGGGTATATACATCTAGTTTTGCCCTGTCAGTTCGTCCATCTGTCTGTCTAGCTGCAGACACGTAGCATCGTTTTTGAAAGGCGGGGGGGGGGGCAACCAGAGAAAATTTTTTTACTTACCTGAAAAAAGGGAAAATAGCCCAAACTCGAAAATCCTAACTTTTTTTGAAGACCAATTTCCTTTCACTTACAATTTTTTCCATACAGTACTACATATCCTTGATATCATTTTACTATGGTAAGAAGTGGGGGGACAACCAACCTTTCAATATAGACATTTTCAATAGTAAAGGTAATGTTGGGAAAAAAATCCCCCCCCCCACCCCCCACCTCTGTTGCTACGTCCCGCCTGTAGCTGTTTGTCAGCAAAACTGTAGCCATAACTTTAGATAGGTTAGAACTTTGGCTTTAATGACTTTCAAACTAGTTCATATTTATCCATCTTCCAAAGTCAAGAGTTTCTGATTCGCTTGGAGCGGAGCGGATCAGAAACTGTATAAACAATATCAAATTCTCAAAATAAAAAAAAGTGCCGTTTTGACTTTTCTAAAGTGCCATTTTGACTACTCTAAAGTGCCGTTTTGCATATTTCCTAAGTGCCGTTTTCACCAGGTGCCGTTTTGACTTGTACCCATGTTACATTGTACCCGATGATATCTATCCAGTTTGCTAGAGGTTTACGGCGAGATACTTTGCGTGTATATCAGGAGATAAGCCTACAGAGAAATAACCGAGGCACCTTTCTTGTAGGAGTAAATTTCTTGCCGACCTTCGTTTTTGACCTTGACGTCAATAACAGTTCTTCGCTTTACTGCAAAACTTTTAATCAAGTTATAGCATTTAAAGTACATGTAGTAAGGAATCGCTTGCCCATCTATTTTGCTGGGCTATTACTCTGTAATGGAGAATGATTTTTGAAGGAATAATAGTGCATTTTCAGTGTATGATCAATAGAGCCCCGCCCTAACACCACAACCCCCAACTCAGGGGTCATAAAATTCACAATTTTGGAAGAAGCACTCTTGCTCATCATAACTAGATTCTTAGTTAGTTTGTTTAATACCAAGGAGCAAAGAAGTTTTCACTATATAATCATTAGAGCCCCGCCCTAACACCAGAGCCCCTGACCCAAAGGCCATAAAATTCACAATTTTTGAAGAGGCACTCTTGGTCATCATAACTATGTACTTAATTATTTTGTTTAATACCCAGGAGCAGAGGAGAAGATTTTCAAAGAATTATTGTATTTTCACTACATAATCAATAGAGCCCCGCTCTAACACCAGAACCCCTGACCCAGGGCCATGAAATTCACAATTTTCAAAGAGGCACTCTTGGTCATCATAACTATGTACTTGGTTTGTTTGTTTAATACCCAGGAGCAGAGGAGAAGATTTTCAAAGAAATAGTTAACTTTTACTATATTATCTATATAGTCCCGCCCTAACACCAGAACCCCTGACCCAGGGGCCATGAATTTCATAATTTTGGTAGAGGACTCAATGTTGATTACAATCATGCCAAAATTTTGACTGCTTGATGTCCAGGAGTGAAGAAGATTTTTAAAGATTGCACTAATTATAGTGGTTTTGGCCCCACCCTCCAGGCCCCAGGGCGGGGCAGGGGCCATGAATTTCACAATTTTTGTTCCCCTTAACCCATAGATGCTATTTGCCAAATTTGGTTGAAATTGGTTCAGTGGTTTCAGAGAAGAAGCTAAAAATGTTCAAAAGTTTACGAACGACGGACGACGTACGACGATGTACGACAACGGACGAAAAGATTTAGCAATAGGTCACCTGAGTTTACTCAGGTGACCTAAAAAAAGGTCTGAAGCTAATGTCAAAAGGGGAGTGGCGGACAATTTGCAACATCTTAGACCTTTCCAAAGAGCGGAAAAATAAACTCGAATGTTTCACCATTCATATCCATCCCCCTTACACACACTCACGTGTACCACATACAAACTATATAACTTCGATGCTTCGATCGTACACATTTTTAACATAGAAATGTTTTGCAACTGTATATATATATATATATATATATATATATATATATATATATATATATATATATATATATATATATATATATCCAGAATTGTTCATATAGAGACAAGTCATGTTATATAAGAGAACGAAAATGTTAAAAAACATTCCTAAGATTTCGATTAGAGCAGACCTTTCCTACAAGCTCGGCTAAACACCTCTAACATGTCAAGTTCATTTGCTGTTTGAATTTTCTACAAAATAGAGTTGCTTGCTATATACATGTTTTACAAATAAAACCAGGACAATTTTTTTATAGAAATGTTTTGAAAATCTCCACATTTTGTTAATTAAAGTAGTAAGTAACTGTACAAAACGATTGAAAGACATCGGAGTAGGAACTGATTCCCCCTCCCGAATCATGTATTAATGGGTTTTTTTTTCGTTTGTCAAATTCTTTTCAGATATCAAGTTTAACCCACCCACCCACCCACTCCCCCCAACACACACACATACACCACACACACACACTCAACCTTTCAAATTCAATTCTATGTCACTGCTTTGTCAGCAATTTTCGTTAATGAAGGATATGGAGATTTAACAGTATTTATAAGAAGTATAAAACACAAAAAATTGGATTGACAAACATGGACCTTCAAAACATCAGAGATTTGATAAGATGCCATGACGGAGTGAGCTTTCCCTGCCGACCAGTCACACCTGCCGTGTATACTTTGTATTAATTTATCGGGGTAATAATAAAAAAAAAATTATCTAAATTGTGGGTATAAATAATGGACTTACAATTAAAGTGAAAAATTCATCACATTTGACTAATGATAAATTGTATGCTGATCAACTGGTCATTGTATCGACCATAGAATCTGATTTTAAATATATTTGGTTCTAAAATGATATATTCAAAAAAATGCTGAATTGAAGATTCTGAGGTTAAATTGAACGTAAATAAAAAGGTATTTTCACAATAAAAATATCATAAGTCAAGGTCAGATTATTTATTTTCTTTGCAGAGGAGGACAGATTATTTATTTTCAACATTTTCAGGGACAGATTATTTATTTCCTTTTCAGAATCAAATGGTCGTCCCCTTAGTGTGTCATTTCATTCCACTTGACTCAAGGTCATTCTGATTAGTTCAAAGGCGCGGAAATAAAAATAATTTTTTTTCTCTGTGATATGAGTATGTAATGAATGTTTACTGGAAGCTCAAGTATGACACAAAAAATGACTAAAATAAAAACCAAAGCTAACTTTTATAAGGTTCTCGGTAAATTGAGGGTTAAATGTCAATTTATGCTTACAGTACGTTGTACATCATTGCATAAGTCATATTCTTCTACATTAATTTGTAATGCTTTTTACCAAATCTACCGAAGCTTAAGTCAGTTTTCTTAAATTGTTGGAGAGATCAATACATCTTCACCGCAGAATTAAAATTGTTATACCCCTTGCAAAGTTTAGGGGTTGGGAGGCGGATGAAACTGTCTGTCTGTGTATTGTAATCTTGTCCAGACTCAAAGACCATAAACTGGGAACTGCAGACTCAAGTCAAAATTTCAAATCAATATCATTAAAAAAAAGATTACTTTGATATTGAAACAAAATTTTTACCAAATTTATGAATTTTTCTATTACACAAATCTGCAATTTTTCTTTCATATAAATCAGAACTCAAAATATTCAAAATCAAAATTTTGACTTGACTGCTCTCAATTTATGATCTTGAGGCTCTATAACTTTGTAATGGAGATTCACTTGAAGCTCATACTGTGTACAGAGATTGCTTTTCAATCAAAGGTGTGATGAGACCTGCCACAAGGTTGTTTAAGCAAGTTCAAGGTCATTGGCATAAAAAAAGTTTCAATTCTTCTCTCAGCTACTGAACTTCGTAGGAAAATCACAGGAAGCTCAAATATACAGAGTTTGATTATGTCAGGAAATTATCTTATGATTTGACCTTACAATGAAGGTCATTCAGCAGGATCAAGGTCATTGGCAGAAAAAAATAACATCTTGTTCACGCTATTTCTTTGCAGGGGCGATTCACATTAATCTCCACTAAAAAGTACAGAGAATGCTTATCAATGATGGTGTAATAAAGACCCTTTTGATTTGGCATGTTCAAGGTCATTGGCTGAAAAAATGCAATATTCTTGCCTGGACTTTAAAGCCCTAAGGGTATGTGATGATCTTCACACGTATAACAAAAGTCATGTACCAGTATTAAACATTTATTGTAAAAAAGATGAAAATTCAGCCATTCTCATTATCTTCTACCTCGTTTATATTGTCATTTTGAATTCTTTTTTTGGATGGTAAAACATCACCGGCTTGCACAGGATCATGGGTAAAGTTTAGTTTTGCTACATATTCCACAATCTGGTTTAATGCTAACCTCAGTGGTCTACTTCTCCTGTGTAACAAAAATAAAGAATTTTTACAAATTTAATACAACTGTCTTTTGGGTTGAATTTTATTTGGATTAACATTGGACCTTTTTTAAAAAGTCCTTTACAAGTATATACATGGCATTTAAGTTTAGAGCATTTTCAAAATACTTAGGTTGGATGTACGTGTAATATTTAACCCTTTGACAGTTAAAAATGAGAGTTTTATGTTAATACCAGTACTTTGGTGTCCAAAAATATTTTTCTTTCATTTCTAATTAAAATTTAAGCAAATCTAGTCTACAGTACTACTTAACAAAAAGAAGCTATACATAAATTGCACATATAACTTACGTTTTGTCATATTTAAAGGGAAGTTTACAGGTAATAATATCATCTTTAAATGCCCTTTTGAATGACAATTTGGCGCTATCAGACCGTTTCTGGTCCTCCATGGCCCCTATGATTGGTATCCCATCATCCCCGGGATAATAGTACTTCCTGGCATCTTCCGTTAAGTACACTAAATCTTCCCTCGGAAACAACTCTAGGTAACTTTTCTCAGTCACTAGGGAAAATGGAAGATCTTCCAGCCGAGCATTTCTACCCAAATGTCTCATTCTGAGAATCTTTATGACTTCGTTTTCCTCAACAGAAGGTTTAACATTGCACAGAATAACATTCAGTGTCGGGGATGGTTCGTAAACAGAGGCATTGATGGCCGCCACTAATGATTGAATTTGCCCAGCCACTGCTAATATTTCCTTGTAAACTAATTTGTCCGTAAGTCCTAAGTCTATCAGAATGGGGTCTTCTAGCATCATTGCCTGAGCAACACGATTCTTGATTAGCAATCTCTCTGTGGCGGTGTAGATGTGCTTATAGAAAAGTGTGATGTCTGCAGGCATTAACTCTTCTTCTTTCTCTTCAGATTCACTTTCCCTTGCCTTATCCAGTATTCTCTCCCTTTGCCTCATTTGAAAAATCCTACAATTTATAGCCCAGAATTAGATCTACCTGTAAATATTTATAATATAAAGAATAATGGTTTTCTGTGTATGATCAAATACTATTTTAAGGTATGTATTTGTATGAAGGCTGCTACTTCACCTAAACTTTTTTGTTAAGAACCTAACATGGTATTTTTTAGCTGCAGATCTGTAGCTTTCCGAAAAAATATATTGATAGACAAAAGCAGTGCCACCTTCTGTATATTTATTGCACAATACAAAAAATCAGGGTGAAGACTATTAACAACAATTATATGTAAAACGAAAGAATATGTTAGGAACACACCATGAAATTACAGTTTTAAAAACATTCAGCACTTTTTTGTGCGTATAAATATACTTTTATTCCACAATATATAGAGAATCAATTTTTTAATATTATAAAACAAACCATATTCAAAAACATTGAGGTATAATTCTTTTATTCCACAATAGGAATCAGTTAAATATAATCATTTACTTTAAACTCACTGAATATTTTTTCATAACTTACTACATGTAACTACAGTGTATTTATTTTAAACTTTACCTAAACTTTTTCCGCCTGGCCTTAGCCGTATCCAAATTCATCAGCAACAACCACTGTAGATCTGAAAGCTCTATCTGTAAATATTTAAATATTACAGAATTACAGTTAAATCTTATTATCTTGTAGTGATGGGACCAAGAAAAATCTTCAAGTACCCAAGGATTTGAGATAATGAGGGTAAAATACTTTAAGAATAAGTGTGAATTAGGAGTTCCAAATCACTTTGACATATATCCATGGCATTTAATTTATATTCATGTAGCATTTAAATTTGCCCACTTTAAAATATGTCAGATTTTAACTTTCAACACAGGGGATGACAAATCCCATTGCCTGAAGCCCAGGGCTAGTGAATTTCAGGGATAGGCAGATGTAATTTTAATTAATAAATTATCAATCACTTGCCAAAGTGTAATAATAATTATTGTTAAATTAAAGAAATTTAAAAAAATGCATGTTTTCTTCATTTAATCAATTATTCAAGTGCTTCAAAAATATTGACAGGCAACAAAAATCCTTCCATTTACCCTGATGAAAAATATTGAAAGACACCGATATGTTGCTTATTACAGTGTATTCTTACTTAAATGCAAGCAAATAAATATAAGTGTTGAATTACTGTATTCAGGGAAAATTTAGCCGCTGTTTTATTTTTGCCCCTTTCACCCTCATTGCAATTAATGGGCAAATTTAAAACTGAATGACAACTGATTGTGTCCCATTCCCAATAACTAACCTCTATTCTGCCCATTACCATACTTGCCAACCTCCAGCATGTAAAAATCTGGTCATGACCAGATTTGGAAAGTAAAAAATCTGGTCATTAACGACAAAATATTTACCATGATTAAATTTTATACATATATATATACATTGAAAGTATTTGTGTATTGGGAATTTTTTTTATTGAAAAAGGATTTAATTTACTATGAGAAAAAAATCCATACATAATTTGATTTAATTTACATGTTAAAAATATAAACCATATTTATATGAAGTAATTAAGTGTGCATTTAAAAAAAAAAAAAAAAAAAAAAAAAACCTTTTCAGTTTCTGTTAAAGAGGTAGGTTCACAAACCATTAAAATGGTGATCAATATACCAATTAACTGACCAAGTCCAACGTTCCATGTAACATCAACATGTAGCCCAGTGCTTTCAGTTCATATAAAAAATTTAGTCTGAGAGTCAAAGTTTGGAAATTTTATCAATGTTCATTTTTTAAATTGAAATTGAGCATCTTCAACTTTTTATTACAAATAAAATGTTCATGGACTAGGATGAAATTGTTCTTTCATTATATATATAAATATTTTAGATCACAGGTTGGGGGCTATGCAAAATATTAAAAAACAGCTTAATTTTTTTGTCATTTTTAGAGAATTTTCCAGATTTGTACCCTGATGAAAAATAATTGAAAGACAAAATTCCGTCAATTTTATTTGATATATTACAGTGTGAAATTCTTACTAAAATGCAGTTGCATTTTTCAAAAAATATACAGGGCCAAAAATGGACCAATGTACTTTTATTCAGGGAAATTTTCAGTTTTGAAGTTTTCTCTCTTAATTAATTAACTACTGCAATATGTTTTAAATGTGAAGTTAGGCCTACACTGTTACAATCACTTTAAAATTAGATGAAAGTTTTTTCTCCAAGATTCCTTGATATGTACATAAATATTGTTTCTCTTTTTCTGGGTTAAATCAGAGACGTGTTTGGTTCAATTTGTTCCTGTTGGCCCTGATAACGGTCAGTTCTAGGAAGCCATTTTAATTGACTTCAAACAATTTGTCAAAACAACACCCAGTTAATTGTTTACACCTGCAAATATATCAATGATTTTGCAGGTAACTTGGGTTTAATTGGAAATTAAACGTAGAATTTACGAACCAAATCCGGAAAGCAGGAGATTTTCGTGTTGTTCGGCAAAAATTGGGTGATAAGCATGACCCGCCGGGTCATAAAAAATAATTGGGTTACAGGTTGAAAAATCGGGTGTGACCCGACGAAATCGGGTGAGTTGGCAACTATGCCCATTACCCTGAGGGCCTGGTAAATAATCTCTATTCTGCCCATTGCATTGAGGGCCTGATAATTTAAAACATTGCCCAGAGGGTGTGGACAATCTCTACTGTGCCCCATTACCAATAACTAACCTCTATTCTGCCCATTGCCTTGAGAGCCTGGTAACTAACCTCTATTCTGCCCATTGCCCGGAGGACCTGATAACTAACCTCTAATCTGCCCATTGCCCGGAGGGCCTGGTACTCAGACTGAACTTTCTGTAACAGCTCCTTCTCCTCAGGACTAGCAAATTTCTCAAAATCCTCCAAATTCCTGATCTTGTCTGTGGGATAAAACACAGTCTTCCCATTTACTGACAGACTTGGGGAGGAAAACAATCGAGACCAATGATTTTTCATTCTGTAGCAGTTAGTTCCAGTCAGTTTCCTGAAAGACCCCAAGAAAAAAAAATTACAACATCAGAGACAGATTAAGATTCCTATAAAATATGTAAGTCAATTATCAAGACAATTAATATACTTGAACTTGACATATTATTCACCATAATTCAATCACAGCAACTGAATGGGTTTGGGGTTGTAAAAATTCCACTCTCTATATAACAGTAAGTTATATACTTGAAAGAAGTTGTATATAGTTAGTTGTATTTTACAGTAGGACTTGGTGCTTTCATATCCTATTAAAAAAAATCTTTAAAAGTCCAGGTCTAGGAGAACTGGCTGTATGAAATTGCATTGTTCAATTTTTAGGTAAACAGGTATGATTGATATGTGAGCACACTCTCTGATCTATAAAAAATAAAACATGTCCATTAATCCTCAGAAACAGTTCTGTCATTTACCAGTAAAACAAGACAAAATAACATTTAAAAATTTCGTTTTGTAGACTTTTTCAGAACATGAGGAAATTGATGCATTTCGTGACATCATAATGCATTGACTCGAACCCAGAAAATGACGTCTGCATTTTTGATAGATACGCAGTCATCAAAGATCTAAGTGATATTTAATGCATTATTAACTAAAACTACGAAGGTCAGAAATTCACAGGGCCAAACAAAGCAAAAGTGAACCTTGCAAATTTTTTACCTCAAAGTTGTAGTAATAAACATGCATGTGTAAAACTTTTTTAAGTCAGTGCAATACCTATCCTTGTCAATTAAACTTATTCTATATACTTAATTCTTTCAGCAAAATATTCTTAAGATGTATACCTGTACATACATTAAATACATGTATAATTTATATTTACCTCCCTAATAACTTTATCGACCACATTCTTTTCTGGAGTTCAGGAAAGTGACATATCACCGTCTGAGCTTCCCCATGAAACTATGAAAGACAACAGAAAATATTCTGAAAAATAATTAAAATCTGTATAATGTTCAAAAAATAATCTACAAAAAACGATCAAGAGTTATATATTTGTTTACATACTGCAAAATACAAGGGGCATTGGTGCACAAAGAATATTTGTCAAAGAAAACAAATGCCCAACTATGTACAGGAGAAAAGATAACATCTATAACAAAGTGACTTTGGCATATCAAAAACATCCGCATGTAAAGAATTTTTCCATCAAGACACAGTCAAAAGACCATCGCACATCTGAACACGTGTGTTTTATCGAGACAATTCGGGATAACGTATATTTATAATTCCATACTCACTAGTCACTGATTATAACTTCACCAATGGTTTCTCAATCATGTAGAATTGTATATATGATATTTATAAAGTTTCTGCTACACGAAACATCTTATCAACATATAACACAAAGTCACAAACATAATAAATTAAATTTCATCCACATGGCCTAAGTTAATAGAAAGAGTCGGGCTCAAGATTCATGAAAAATTTCTACTTTCATTTTATCATGAGTTACCTGCTCGAGTCATTGGAGACGAAAGAAGACGTAGACAGAGCTATTTCAAAGACCACAGACGTTGTTTTATTATTGAGGTTTGGTAGAGACCAAGACTCAACATGTTTACAACTAGATCACTTGGTAAGATTTTTTAATGCCACCACCGTTGTCCAACTTCAACAGGTCCACTATTTCTACCTACGTAGATATTTAAACCTACCCAAAGTAGCTATTTTTACCTACTTCTGTTTGCATTTTGTGGCCAAATAACCCTTTTTGTTTATACTGATTGCATTTTTATACAGTTACACTGATGATGGATATGACAAAAATTTGACCAGAAAATGATTACTTCGTAAATTAACAATTTTGCAAAGTAATTAATATAAAATTGAAGACTTAGAAAGTAATCATTTTTTTGGCCAAAATTTTAAGATTCATCATAGTGTAACTGTTTCTATGGTACTCCTATAGGGCGGTGAGCAGTTCACAAAATGCAAGTAAAGCATAAAGTAGGTAAAAATAGCTACAGTAACTTTGGGTAGGATAGTGCTACACAGATATTAATAGCGATGGTGCGATAGTCTTTGGACTGAGGACCTGTTCAAATGGTGTGATAGTTTTGCATTTTGCATGTTTTGAATAAACCTTTTTTTTGATGGTTCTTAAATTTTAAAGGGAACGTTTGGTCAGAATTAAAATTTTTATATATAAAACTGTACCTCTCATATAAAAAGAAAAGCTGCAATGAACATGGTGCGATAACAGCAGTTAAATTGATATTCACTAATTGGAGCAGCATGGGGAAAACCTTATCATGGCCGCTGCTGACGTCATCGCAGATTAAATGCCAGATGGCTAAGAGTCAATGTGTTTATGACTGCAGAAAAATAAAATTTCTTCTTTCAGAAATAAGCTAATTTAAGCATTTGTTAATTTATAGCAATTAATTAACATCCTTTTTTGACACATTAGAACTTTAAAAAGTTTTAATTAAAATCTTGTAAAATAATACAACCTTTGCAGCTAAGTTTTTAATTAAGGTTAAATCCAACCAGTTTATGGCTTTTTATTAATTCCTTCTTTTATTTTCCAGAATTTTGAAACACTAGAAGCATAGGAATGTGAAATTATATTTACTATAATATATTCAGATCCAAAATTAAACTGAACACACTTAATTGGCACATTTTCTCAACTTGATTATGACATGACAGTGTTTACACTTAGAGCGGAATTGCCTGCAATACGTCATAAAAGTGAGGATTGTGGGAAATATTTAACAAGCGCGATAACTTTATCTCTCAACATGGCAGCCTCCATCAGCCAGTTTACTCATAACTTTGATGTCTTATTACTGTATAATTAAGTTAAAACAAATGGCAGTAACATGTAAAATTCATTATTGACCATTCAATGAATGAAATATCAAAAAGTTTTTTCAGCACGTTTCCATAAAGGCTCACCTGAGCCGAAGGCTCAAGTGATTGATCACATTATGTCCGGAAAAATTTTTCTGAAATTTCAAAAATATTTCATTTTATATGAAAAATGGGCCAATTTCAACCAAACTTGCCACAAAGCATCCTTGGGTAAAGGGGACTGTTTTAATGAAGGGGTTTCAAGGGGAGATAATTATGAATTAATAAGAAAAATTAATGGCATTTTTAAAAAAATGAGTCAGAACCACTGGGCCAGGAAAGATGAAACTCATGTGGAATCAGTTCCTCAGGTAGTGTAGATTCAAGTTTGTTTATCATGACCCCCGGGCCTAGGGTGGGGCCAAAACACAAAAGTTTTACATAGGAATATATAGGGAGAATTTTAAAATATCTTTTTGTCAAGAACCACTGGTCCAGGAAAGATGAAACTCATGTGGAAGCATCCTCAGGTAGTGTAGATTCAAGTTTGTTCAAATCATGACCCCCGGGCCTAGGGTGGGGCCAAAATGAACTGAGTTTTATATAGGAATATATAGGAAAAATCTTTAAAAATCTTCTTCTCAAGAACCACTGGGCCAGGAAAGATGTAAACTCCAAGTGGAATCATCCCAAATAGTGTAGATTCAAGTTTGTTCAAATCATGACCCCCGGGCCTAGGGTGCAATTATGCTGACCCAAGTTTTACATAGGAATATATAGGAAAAATCTTTAAAAATCTTCTTCTCAAGAACCACTGGGCCAGGAAAGATGAAACTCATGTGGAATCATCCTCAGGTAGTGTAGATTCAAGTTTGTCAAATCAAACCTTGGTGGGGCCAACACATGAACAAGTTTTACATAGGGATTTATAGGGAAACCTTTTAAAATCATTTTTTCAAGTACTTCAAAGCTATGATTAGTGATATTAATATGGAATCAGCTTCAGGTAGTGTAGATTCTAGTTTGTTCAAATCATGAATTTTTTTACCCCCCCTCCCCCCCCCAATAAACTTTCAGTTCTGATCTGATATGTGCTTTTTCCTAGCCAATGTGCTCAGGTGAGCGCTGTGGCCCCTGGGCCTCTTGTAAGCTCACCTGAGCCGAAGGCTCAAGTGAGCTTTTCTGATCACATTGTGTCCGTCGTCCGTCCGTCCGTCTGTCCGTCTGTAAACTTTTCACATTTTCGACTTCTTCTCAAGAACCACTGGGCCAATTTTGACCAAACTTGGTACAAAGCATCCTTGGGTAAAGGGGAATTTAAATTCTTAAAATAAAGGGCCAAATCCCTTCACAAGGGGAGATAATCAAGAAAAGACAAAAATAATTAAAAAATCTTTTTCAAGAACCACTGGGCCAGAAAAGCTGAAACTTTTGAAAGCATTTTGAGGTACTGTAGATTATAAATTTTAAAATCATGATCCCCAGGGATAGGGCAGGGCCACAACTGATGATCAAAGATTTACAAAGAATTATATAGGAAAAATATTTAAAAATCTTCTTCTCAAGAACCACTGGGCCAGAAAAGCTGAAACTTTTTCATCCTCAGGTAGTGTAGATTCTAAATTGTTAAAATCATGACCCCCGGGGATAGGGCGGGGCCACAATGGGGAATCAAATTTTTACATAAAAATATATATTAAAAAACTTTTACAATCTTCTTCTTAATAACCACTGGGCCAGAAAAGCTGAAACTTGTGTGGAAGCATTTTAGGTAATGTACCTTTAATTGTTCAAATTTCCGGGGGAATGGTAGGCCACAATGGGGAATCAAAGTTTTACATAGAAATATTTAGAAATTCTTTGAAAATCTTCTTCTTAATAACCACTTGGCCAGAAAAGCTGAAACTTATGTGGAAGCTTCCTTGGGTAGTGTAATTCTAAATTTTTAAATTCATGACCCCCGGGGGTAATGGGGAATTAAAGTTTTACATAAATATATATAGAAAAATCTTTGAAAATCTTCTTCTTCAAGAACCACTGGTCTAGAAAAGCTGAAACTTATGTAGAAGCATCCTGGGGTAGTGTAGATTCTAAATTGTTCTAATTATGACCCCCAAGGGTAGGGTGGGCCACAATGGGTAATCAAAAATTTACATAGAAATATTTAGGAGAAATCTTTGAAAATTTTATTCTCAGAACCACTGGGCCAGAAAAGCTGAAACTAATGTGGAAGCATCCTGGGGTAGTGTAGATTCTAAATTGTTCTAATTATGACCCCCAAGGGTAGGGTGGGCCACAATGGGTAATCAAAAATTTACATAGAAATATTTAGGAGAAATCTTTGAATTTTTGTTTCAGAACCACTGGGATGAAACTAATGTGGAAGCATCCTGGGGCAGGAAATTCTAAATTGATCAAATCATGACCCGGGGGGGGGGGGGGGGGGAGAGAGGGTGGGTTAACGGGGCCACAATGGATAATCAAAGTTTTACATAGAAATATATTGGACAATCTTTGAAAATCCTCTAAGAACCACTTGGCCAGAAAATTTTTTATCATTGGGGTAGTGTAGATTTTAAATTGTTTAATCCTGCACAGGAACAATGGAGAATCAAAGTTTTACAAAGTAATATAAAGGAAATATCTTTAAATTATTTAAAAACCACTGTGCCAGAAAAGCTGAAACATATATGAATTTTTCCACAGGTAGTGTAATCAAATCAGTATTATATAAATATTTTGGTATCGGGGCCACAATGGGAAATCAAAGTATTACATAGATATATATAGGAAAAATCTTTGAAAATCTTCTCATATATCACAGGGCCATAAAAGAAACTTATGTGGAAGCATAACAGGGGTAACACAAATTGTCCAAATTATGATCAGTGTGTGAGTAGGGTGGGGTCATCTATGTATTACAAGGGGGAAATTTAAAGAACAGAATGGTCAAAGCTATTAATGACATGTGGCCCATGGGCCTCTTGTTAATTACTTGTTTTAACTTTACTTAAGTCTTTATTTGACTGTGCACAATTTTAAGAAACATATATAACTATGGAATCCGGATAGGGCCGAGAAGTTCACTAATGCATCATCGCACTATCAAGGTTTGGGTCGATAGTGCCATGACGATGAAGTGATGGTGTGATAACGATGAGGCGATGGTGTGATAGCGTGATGACGATGATGCAATGGCACGACAATGCGATGACGATGATGCGATGGTAAGCTGAAGCGATAGCGTGATGACGCGATAGCGATGACAAGATAGTGCAATGATGATGGTGCGATGACCACGAAGTGATATTCACTCTTGCCCCATTGTGCTATCGCACCATAGTATCATCTTCATCGCGCTATTACACCATAGCTTCAACGTCATCGCACCATCACTTCATCGTGATCGCATTATCAACGTTTAAGTCGATGCATGATGGTGGGATAGTGAACAGCATGGCCCTCTCCGGATTCAATATACATGTATAACCTATTCCACTTTTTGTCATTGAATGTTACCACTTTTTTTATCCAGCTTGCCAAATGTTCTCAAGAGTTGGCGAATATGGCCAAGATTTACATTGTTGATGTTGATAAAGTTCCAGTTTACACCAAATACTTTGATATTACCCTGATCCCATCTACCATATTCTTCTTCAATGCTCAACACATCAAGGTTGATTGGGGGTAAGGTACATTTCACATTCTCGTCATTTTTTTCCGGAAATTTCATAAGTTGTTTCATTTCATTTTCTACGAGAAAATAATATTGTTTAGCTTTGCTGCTTGGTAACTGTTTTAATGGTTATCAATAAAACTTATATATGCATTTTTAAATATTTCAAAGATGGAGAATCAAATGATTACATTTTTTAGTAGTTCACTCTGAAGTTCAATTTGATGCATTGTTCCATGTATCTTACATTCATTTCTTGTCTTATGTTTATTTTAGCACCCCAGACCACACGAAATTTATAGGCAGTTTTCGGAACAAGCAGGACTTAATAGACGTGGTAGAAGTTATTTACAGAGGAGCAATGAAGGGCAAGGTCATTGTAACAAGCCCTCTAGACCCAGCCAATGTACCGAAATATGAACTGATTTACAAGGACATTTGACAGTCTTAAATCTGTTTAGTTAATATGTACATGTACATAAGCCAAGATGTACACTCTATGGGTACTGTCAAATATGCAATAAGCATGACCAAAGTGATGCACCCTCAGTGCAATCACACTGACGGGATTACTATATTCAATCAATGGTTAGAAGACTGTGTGTTCAGGGATTCACCATAACTTACTCGTACTTACATGTGCAGTGCATGGTGTCAAACTTTGATATACATTAACTGGCTGTTTGTCCTGGCGTAAAGTATCTACATGTAAAACTTGAAAATTAATTTGCAATGAAGTTCATGAATGTTTCTTCTACCAACAGTTTTTGTGATTATTCCTCATGCTCTTCATTCAGGGCAATTTTGACTTTCAGTTCATTCTTGTTTGATAAAAAAAATAATGTGACTCAATTTTAAGTGCATGCATGATAGAGCAAGATAGAATTTCTCATGGATTGAATTTTACTGTCACTCATATACATAAGAATAATTTATGTTACCTTTATAATTCGTTTCTATGTCACTTTAAGTTTTCAAACTACATGAACTTTATATTTTCTGAAATGTTCATTTTAAAATTTTAATATATTTCATGATTTACATGTTGCCAGAGCATTTCACTGCATTGACAATATAATAAAGCATGTTTAGAAACCTTTTTTATCTAGAGATTATCAAAACTATGAATTTTGGGACATATTTGATTGACTTAACAAAAGTACTCTAAAATTGATATTTAAACTTAACATGCTGGAGATGCTCTTTAAAAGAGATAATATACATAGTTTTTGGAGACTAGGTCTTCTAACAAACTGTTAGAATCCCAAGGGGCACTTATTGTGCTCCTTTATTAGTGGACCTGAAATTATATTCCTTTGAAACATTTATTCATTCATGAGAAGAAGAAAACACTTGCTGTGACCTTCCTCTCAACATTCAGATATGTACAACTCGTATTTGACACTTCAGCAATTAAAAGTAGTTATTTCCATTTATTTATTGACTCAATTTATCCCAATGAATATATGGTCTTTATGTCTCCCAGTTTGTTTGCTATGTACTCAAGAGCATGCTCTGAGACGGAGTGCACAAAAATTTTCAAACCGAGGCAGGCTACTTACAAATAAGTTGATGTCACTGGGATTTCAACCTCGTTTAAAGTCGGCATTTTATAAATTCAATATAGTACATGTATTAATTATTAATGGGCGGTATAATACATGTATTAATGACATTGAATGCAAATGTAACGTTTCACACTCGCCCTTTTTTCTGACTTCTTTCATTCAAATTGTTAGACATTCGTTTTTGTTCTCAACTTAAATTAACTTCGGAATTCCGTCTACTTGCTTCATACATAGGACGAATGACGGATGTTACCGATCAGTTGGGGATGCTTACTCCTCCTAAGCAACTGACCCCAGGGTTGCATTTTCACTAAGTAAAATTTATCCTTGATGTTCCTTATGTTCACAGATTTGTATTGTTTGAACTTTTTTTACCATATTTTCCCCTTGCTATACCTATCGTGCCCTTTACCCCTTTTTTATGATTTTCGACTTTTCACTAAGTAAAATTTATCCTTGGGACTATGTACGAAATTAATTTTTTTTGTTTTATTTATGAAAAATATTTAAACCATATCCAGAAAATTCAGAGCAGAAATGCGTGAAAGCAAAATCAACTCACCAGGACTGACCCCATAATGTGTACAGAATACTGTAAATTCCTAAATGTATGAGGAATTGATACATGTGAAAATCGACAGCTAATTTGGCGAGAATTAAAAAGTGAATCCTTTGTATGAAAAAATAAAACAAATCAAAAAAATTACCATCCCTTCCGCGCTTTCGGTGTTTTATGTATTCAAGTATATTCACTGTAATTTGTACATATATTAATTTTTTTTTTCTTTTGGCCATTGATTTTAAACATATATCCTGTATGATTTAAAACAATATCATATACCAGTAATTAATTTTTTGCAAAATTATGAATTTAAAAATAAAAAAAGTTAAGGCAAATTTCCTATTCAAAGGATGGAAAAAAAATCAGCATGCTTTTCGTCACAGATAATACACGTATGTCAAATATGAAAGCCTTATCCCTTTTCAATAAAAAGTTACATGTATTTTTTTAAAACAAAATTTTCTAACATATGGGGTTTCATCGAGTTTTGCCATTGCAGATGCTTTCAGGTATTAAATTTTGAAAATTTTTCAGTTACAATATGCATTCAACAGTTTTTATACACAAAGGTTATAGACTTTAGCAAATAAAACTTTTCAGAGCAAAAATCTTACATCCACCTTTCAAAACTTAAAAATGGTCTCAGACCACTCTCTAGAGATTTTCAGTTATTGTGAAATTGCATGCGCGCACTTGCATCACAAAGCTAGAAATACTGGACCACTTGCACATTATTGTTCTCGCGATTTGGGAAATAGCACTAGTCTTACATCCCAAAGCTAGCTAGACTGCATGGAATTATTTTCTTGCACCAAAGACGACCCTTCTAGTTGTATGTATACATTTCAAGCTATATTTCATTTTATCAATTATTTTTCATGTGTAGCCGAATTTCCAATCTACAATAGCTTCTGACCAAATGATGAAGTACACATGTACTTGTAATACTGTTGCCCACTTGAATTATAGCCAGTACCTATTAGCTGTTAAGAAGTTGGTACTTTGTTCGCTTTCAAAAAAATCAATTTGAATATGGTAAACGCAGAACATCAATTTATATTATATGTTATTCAAAATTTCCAATGAAAATTGAAAGTTTAATAGAACAAAACAAAATAAAAAAAAAACATTATAATATTGACATCAAAATTAACAATTATTTGGAGTGTCAGTTATTAAAGCATGTAACAGAAAAAAACGCACGGGTAATTAACACAAATAATTAAATCCGATTAATTAACAGATTAATAAAGATGTCATCAGATCATAGACAACTAAATATTAAAGTTTACAACCGGAAAAATAGACAAAGTGTCAAAGTTGCTCAGTCATATTAATCGCAGTTAGTGAGAGCTGCCTTCCAGTTACAGTTGGTGATTGCGGCGTCCCATCCCATGTTGTTAGGACACGTCAGTTCTGTAGGTGTGGACCACGAACACTGGTAGTATTTAGTGCAGTCTGTGGGGTGCGGAAAGTAACCAAAGTTGCTTGGACATGTAAAAATATCTAGAAAATATATAAAAAGATATGTAATAACAAGACCATTTTTGTCCCAACCAAATGTTTGACTTGTTTAAATTACTTTTATCTAATCAGATAAGAAAAAGCGAATTGGACAATTTGTTTCAAAGATGGACGAAGACAGCCTATATACGTATTCAGTTGAATTTGAAAAATGTTACCACTCTCTACCATCGGCTCATACATTCACTGAGAGGAACGAACGACAACTCTGCATGGGAGATTGATGTTACCTGTGTCATTGGAAGGTTCATCTTCCTCTTCCTCCATATCTGATGCGCACGCAACCTCAGCCTCGTTTACGCAGGCAGGAGCAGGTTTCTTGTCGTTATCCCAGCGAGTTCCGAAGGGACAGGACTGGACAATTCCAACTCTGTTTGTACACTGGATGAACTTGGTGCAGTCTGTTGAGTGAGGGAAGTACTCCCCTTCATTACAACCTGTATATAGACAAATAATGATTGTAATAGAATCTTAATTTACAGTGAAAAGTACGTGTCGTAGTTGCTCTAAGTACAGTAGATCAAATTCTATGTAGTATTTTGTACCACCGTAAACATTACTGTAGATATTATTTCTCGATACAGATGTAGTTGAATTATCCCGTAATCTTGCTGCGCAACAAATCATCTGCTGCGCAACAAATCAGAACTTCTTTTCTTCTTTTGTGTTACAGTGCAATCCAAATATACCGGAGCCTAACTGTACAACAAATCTTTCCACATATTTTTTTGTGGATAAAGATCAAAATGAAGCCATGTAACCTTTATTTTCATTCTCTCTTCTTTTTGAAAATTTAGTCTTACTTTCTACACTGCTGGCGAAAGTGCACGTCTGACTGTGGTCATTCCACTGTAGCCGGGGGTCAGAACAGTTGACAATGTGAAGACGACTGTCCACACAGTGTAGATAGCGATTAGGATCGGTAGGATGGGCCCTGTATCCCGTCACAGCCTCGTTACAGATTGTCTCTGATAAGGTATAAAAAAAAATAATCTGAATTGAATTTTCACTGATTTTTTTAAAAACAAAATTTTATTTGTATTGCTTATTAGCTATGGAATTATACCGTGGTAATTTGCAGAGGGAAATAGAAGACATCTTCTTAATTGTCAGAACAGAAGGACAGCTTTAGGTATGGGCTAAAATGTTTTTACACCGTAACCTAGCAAACCACTTACGAGGACATTTGAATGTGTTGCATTCGCGCGTGTCTGTTTCGGTTTGACTTCCGTCACAAGGTTTCCCGCCATATTGTGGTTCTGGTTGAGTACAGGTGCGCCTCCTGTCACGTGACTGAGATCCCCCGTCACACGTGACAGAGCAAGCTCCCCACTCGTCCCACGCCCCAAATTCCGTCCAGCCTCCATCAACTTCACGATACAAAAACGGGAGATAATTCAAGGTTATTTTTAAAAGCAAATTGTGCTAGAAGTATCATTACATTTAGATTTTAAAAATAAATATTTGCATATATACATGTTTAAACACCATACTTAATAAGCTTTTGAATATGTCAGACTTAGAAACTTAATTTGAACAAAGCGTCATCGTAGGTTTTATATCCATATTTTTGCATATTAGTATTGATGCAGTAATTAAGTTGACACTTTTATGCTATTAAAGGGTTGATTTTGCCATTGTAAAGCCTAAAGTCTCCTACATTTTCTCAAATAATTTGTAAATGTGTAAAAATCAAACGAGACATACTTGGACAGTGATGGGTATTGCATTCCTGTTCCTCTGTATTTATGCTTTCTCCGTCACAAGCTTGCCCGCCGTATTGCGGGGCTGGATTGGTGCACGTGCGTGTCTGTGATCTCTCCTGCATACCTCCACCGCAGGACACAGTGCACGTGCCCCAGGCACTGAAGTCTCCATAGGCGGACCACCCACCATCAACTTAATGAAACAAAATGACGATTCTTTTAAATAATCAGTTTCATATTTTTTATGGGAATTTAAGGCTCTCTACTCCTAATACCGGTACATTTGTCCGATAAAGAAATATTAAATTTTATGAAGGAACATTATTTAACATTTGATTGATCAGTTTCTTACAATTAAATGACTAGTATTATTATTTAAATATTAATTTTTTTCAACACCTATCTGAACAGTTCAACTTTCAGTCGATTCTCTTTGAGATAAAATAAAGAATTAAATCATTATGTTTAATACTTGGACAGGGTTGAGTGTTGCAATCCCGTTGTTCAATATTGGTGTTATCTGCACCACAACTTTTCCCGCCATACTGAGGAGCCGGGTTTGTGCACGTGCGCGTTTGCGATCTTTTTTGTTGTCCTCCGCCACAAGAAACTGAACATTCATTCCAGTCAGTGAATGTCCCATAACCGGACCAACCACCGTCAACTAAAACGGAAAGTGGTAAACTGGCCCAATTTTCAGCAAAAAGAGGTTTCCTCTGTCAGAAATAAGAAGATTAAAATTTTATACATACTTGGGCAGTTGTGAGTATTGCAATCCTTTGTCTCTGTGTTAGTGTTGCTTCCAGAACACGAGTTTCCGCCATATTGGGGCGCTGGGTTGGTGCACGTGCGTGTCTGCGATCGCTGCATTTTGCCACCGCCACAGGACACGGTGCATTCGCTCCATTTACCGAAAGCGCCATAAGTTGACCAACCTCCATGAACTGAATTTGAAATTTAGTCCTCAATCATGAAATGCAGTAAATTAATAAGGCGAGATTCTTAGCAAAGAATGAATTTCTGTTAAAAGATAAAAAAGGTCTTGAGGAGAAAAATGAAAAGATCGATTTGAAAGGTTGAAAAGTACTTCTTCAATGTGTTTGCATTGTAATATTACTTGGACAGTGTTGGGTGTTACAGCTCTGTGTCTCAGTCTTAGTGCCACTTCCGGAGCACGATTTGCCCCCATTGGCAGGCGATGGGTTTGTGCACGTGCGAGTTTGGGACCTCGATCGCTTGCCTCCTCCACAAGAGGCGGAGCATGGCGTCCAAGCCGTAAAGGAACCATAGCTAGACCATCCACCATTTACTGAAAAATAATTTAAAGTGATACAAAAACATAACAATCGTAATAAACGTCTTTTGCGAAACGCATCAGAAAAGATTAAAGCAATTTGTTGCTGGTGCATAATTACCACGGGTATGTATATGAAGCATACCATTTCTTGTAAAAATATTTTATTGAAAGATAATGTTTCGCCATTTTGAACAGCATTGTAGCAATACAAATTATTAAGATTGATTTCTTAATTTAATCTTCTCACCTGGGCATCCTTGTGTGTTACACGACCTTCTGTCCGTGCTAACACTGGACCCGGAGCAGTAGGAGCCACCGTTGCGGGGGAGGGGGTTGTTACAGGTGCGAGTTCTTGACCGCAGCTGAGTACCTGACCCACAGGTTTTACTACAGGTGGACCAACCCCCGTAGCTCCCCCAGTTAGACCATCCTCCGTTGACTATTATACAGTTAGAATGCCATCAAGGTATTGGTTCATTTAGAAATTAAGAATGACTCCTTAGTACAGAATACATATTCTGATGGTATACTAGTGTATGAATTTATTTTTAAAAGGACTTGCAGGTATGTAATTTAATTGAACAACTGGCATTGTTTTTGATGTGACATATAATATGGATTTTAGTATATAGTATTCTATTTAAATTATGGCCTTATGTATGGCACGCCAAATTAAAAAAAAAAGAGCTAAACATAGTTTCACGGTCAATAAACCAGGTTTATCGGTTGCAAACTATAGTTTACGGACTGTAAACTATCGTTAACAACGTTAATCTATACTTTACTATGGCACGCCAAATTCACAAAAATGAGCAAATCATAGTTTCACAATCAATAAACTAGGTTTATCGGTTGTAAACTATAGTTTACGGACTGTAAACTATAGTTAACAACGTTAAACTATATTTTACATCTGTAAACCATAGTTAACGCGATAATCTATGTTTCACAACCGTAAACTATACTTAACACCGAAAACAATCATTTGCGATTGCAAAACATAGATTATCTGATAAATACAGTTTCACGATTTGTAAACTATAGTTTACAAACCGTTAACTATAGTTAACGATCTGATAAATATAGTTTCACGATTTTTGAAACTATGATTAACAACTCTTAACTATGGTTTACGATTGTAAACTGTAGTTTACAGACGTGAATCTATGTTTATCAACAGAATCTATTGTTAACGTTTTATTACAGACAGAGAAACTTAGATTTGCATTCGTAAACTATAGTTAACAACCATAGTTTTACAGATGAAAACTATAGTTAACGAATTATAATCTATAGTTCACGGTTTGTAAACTATAGTATACAGTCGATAAACTTAGTTTATCAACTGTGAAACTATGTTTAGCTCATTTTTGTGAATTTGGCGTGTCATACTTATGTACCATAAACACAATTTACATGAGACTTGCATGCAGAGTGCTTTGGAAACTGTTGCGCTCTTCCACTGGATAATGATCGAAAGATCATTGAACTTTTTGCCATTTACTTCTTTCCCACAAATTCAAAATGTACATGATGATATATTGTAATTGTATTTAAGTACGTACCTAGACAGGCGGAAGAGCACGTTCTGTAGCTGGTCCTATTAGAGGAAAAAGTAGAAACTTAAGATATAACAGCATAAACATATAAATACTGTATACATGTACAGGGTTATTTTTGTCCCGTGTTATTCTGACCTTTTTCACATTTTCAAACAATTTTGAATAGTTTTAAATTCGCCCAGCCATTAGGTTGTTTAGAAATTATACTATATTCTTTGAATTCGCCAATTTTTAAATTCGCCCAAATGAGGATAGGAAGAAAGGGGGCGAAATTAAAACGGGGGCTAACATTTCCCTGTATACAGTGTTGAATACATGTACACACTCTTAGCGCATTATCGTTATGAACGTACATATACGAGGGCTGTTCAATAAATAATGTCCTAAACTTTATGACATACAATACAGATATAATATGACATTAAACCTGACTTTCTCTCATTATTGAATCTTTACTGAATTCATAACAGTTTATGTGACCACTTTTCATCACATAGTTTCATCGTGAGAAGCTGGGAAACAAGGGCTTTTCGAGACACTGCATTATAAATCAATGATAAAGAACCAGTAAACTAGACTGAAAATAAAGCTTTATTAAAGCTTCTGTAAAACTTGTTAAAATCCCAAAGAAATATTCACTGAAACATGTGACATTTACAGCAACCAATGCCTGTTTTATAGACAAATTAGCAAGTGAATTTCAATAATAAAAAATTATATAATGGGCATCAAAATGGGTACCCTCTTTGCCAACAAAAATTATAACAACTTATGCACTGTTTGCCAAATTTCAACAAATACTATTTGATGATGTATGATTGACTTTAAGATAAATAGCAAATTTGGTAGACATCATATCGGGAGTATTTTACACTGTTTTTAAGAAACGCTCGACAGTAAAAAAGCTTGGTACTCAAAGGTCACTCTATATTTTGAAAAATGAGTGAAAACGACAGCGTATACGAAAGTCTTAACAATTATTTTAAAATATCAGTAATTGTAGTTAACCACGTTTGTTTTATTTTCAAACAGATATTGGAACATGAATATATTACTTAAAACCATCAAAACAAAATCTACCATAAGAAGTACTAGATAAAAACGGCGAAGGTCTAACAAGAGCAAAGGTATGCAAAAGCACAAAGACTGGTTTATATGCAATTTTCTGAAATATTAGTGGCATTGTTGTTCCAATTCGTATTCGGGGAGACAGTTTAATATCTGGAGGAGTCTAGAAAGCAATTTTTTTGCATAATGATCAAACGGTTTATTAGAGGAAGGACCCAGAATCAGGAATCCACTACATTGAATTCCTTCATGACAGCGTCCAAACCCGCATGCCCTGAAGAGTAAAGGGGGTTTCGGGATAAACATAAAGTTAGTGTTTTTTCACTTTAACAATATTGGCCAGATCTTTGACCTTTTGACTTGTTTCAATTTCCAAACTTAAAAAACACCTTTCAGAAGGAAAAAACAAGTCCAGGAAATCATTGGATCTGCCATTTTCCAGTATACTAAGGGTCATACCCAAAAATGAGTTCTAAAAACAATCAGAAATTGGATAAAAAATGTTACTGACATGTGTTTGGTTTAATAGAGATTAATAAGTAAAATCATGAAGACTAAATCATTGAAACGCGTCTTTTGCTTCTTTCTGAGCACCGAGGACATTATTTATTGAACAGCCCTCGTACAAGGACTATTATAAGTGCATTGTCATATTCACAATTGTTAAATCAAAATTTATTTTTCTTTCACAATAAAAACATGTTTCACCTGTATCTGTTACATCTGGACCAGTTCATAAACCCACAGGAAATGGTGTAGCTCTCTCTTTGTGAACATTGCTTGGTATCAATTCCGGTTTTTGGGTCGCAGGCACTGTTATAGTATACAAATTCTGAGTATGATAATTGTATACATCAAAAAAGGGAATATTTGTTCCAATTATTTCTTTTTAAAATCTCTTATCCCCTTTCCGAATTCCATGTAAAATCCTTTTCATTGTTGCATTTTGGATCTCAAGAGAATCTTTTGCAAATAAGATAAATGGAAACCTGTTTAATCCGAAATGCACAGGGAAAGAAGGATATGGAGATAACGAACAGTATTCAATATCGAAGTCCAAAAAACAATACAAAACAGGAGAAGAGCAAACATGGACCTCCGAAATATCAGAGATGGGATCACGTGCCATGGAGGAGTGAGCATCCCCTGCTGATTGATCACACCCGCCGTGTGCTCCTTGTCATGATCGGGAAATACCGTAAAAAATCCGTCGTCAATTCAGTGTATACATTGTAAATAATGGACTAACGATTAGTATGAAAAACGTCTGTCAGCATTTGACTCAATAATAAATTGTATTTTGACAAGGTCATTGTACCGACCATAGAACTTAAGAAATGATGACTTTAAACGAGACTGTTGATATTCTTGTTTCACCAACTTGCTTGTCAATAATTTACCTCGTTTTAGAAATTGTTCATATGTAGAGCTTGCTCTTGCGTATCGAATCAACTGAGATTTATATACTCCGTATGCAGGTGAGAAAAGTTAAAGTCATCACGTTTATCATAAAGCTTAGTTGTTAGGAAAAGGAAAAGGGAAAGAGATTTCAATCTTGATGGAAAAGACAGGTTGTCGGATTCCATAATGTAAAGAACATGTATATATTATAAAAGTAAAACTGGACTTTAAATTGACGTTGGAATATAATTTCATTGCAAGAGACGTTGGAATAGATAGTTTTCAATGTATAAATAAATTGATAATATGGCTATGAAAATTCGTTTGTTATTGGATATTTTTTATGTCAGTAAAGTGTTACTTAACTGCTCTAGTCCTCAAAACATTAACCTCTTTAAAATATAATTCGATTTGTGTAATTTTGACTTGTGGAGCGATTCAGACACATTGGCGATCGAGGATGCAAAGCATTATATTAAAATACAGTTGAATATGCATGCATACATGTATCTCTAACGTCGATATCTCGAGAACCCTGGATATATCTTTCTGAGTTAGAAGTCTAAAATACTCTTTCTTTTAGATAACTCAATTCATATTCCATATTTCGAATAAAAGAATATATTAGGAATTTAATCTTGGTCTCATCGAATTCGAGATAAGCATGTTACCTGTACCTGAACATCTTTATTATTTATAAATATGATAATTTAAACGTAGATTAATACATTTATTTGTCCATGGTTGGATTTTTTAGTTAATTCCGAAATCCTTATGGTTTAAACATTGTTTTAATTTATAAGAATAAAAAAAAATATTTAATCATAAATCGAACTCTAAATTTTCACTTATTTTTATTTCGCGTAGCAAAAAAGATGTAAAATCATTTTAAAATAATTGTTATGTTAAAGAAGAAAAAAATATGCTTTCAATGTATTTCCCTAATCAGGCTCTCGAATATTTGAAAATATCACCGTATAATTGCTGTACGTAACTTTTTATCTAATTCTGACATACTCTCACAAATAATAAGAATGAAGTGTAAAAATTTTAAAAGAGCGTGTCTTTTTCAATTCCAGATATATGAATATGGAAATATATTTGAGAATGTAAATGGGACTTATAAAAAGTAATAAAAAATTATCAATTAATTTAATTTGAGATATGTTCAGATATTTCAAAGCCGGAACGTTTTTCAGAAGGAACAAAAAAAAAAAGAAAAGAATATATATACTTGTGTATAAAACAATAAAATAAATTAAAAATGCCTACCCAAGCACTACTCCAACACAGAGGGTAGAAACAAGTATAACTCTGGTTACCGACATCATGCAGTCCCTGTGAACACCGCCGGTATAAAGCTAATTCTGATCCTAACTCTTTTATACCCGCCAAATATTGACATTCAGAGATCCTCAAGACATCTCAAGAAATCTACTGAAAACGGCAAATCTAGGACAGCTAATTTAACCCTCAACCCATTCTCGTCGAATTTATTTATTTATATTTCCCGCTATTCTAAGAATTATCCTGGAAATTTACATGACCGGTGCATGGCAAGACAATGTAAACACTTTTCCCCCACTATTTGTTAACGCAAAATTTTATATACAATGAAAGTTCTCTTTGGAACATTTGGGAAAAAAGTAATATCGACTGTAAAGTACCGACTAATGAACTACACCATAGATTTTTAGCATAACTTTCAAAAGCTTGTTTTGCAAGATGAATTTGGCAACAATAAAAAAAAACAAAAGGAGGTATACCATATAATTTTAATGAGAGAGAGAGAGAGAGAGAGAGAGAGAGAGAGAGAGAGAGAGAGAGAGAATTTTTTATTCTTCAAAAATATATTTGAAAGAAAATGATACATCAGCTGTTGCAGGACACAATGAGTTTTAGATTCAAACTAAAAAAACCATCAACTTTGACTTTTAAGAATTTTAAAAGAAAAATTTATATTAAAAAATATGTTAGGGTACACAAATTGCATTTTTTTTTTAAATTATACCTGTTAAACGAAATCTAATACAATAGAAAAAAAAGCTTAAAAAAAGGTAGAGTAGCAATGCTAACGATTAACATAAAGTTAAATTTTTCAAAATACCCTAAAATGTTTAACAGACTAAACTAAATTTCACATTTATTCCTAAAATTTGTTTTACCAACTTAAAGTTTGAGAAAGAACAGTTTGTTTTAAATGACTGTATTTTGAAATAGAAAGCAACACCACTTCTGTTTTGGATGATATTTTAGGTCAAAACATCACATGTTACAAACAAAAAAGTCTTACTCGTACCCTAGATTCTAACATAAATTTTCACTATATCCGAGGTACATGTTATTTATCTAGTATCAGGTGAGACTTGAAATATTTATTTTTGATTTTTAGCTCTGAAAGTAATTGTAGATTAAATTCCATTTACAAATATACACATCATTAAATAAACCGGGTATTGGTAGTGGGACGAAATTTAACACCCTCTCATATGCTTCTCTTTTATTTCCTTTGTTCATTAGGCAGATTCTCGCCTAATTCGGCACAACTTACAAATATTTGAAAATAGGGAGAATAAACTTCAACTCTTAATATGTTTTGACAACTACGTTTAGATATTTATTTAACCGCTTGTATTACTTTGTAATGTCATCGCCTTCAGAAATTATGATTTAATTACTTATCTTGATATTTACTTCAATTTTTTATGCTTAAATTAATCACTTTAATTTAATTATTATTTTTTAATGAATTTGAATGACATATGTGTAATAGTATTACAGAAAGAATGCAGCCTCGGGTATGATATACATGTAAGTAACTTTTATAGTTTTAAAAATGTTGAACTTGTGTTTGGATATCTATGGTACGATGTACATGTATTATCACAAATGTTGCCAAGATTCTCAGAAATGACTACTAATTTCTTTAAACGCCAAGTATAAAGTCAGCATCATTTACAAATGACCGCAATAGAAGGCGAGTCAGGAGACGAGAAAAAGTATCGAGCTCAAAATTCATTGAAACAAAACATTTTTTAGAGAAGAAAATAGACCTAAAAACATCAGATCTAGGATCAGGTGCCAACAAGGATTAAGAAATCTCTGTGATACACTATATACCCCCTTAACTGTGATCCTTGTCCTGATCACGGGGAAATTCGTAGACATTTCGTGTGAAAAAAGTCTAACGATTTATATGAAATTCATCAGTCAACTTGGGGCCTTTTGATAGACTGAATTTGCTAAGAAGGTTATTGAATCGACCATATATAATTTAACTTTAAAGTTTTCTCTTTTAACGATATTAGAATTACCAGTAATTATTTTTTCAGACCACCTTTCCTCATGACATCATGCAGTCACGTATAAATTTATACCTATTACAGACCCTTAGATTTTAAGGTAAGTCAGGAGTTTCAAATTTTTTTTTCTGTCAAATGAATATTTTTTTCCCTTCAGTGCCTTAAATAACTTATAAGCTAACTAAAACGACCATAAAACACATGCTTTTCCACGTTTATTTTTATACAACCTGTTTCGAAGTTCACACCTTTAATACATGTAATTAAAAAGTCAAAGTTTATAATAGAGAAGTATGACTTCAAGGTATACACCAAAACATATCATATTTAGAGAAAGACTTAAAATTAAAAAAAAAATTGCGAAGAGAAATTTAATCATTGTTGACAACATAAACTTCACAAAATTGTTAAGAATTAAGTATTTTTTTTATCATTGTTAACCACCTAAATTTCACAAAATTGTGAAGAATTTAGTATTTTCTCTTAAGAGGCATTATATCCCTCTGCTCCAAATTTCACTATTTTTTTTTTAATTCCAAACATTGATTTTCATCAACAACTATAGCATTAAATTCAAATGGAAAATAGTTTGAAGTATGAAGCGTTGCTTACTTTTTCAGAAATGGATAATATGTCAAATCATGATGTGAAGAAATTTAATATAGTAAATAGGAAGATCAATTATTTTTTATGCACAATAAATTAAGAAATATGAGGCATATATAGAAATAATATTTACTCTCATACCTATCTTATTCTCATTAGCAAAAATACTGAAGCGTTGCTTTTTAAATCAGAATATCAAAATGCTTTCTGTGCTTGTAAAAATAATATGCATCAATCAACAAGAGTTATCTTTCCATTATCGCCCATGAAAATATTTTTATTGAAACAAAATATCAATTAAATGTTTATAAACAATTCTGCATCTGACATTTCTGTATCAATTAAATGACTTATACGTTAAGAGATAGAAATATCAAAATTTACGTCACCATTTTAAGGGAACTGAGTATAAATGTTTTACGTAAATTATTATAGATAATTAATAAAAATATTGGCAATAGAAACTAGAAATCCACATCTGAACCCGATAATTGATGCGACTGAGTTAACTATCAAATGGTCCTTGTGAATGAAATCTATAAAATCAGACATGACAATTCATTAATGTATAATGTTCACTATCATCTAAAATAACTATTTCGACAGACATGTGATACTAGTAACCAGAATTTTATGATCATTGTCATAAAAACCGGATCCGTAATAGCATAGACCATCCTTAAATATATACATGTATCAATAAAAAACGCCTATTCATATTGGTTGGATATTATACGGTGCTCAAGGCATCGAATGTAGCTTTGATCATCCTATCATTATTGATAGCAAACACACTCAGTTCTGTATCGTTATACTGAAGACCAGTCTGAATTTCTCTGTTTTTAGTTCCTACATCTTCACTCATGTCCACAACTAGCGTTCCTAACTTGTAACATTCTGGTTCATCAATAATTTTAGGGTTTGGGCTTTCAGTTCTATATATATCAACATCTAACGTTTTGGCAGTTTTGTCAATTGTGAATGTCGACATTCTTCCTTTAAGGGTTGGGTGTAAAATTGAACCAGCCTTCAGAAGAACCCAGAAAACGTCCTTGCAGAATTCCTCCATGCCATCTTTAAATTTCTTATTGATTGGGTGCTTTTTCGGATTAAAACAAATATGCGAGTCGATGCCATAGCTATACCGACTTCTTCTTGAATTTATCATTGGAGTGATTATTGTCTGTTTTGAGCATTCTCGCTTTTGGGGACTTAATTTATGGATCTGAGTTTGCCCGTATATCACCGCACCTAAAAGAGTCGCTATTTCAGAGTTATCAGGACAAAGGAATTTTGTATCTCCTGGAAATATTGATTTCAAATGATCTTTGACAATGTTGGCAATGCTGAAACCACCCACCATTATGACTTTGTTAATGTTTTCAAGCTCTTTGTTCCTCATTTTTTCTCGAATATGGGTTGATATTTTATTGAGGGTGGTTTCGAAAAAGGCTTGCATATGATTCACGGGTATCTTTAACTTATCGTTTTCAATGACCGCCAAATCTCTTGGGGTTTCGAGAGGAAAATCCTTGAAAAGTGAATATGGCAATTTTATGACAATGTATTTGTTATCCACATCCTTTTTACCACCAAATATCCTCTTCTTTCTCTCAAAGTCTATTTCAAGGTCGTTCAGTCCGTCTGGTGAATTTTGGCAGAACTGCAGAAATTTTTCCTTCGTGAAAATCTTACAAAGGTACTCGTAAAAGGCTGAATTGACATTATCTCCTCCCCATGGCCCACCATTAGCAGCAAATAGCTCATCATAGAGGAAATCCTTATTTACTTCATGAGCTGTTATGTCTATTGTTCCACCTGGAAAAGAAAAACAATGTGAAAAAAAATCACAAGTGGACAATTGGCGTTGACGGTGAAAGATTCAAAGTATTGAGGTCCCCCTGCTTTCGGTGTGTTAGTGAGATAACATAAATTATGGCATATTGCCATAAATACTGCCATAAATGATGAGATCTCACTCACTAAGACAACGAAAGAGGGAGACCACTATTCTTTGTTTTTTTTATCATTTCTAAGTTAAGTTTAAGTTAATTAAATTTGTAGTCATTGCTTTCTTAAATAATATTCAAACTTTTTTCCGTGCATATTGTAAACTCATTCTTGTCTATATACTTGATAAATTGCGTTTTAATGAGAAGACCCCGATATTTAGCAGCAGATATAGAATGACGTCATTATGAACATTTATTATATCTCATTATAAATATTCTACACAACGCGTTCTCTGATTGGTTCTAGGTTATCACGTAATCGGGCCGTAAAACTTCATATTTCACTGCCGTCGGCATGCTTTTCAACATATATTCCACCTCTTCGGATACTCAGTGCATTTTCCCGCAATATTTATCGTTCGTTCAAAGACAACTCCCGAGAGTATTAGACGTCACAGTAGTCTGGTTTAGGGGTTTAGTAACTTTGCGTTAAAAATGAAAGTGAAATTTAGAGCGGTGTGGAATTTGAAAGTTTATGTTTATTTCAAAGGCTTTGCTTGTTTCGGTATAATAAACAATTCACTGCATGAATGTTCGGGAAATATCATTCGCCCGAGGGAATATGATTTTTCTTGGCTGAATAAGTCTTCATATTTCTCTCACTATCATGCAATAAATGTATAATATTCACCATAACAATCAGTAATGGCGTCATTATAAAGAGACATTTAAATATTTTAGCTCCAATATCTAGCAGAATGTAAAAGGTGGATACTTTATAAAAATAACTTCATATTGCTTCGATGTCCAGCAGAAATGACGTCATTATTTACAGTTGTATAATTTACCTCCGATGTCTAGCAGGACGTACATGTATCTTGAACCAGGACCTATAAATTGCTGTACTCCTCTCTGAAGAGTAGGTCGCAGCTGTAGAGATTTCGTGCCACAATACATTGCAGCACATTCAGGTTCAAGGGCAAGAATTATCTTTGACTTCTTCATACCGGGCTATTTAATGCCAGAATATATAATATTATACATTTATTGCATGATAGTGAGGGAAATATGAAGACTTATTCAGCCAAGAAAAATCATATACCCGAGGGCTTCGCCCGAGGGGAATATGATATTTCTTGGATGAATAAGTCTTCATGTTTCCCGAACATTCATGCAATGAATTGTTTATTATACCGAAACAAGCGAAACCTTTGAAATAAACATAAACGTTCAAATTCGGCACCGCTCTCAAATTCACTATCATTTTTACGTGAAGTTACTACATGTATAAAACCCTTTGGTCAGCACATTATCATCAATTTTGTGACGTAAACCGGGCTATTGTGACCTCTACTACTCTCGGGAGTTTTCGTTCAAGGAACGAGACCTATATTGCGGGAAAATACACTAGGTGTTCCGAAGAGGTGGAATATGACGAAAAGCGTGCCGACGGCCGTGAAATATGAAGTTTTACGGCCCGATCACGTGATAATCTAGAACCAATCAGAAAACGACTTATATAGAATATTTATAATGAGGTATAATAATATAAAAAAAAACCTTTCAGATCTTATTAAAATAATAAGATCTGAATAATAAGATCCCCACTGTTCTTATTTTGAGCAATGAGACTTCATTTACTGGGAAGTTTGAAATATTGTTAATGCAATATATTATTTTTTCTCAAAGAGCTATGTATGATACTAGTATATAAAATGGTATTACACCGGATTTCACTAATATGTTTATAGCTGACAAAGCACTCACAAATAAAAATTATCAATGCATTACTTTTAATTATAATAAAATATATGCATTTTAAAAGTAAAAACACACACCTTCTCAGCTGCTTCTCTCATAAATTGTTTGGCGGAATCATCCCAGATAGCAGGCACAGTTATAACCCATCTAATAAAGTCATCTGAAATGCCATTCATAGATTCCTCTAGTTGTCTAGCAAACGTTTCTTTAAGGTGACGTAACAACATCCTAAATACTTCCATTGCAGGCATCGGAACTCCTTTGCAATCTTCAATCATCATCTCTCGATTGGTTTTCTTTAAAATTTCTTTTGTGTAGAAAATTTTTATTTATTTCCTTTGCAGTCTTCAATAATCACCTCTCATTTTTATTGAGTTATATGCTTAAAACAGCCATTTCACTAAATAAATTTAAAAGAAAATGAATGAAATGTATATTATTAAAATGGTTAAAAGACATCGAAACTATACAAATCAAGAGAACAGAAACGCAGTGCTATAAAAACACAGAGGTGGAAATAATTGTCAGGAGGAGAAACATCTGCATTGTACTCCTTGTCAAGATTGAGTAAACTGAAAACTCTGGAGACATTTCAGTATTTTAAAATAATGTTCTAATATTAACAATATTTGATCAAGTTTTTCATCAGATACTTGAAGTAAGAGCATTTTGTGCATATGGTATCAGCTGGGAGACATACAGTTCATCTGCAAGTAATATTGATAGATTTCTACATAAATAATGAAGTCATCATGTTTATCATTACAATTTTTTGTTACAATTTTCATAGTTTTTCCAATAATATGACAAATGTGTGTCAGACCCTATGGTACCTTAAGTTTAAAGTTCAAATGTTTATATATCATATCAACGTATGAAAATAAATATTTGATAAGATCTAAATGTTGAATCGAAGACCATAACAGGTGTCCTATTTATTTTTTTCTTTGAAGAAGTGTTTGATTGGATTTTGCTTCATAAGAGTAACATTTTTTTTGGATAATTTTCACCACATTGCTAAAATCATCAACCATGAAAGTAAGGTATCATTGAAAATAATGTTTGAGTGAAATTCAATGTTTATTAAATAGTCACATCCACAGGGGCTATATTTGTCAAGAAATTTAATTAGTTAATGAAAATTAAAGTCCCTTAGCGGATCTCATTTCTCAAGGAAAAAGAAATGGTAAATTGAAAACCAATTTCCTCGTAGCAGATCATAATGAAATGCATACCTTGTTTTCTGTATTATAAAGGTTCATTTTGAAATATTTAAAAAGCCTCCATCCGGTTTCGCCACTACTGTATTTCTCAGCGTAGATATCTTCTGCACTTTTCCCGAAAGCATAGAACTTGTCACTCGGAGTCAACAACACTGAGGTAGGTTCCTTTGCTAACACCTGTAAAACATAATAAAGACAGATAAGTTATTTATCCTTGACTATACCTAAAATTGGAAAATATCTGTGGTGTAAAGTTTTGGCGTTTGGTCGAAAATTGAGTAAAGTGCTTTTGTTATTACATTCCTTCATTTGTTGCCTCATCATGTCCATAATAATTTCACATTTTTTTTTAATTAAAGAAAAAAAGTTGCCTTAAGGAAGGGGGCAAATTAAAAATGAAAGATAGCTTGGACGAATAGCCAGTCATATCTAAACCAATGATCAAATTGTGGAATTTTTGTACAAAATATATAGAAAAGGATCACATTTTGGCAAATGGAACAGAATTTTCAGCAGGCAAGCAAATAAGTAGAACCTAAATAAACTAAAAATTTTAATTAGATAGTAGAATTGTATTGTCTTACTTCTGAAGATTACTCAGCAGACACTCATAGAAGATTTAGTAATTTTTTTGGTATTAATCAAGCTATCATTCTGACAATTCATCTTTAAATAAAGTAATTATTGGAAATGTATAAAGCATTAATTATGTGAAACTTACTAATTTTTAAAGAACTTCTTTCGATAGAAACATGATATTTACTTTAAATTAAAGACCAAGAATAAGATGAGTTGAACTGTAAATTTGAACACATTTAACTCTGAGAAATTGATAATTGCAAAGTACAATGCTTATGTTTATAAATCAAATATAAAAGAATTGTTGAGATATTGTTACAATGCATGTTTTTAATTTCGAGTAAATTAAAGGTAATATGATGACTTTATATAACAGTGATATAAAGTATTGATTATATTCTCATTTAGATGCATATCGGTTATAAATGCAAGATCACAACAGAAATAACATTTATAAGATGATATCGCCGAAATCAGCCACACTTTAACCTGTATTCTGGAGAGAAGTACCCCAGTGTTAAAAGAATAAGAGGATAGTACCAAGTAAGTCTAATTGATATCATTTTTATTTTTTCCGGAAGTAAATAAAAAAAAAATAAAGAATCCCCAAAAACATAAACTTGAATATTTTGAATATATTTAGCATTTGATACTACATAGTATATATAAGATTATATTGTCCGAGATTTTAAACAATATTTTAAGTAACTTTGTTAGATTGAATGAAATGCTAAAAGTGTTGTTAGTCATTCTCACGGTGCAATTTGAAGATTAATAGCATTTATCGTGCTATAAAGTCAACTGTAACAATGACAATTTATAAAAAAGACAGATTTCTAAAAATAACATCAGGGATAGGATCAGATACCGTGTAGGAGTAAGCAGCCCCGTTTGACTAGACATATCCGCTGTGTGTGCTCCTTGATTTGTCAAACTGGAAAATCCGTGGACAATTAATTGTGAAAAAATAATGGCTTAACAATTTGTACAAATAAAGGTCAGTGCAAAACATCCAGCCTCTTGTCTCTTACTAATTACTGAGTGAAGATACTCAAATTGGTAATTTGGTAATTTGGAAAAAATACTGCGAACTTACACGTACTTGTACAATTTGTCGAACCTGGTTATATTTCTGAAATGGTACTTATCATTAGAAACATTTTTTCTCTATTAATTAACGAATTGTACAGTAACTATTTATCGTATCAGTTTCATCTTATGAAAAAAATATCCTTATGGAAAAGTATGAAATAGAATGACTTTGTAAGGCTAAAATTTAGATAACATTTAAAAACGAATTCCAAATAATTTAGTCTTAAATTATTCATTTGTACACGATGTGTAATTAAGTGAACTTTACTATTGATCTATGAATCATGAAAAAAGAATAATCATAATAAATAAATAAAAAATAAATGAATAAATAAGAGAGCTTATTACATATAATCAAAGAATTAAAAAAAAAATGATTCGTAAAAATCTAAAATCTTGAAATGATAAGACTTTCAAAACTAATCTAAATAAATTGCTAGCGCCGATGATTCAACAAAATCACAGCATGAAATTATATTTGATTTACGTATTAGAATTACCTCTCAACTCTCTTGATTAATAAAGATTAGGAAAGGGCAAAAAACCATAACTACAATGCAACCCAGAAAATCACCTTAATGAAAATGTAAACAACTTTATCATTTATTTCCCTGAAGTAATTAAGTAATTCTATGATCCTTATGATGATATTTTGACATATAAAAATTCTACTTGATGATCATAGAGTACTAGATTAGGTTCTGTATGGCATCAAATAAAACTTTGACCACTCGGTGATCCTTTTCAAATGCTTAACCCCTTAGGAGTTTATGCTTCTATGAACATATGATGATAAAAGCAATTTCTAATTAGAAATACAAATCCACCGAATAAAATCAATTAATAACGTATGATTGTACAAATTCACACGTTTGATTAGTTAGGCCATCATTTATACACACTAAGAAGTGTCGACGGACTTTTCCGTTATTTCACGATTATGACAAGGAGCACATTGCGGATGTGACCAGTCGACAGGGAATTCTCAATCCTTCATGACACCTGATCCCATCTCTGAAATTCTAGAGGCCCTTGTTCTCCCTACCCTAAAATTTGCATTGTTTAATGGACTTTTAAGCTTGTATATTGTTCGATTTATCCCTATATTTCATTTATGCAAAAAACATGATTGTTGGTAGACCCAATCCTCATGCCCATGATTCGCAGTGGGTCCTTTTCAAAGTCATCCCTCTGAGAGTACGCATATCCAGTGTAAGAGGTTCCGAAGTCTATAGCCACGACAAATAAGTCCTGGTTATCAGAGAGGGAGCAGGTCTCGTTCATTTTCGTGTTAACTTTCACTTTAACCTACAACATTAAAACAAAATGAGATCTGATGGGAAATCGAAAGTAAAATGCTGGACGATTCGAAATATTTTCAAATTTTTTAATAAGCATTTCGGGAATTTACTGAGAGGGTTTAAGTGAAATAAATATAATTTTAAACACAATTTTAATAATAAGAAACAGTTATTTATTTCGAATTATATGCCAGAACAGATTGACTTCACATACTTAAAGTTTAATGTATTTCCCAGATATGTTCTTCATCTACCAGAAATATTAATAAAAACTTACTTTAACTTTTCCAAGTATATTCACTGCATGGTAAAATTCTGAATAATTTCAGCGAAATTCTTCTTCCGCGTTGGGTTAAATGTTGTTTTTTTTAAAGGCAAGTTTTAACATGACTTTTTATATTGTCAGGAGTGTCAAATTTGGACCTTTAAATCAAGCCTTTATTGATCATTAAACCATATCACCATCTTTATTTTAAAAGATCTATTGAAATTTCACATGTTTTAATATGTGTAAGTATGTGCACTTTAAAAGTGATTTTAACCTTGTTTTAAATTTTTTTTTTTTGCTTGATCCAGAATTCTGCTTTTCAATATTTAATTTTATCTGTATTTTATCTTTTAAATCACGAATATCACTCCGGTGTGGAATGATGTATCATTTGATATTTAAATAAAAAAAAGAAAATATTTAGATAAATAATAAATAAATAAATAAATAAATAAATAAATAAATAAATATGGAATAACTTAAAATAATTTTACCAAAAATTTTTGACGGAAGGATTCAAAAAGTTTTATGTCATGCGATTTAGATTTAATTTTTGTTTAGTGAAACATAAATAAAAATATATAGCACAGAATTGAACCGTAATAATTGAAATATAACAAATATATCAGCCTAGCTTTTCCTTGTTTGTTCTTTTTGCTACAATAAGTGCATGCATATGTGAAAATTATTTAAAAAGCCCCCTGAACAATAAAGATATACATTTTAGAATTTAAAAAAAACATACAACAGATAACTTTTCGGAATATTTAAATATACTCAGTAAAAAGATATATTAAACATTGTGTATTTAACCATGGCCAGGGTAGACTAGGAATAATCTGCTCCTTAATTTATTCTAGTGGGAGTCATAATTCATCTTACTCGATACAACCATTTTTTGTTAATTTCTGAAAAGCATCGAAGCAATATTTTGATTTGTGATAGAAATACTGATGGTGCGTATTTAGGATTGTGTAATTTTTTCCCGATTTAAATTGCAGCATTTGCTTGTATTAGCATTTACGCACAGGTCGTTATAGTTTCTCATAAAGGAACAGTATAAATAACTTCGGATCCATTATAAGCATATTGATTGAACACATCATATGCAAAATGGGAGATCTTGAAACATTTAATGTTTTACCAATTTACTTTTTTTGACGGCATTAAAAGACTCACTCCCGCTTTGTTCTGAGCAAAAATCAGATATTTCTTACAATAAATGAATCAAATATGAAAACAACTTAACAATTTGGATTTTTTGGAAATACCAACTCGGTGCTTTGTTACGCGCTTTATCAAAAAAAGATATACCCAATTTTCTATATTTGAAAACGTTTATCATTTTCATTGGCATTTACATGCACTTTATAGTATTGTATAATTACCTTCTGTTTGGATTTGGAAGTAATATGAAATATTTATTCAAAAATAAAGAAATCTTTACCTCCCAAAAATTCATCTATTCTCAATCTTTTAATTTTTTGTCTCTTCTATTTTTTTCCAACAGATACTGCGCAAATATTGATAGAAAAAGGACATGCTATAAATGAAGACCTCCACTCAAACCAAACATATCTGATTTCAGGATCCTGCAATGTCATGATTCTACAGCACTTTGTAATTATTTTAACATTGCTTTGTGTGAACGGAGAGATACAGCAAAGCCATTTCAAATTTTTCGGAGAAGTTTTCAAAAATGAAGGATCTCATGTGTTAGTGCAGTATCCCTCTGTTTCCAAAAGCCGTTGCGCTGCCCTATGTAGGGAAAATACCAGATGTCAGGCCTTTGAGATTTGTAAAGACGACCCTCAAGAATGCCGACTGACGAATGGGGACACTCCTGTACAAAATAATAATTCTTCTCATCCAAGATGTCAGTTATATTACATGGTAAGATTTTTTTTAACGATTGATGATATATGTTTTGGGGGGATGTTAAAAAATATACAGTAAAGCAAGCCTTTCGCGCATTGCCAGGGACTAAACCTTTTAATTTGCTTTGTTATGAAAGAAATGATTAAATCATTTAAGTTCAAGATATATACTTATCATATTTGGTTATATAATTTTGTTGCATAATTGCCAATTCATTATAAGCGTGTTTTCTACAAACATGTTTTACTGGAAAATGTTTACTTTATAAATGAAGGGTTTTAAAGATTGTATTTTTAATATTTTATTGTTGGATACAGAATTAATTACCTCCTAGAAATAAGACTCTGTGTTATATTTTCTCTATGTAAAGCACGAATTATATTTAGATAATGTTTCAAGATTGAAATAAATTTAACAGTCAACTACAATATTTTGAATTTTCTGTTTATTGCATATTCTTTGATTATTGCACCTTTGTTATACACCATGTAGTACACTATGCCGTTATAGCTGTGCGATTGAGACATCAAATCGTAGAGATTATGAAATAAAAAAAAATGTTGAGGACAAGTTGAAGCAACGCATTTGAAAAAAAAAACTTGGTCAGTTAAGTTTCTTTCAACGTGGTTTCGTTATCATCTATATCTTATAATAGTCTATGGAATATTTTTACAACATTCTTTTGGAGTAAAAGAAATAAATCAAAAGTTTTGTCTCACTTCTTATATTCTCTGTACAATGTGACAAAATACCACTCTTATCCTACAAATAATTTACAGAACTTCACAGTTTGAAATTCTTAGAATTACATGACGCCCTTTACAAGAGCTTTCTTCCACTTGCGTGCATGTTTAGAGAAACCCATGGACATGAAGTGATAAGAAACTTCAACTTGGGTATCAGAATGCGCTGTGTTTACTATTGTGGTTCTTTTCTACAGGTGAACGACTGCGAATCAGGGCACTGGGACAGAATCCAGGAAAAATGTGTTCAACAAAGTAAGAAAGAATATCTTCTTTAGGATTCTTACATTGCATTCCTGTATTTGATAACAAAATTTGAAACCACAATGTTTACTGCGTTTTGCTTACTTTTCGTTTCCTTCTCGTATATCTTTTTCAGATGTAACTATGACATCGTTTAAAGAGATAACTATTTTCTATAATTATTTTTTTTTCGAGATGTAGCAAATACATGTACCATCCTAGCAAACAATTGTATAATATGTAAAGTAAGACTTGTCTAGTCGGGATGTTGTACAATCCAGAATCGTTTAATACGATGTAAACTTTAAGTCCATTTCAATAAATCCCTTTGTTTTAAATGTTATCCAATATGGAATGCTGTCTTATCCGGCCAATTTCTTTAGAATAAGTGGTGTTCAGATTAAGCAAGTTTTGCTGTATAAGTAAAATCCAAATTTATTTTTCTAGATGTAACTAATATCTATTACGAACTTTTTCTAGATTCAACTAATGCCATCCCAATCAACAACTGTGTGGATTGTCACTGTTTGTTAGGACTTCTGTCCGTGTTAGAGGGAGGGGAGACAACCTACACTCTATCTAGTGGGAAAACCCTTTTCTGTGATTTAGAATTGGGGATACTACCATTGTATATCTACAAGTGGACGGTAAGGGACATATTGAGGGGCTTCTGAGTGAGAGATATTTGTGAAATAAGAAAAAAAACTGATCTTGGTTTATTTTTTTCCCACAACTTGCTCTATTCGCAATTTATTTAAGTGAATGTAGCCTTTTTATATAAATTAAACACTTCAAGATTTTGGTGCAACTCGTAGGCAGTAAAAAAAGATAAATCTTTTTTTTCTCACCATTCCTCTCAAATCTCAAAATTAAAAAGATGCGGAAATATAAATAATATCGACATTTAAAGATATGAATTCATTGGTTTATCCACTTTGATAAAGAGGAAATATTTTATCGATAATTTCTCACAAAGTTAAGGGTTCTGAAGCAAGGTTCATGTATATCACAACTGGCTCAACGTTTCACAAGCATGATTAATTTCCAGAAATAGTTTTATGTACTGTATTCTTATATATTATATATACCCGGGTAATGCATGACAAGTTTTGGTGCACTGAATGTGCCTCTTTATGCTTCGTAGGATTACTGTTATCAAAGTTTAGAAAACCTTCAATGTATACATGTATTAGTATTAAAAAAAAAAATCAATTTCAAGTATTAAATAACAATAGCATCCACTGACTTACTAATAATGGATTTTTATTTAATGAAATTGATTAACTAGGAAGAATATTTATTTTGTGAAAATCCTGTCTCTTAAAATGACTGCACTTGAAAAATGATTCTTTGTTACTTAAATATGTTCGATTCCCTTTTTGTTGTGAATTTAACCTTGATAAAAGTATGTTATGTAAATATAATGGTATGAATACTTTCGATAATAATCTAAAATTATAAATGCTTTCGATACACATTCAGTATTTTAAATCTAGGCCAGTCAATGTCAATACACTTAGATATTGAGGATGTGAAAAAAGTGCTAAATAAATATGAAAGATGTTTAAAAAGAGGACTGTATTCAACTCCCAAATCCATCTTTATTTAAAGTTAAAAATTAAACAAAGGCACTTCAAAGCGGAGCATCCCTTCGCAAAGAGCATTTATGAAGACAAACATCAAAGTATGTGGAGGGAGGCAATCTAAATATGTTTTCTTTACACAAAATATCCATTCTGATATTTTTACTTATGTCTTTTTAAAATTATAATAGATAGAACAGCTTTTTAAGAAAGCAATCGGCCATTTAAAAATAAATAGTAAAAAAATTCAATAAATATAAAAAAATGTTCTAACAGACATTCTTTAACGTAGCAATTATTTCGTCATCGATCAGAAAAACTTTCTTAAAGCATTGTAACCTTTATTTTATTTAACAAGTCAAAATCTTAATGAGCATTGCGTTTAGTAAATTTATATATAATTTATATCAATGATGATAATAACAATTTCTATTTTTGCCTAAAAAGTAATAAAACGCCTAATATTGAAATTTACAATCATGAAGGAAGACAATAAACTCAAGGTCTTTCTTTAAAGTACAAGGACGATGAACATTTTAGCCAGTGATGTAAGAAAATGAATGGTCTTGGCAACGATATTATGTATTTAATATACAGTTATTGAATGGGTATGAGAGCAACATATGATTTATTGGACCTGAAGGTGAATATGCGTCCTCAGACAACATTTTCACCTTCAGGTCCAACAAATCATGTGTTGCCCTCGAACCCAGTCAATAAATGTATAATAATACATTTATTGGTGTGCAGTAAAATTATATTGTTTGGATGTCTATCATTAGACTAAACACTTGATTGTAAACTAAATAGAATGTTCTAATTTGGAAGTTATTTTCAGTGCAAATCCTTTTGTATTCATCAAAATCGTTTTGGAGCGATTCTGCAATTATTTGCTACATTGCGAGTATATGGGAGGTATTCTAACTGTGGTGAGGGCCTGTCCTGAGACACGGTTAGATTATTCTAACTAGATTGTAAACATGATGTCTTTAACTTTACAATCGTCAACTTCCCGTACCTATGTAACAATATACCTTCAACACCTGCATACATAGATAGAATGTTCTATCGAAAACTGTTGAAAAAATTAGTTGAATTTTCGTCTTTTTATGGATTTTTGGGAATAAAAGGCATATACTATCTCAAAAAGGTTTGTTACAATTAATTTGGAAGTTATTTTCAGTGTAAATCCTTTTGTATTCATCAAAATCGTTTTGGAGCGATTCTGCAATTATTTGCTACATTGCGAGTATGTGGGAGGTATTCTAACTGTGGTGAGGGCTTGTCCTGAGACACGGTTAGATTATTCTAACTACTGCATACAGAGTTAATATATCTCAGCTGATTCGATACTCAAGAGCATACTCTACGTAAGAATAAGTTCTAGAACGAGGTAAATTATTGACATACAAATTGATAAAACAAGAATATCAGCAGTTTCGTTTAAAGTCATCATTTCGTAAGTTCTATGGTAGATACAATGACCTTGTCTGAGCATATACAATTTATCAATAAGTCAAATGCTGATTGACGTTTTACATACTAATTGTTAGTCCATTATTTATACACTAAACTGATGACAAATTTTCCCGTTATTTTCCGATAATGGCAAGGATCTCACGGCCGGTGTAACAGGTCGGCAGGGGATGCTCACTCCTTCATGGTACCTGCTCCCACCTCATGTGTTGGAGGTCCGTGTCTGCTCTGCTCCTATTTTGTATTGTTTAATGTTTTGATTTTGAATATTGTTTGTTAATTATCTCCACGTGTTTCATTTGTTAAAAGGTCTCTTAAGTTAAAACCCGCCGAAAAATGGATGAAATATTGCTGACTCAGCGTTAATCTCCAATTAATCAATCAATCTTAAGTTAAAAACGATTCATTCCCTCTTTCAAACTGAACTCATTTATTCTCTACATTGTTGAGCCAAAACGATTTCAAAAAATATCCTCGCAGTTTTATTAAAAATCAGGTATCATGCCCATGATATTTACTTTAATGAATAAAATATGGTAAAGGAGAAGAAATGTTTTCAACAACATATTTGTGAACAAAATTAAAATTGAGTAAATGACGATTAAGGTTGTTTAATTGTCCACCAGCATATAATTCCTCTAAAGAAGTAAAACTAAAATATTACTACCCACATGTAGGCGTGAGACAACTGATCATCAATAAATCAATCTGTCTATTTTACAAAATTTATTTTGCATTTTTTAAAAAAGTCTGACAATAAATATATATTTTAGCCATTTTGTGTACTATTTATATCTGTTTTCCCTCTCTTACGTAGATAATTCAGAGACACACAATGGGCGGATACGTTGATTTTGATAAGGACTGGAACGAGTATAAACATGGATTTGGATCTGTGACGTCAGACTTTTGGATAGGTAACATTTTATCATTTCTTTCTGTTACTTTATTTCATTGTCTCTACATACTTCATTCAGTATAACAGCTATTGTTAAATGTTTGGTACTATCTGCTAACTTTCTTTTCTACTCATCTTAATTTGTAAAAAAAACTATTCAATATGAATTGTAATCATGATTCAAATATTAAAGTCGCCCGCGTGGATAAGTGGTTAGAGCGTCTGCTCAAGAGACGCGATGTAAGGAGTTAATCCTTGGGTTGCGGGTTTGAATCCCACTGTAGGACGTGGAATACGGTCCTTCAGAAGAGACTGCATAAACCAAGGCCCTGTGTCGCAGTAGATGCTGGCACGAAAAATATCCCTCCCTGCTCAATGGCCCTGAGTGCCGAGTATAGGACAAAATTTGAAGCTCTCCACCGGCAAGTGGTGGAGTCTCCATATGAGTGAAACACTCTCGAGAGGGACGTTAAACAATATTCGATAAATCAATTAATGAAAAAATAAACTACCTTCAGTGTATCAAATAGACAAAAAGACGTTCATGTCGGAGTAATTTCCAGTTAATGTAAGATAAATGGTGAATGGAAAAATTGTTATATAATATGAAATGTTCCTCCAGGAAATGACGTCATACATCAGATAACAAACAACGGAAACACCTTCCTCCAGATTAAGATGATCAAGACATCTGGTTATTCGATGACTGCAGAGTACTCTTTCTCTGTCGACTCTGAGATGAACGACTACAGGCTCCAAGTTTCTAATTTTCGTGGCAGCTATGGGACAGGTAATAAAAATACAAAGTGCATTTAATGTTTTTGAGAAATTATTTCGCTATTGCTCAGGCAATTTATTCTGAAGAAAATAAAATGTTTATTATTAAAATATCTATTCTCCTTCCTCTTCATAGGAACAGCAATTCTGTTCTCATGATTTACATAGGTTCTCTTCAAAATATTCATAGCCTGTGGCATATATTAAGTGTCTTGTTGTTTTTTATGTAAATTTGATATTATATTCCGTCAGATATTTTAGGAATCACTGCATGTCTAAGTAGAGTATGCCAGTGCATCAACGATAGTTGGAAACGTGGGATAATTTGAATGACAAGCGGAGCCAGTTATGCATAAATTATCCCACGTTTCCAACTATAGTTAATGTCCCTGGCATACTCCATTAACTAGACAGTGATTCCTTATATTTCAATTTTATTGTGAAATAAAATTGTGAATTTATATTCTAAAAATGTAGGATGATTGATTTAAATACCACGAGGCCTGCCATATCAATTTCAAAATAGTCTTCGCCAACTGACATTTTGTTTGGCGTCCGACAATATGTGTTTTTCCGTTTAGCTGTCTGCCTGTCCGTCTATCTAAAAACTTTTCACATTTCTTCTCCAGAACCACATAATACCAGTTTCAGTTAGACTTGTTATAAAGCATCCATGTTAAAGGAAATTCAAGTTTCTTTAATTGAGTATGTTTAGAGAGACCTACTAGGGGAAATAATTAAGAATTGTTGAAAAAATTCGTGTCATTAAAAAAATCTTCTTAAGAACCAAAAAGGTAGAAAGTCAGAAGTCACAATTCTGGAAGAAAGGTCCTTGCTCTTCATAACTACGAGGGTGATCAAAAAGTTTGCGAAATAATTGAATAACTTCCATAAAAGAAGCAATATTTGGTTTCAGTGTTGATTATATTTTAAATTAGTCCTCTCCGAATTGAATGCACATCAACCACCGTTCTGCACATGCGCGAATCACTTGATATAGGCGGTCGCGTGACCCCTTCCATAGTATTCTGTCACAAAAGCTGAAAGATTTTTCTGAGTTTTACATTTCTTTCCATGTAAGTTAATTTTTATAACAAGAACAGTTCATTTGTCAGAAATGGCCAAATCTTGGCAACAGAGTGGGTGGATAAGAATATCCTTTCCAAAAGTAAGCATGGCGACCATCAAAACCCAAATCTTCTGTCTCGGGAGAGACGTTTTTTCAAGGTTGCTTTTTATCATATCTAATATGTTTAAAATCTAAAGTAAACGATATCTTAGGTATTTAATAACTATATTATTGTTCAAATATTAAACTATTTTTCAAAGTGTAAATTGGAGGACTTTGATAGCAAGTTGCTTAATTAAAAACACACCTCTTTTCAAACTTTCTTTCACTGGGCAATAGAACAAGTATTATTTTCAATTATCTGCCTTCCTTCTCTTAAACATTCAATCCTGTCATTTATTGAATTTATAAAAAGTCATTTGTCTTAATAAACTGTGTACAAATTATTATATGCTACTGCAGATCGATTTCTAAAATACCGTATAGCATAAATTTTACAGTCGATTGGTGATTGAGTACGTCTGAGACAACCATTTTTCGTCACAAGTGACCCACATAGTGACGTCATTTTCACATTGTGACTTCACAAACAAGGAGCAAAACTTTATTCAGCATATGCTATTGATAGAACTTGTGTATGGCTATATGTGTACCAATTTGTTTTCTAATCTGAATTGTGGTTTTGTAGATACAGAGATAGGTCGCGAACCTCGTATATAGGTAGTTCATATTCTTATTACTCAGGAGCAGAGAAAAAGATTTTTTTTGAAAGATTTAATGTATAACTTAATGGGTAATTAAAGTATTTGGAACGAATATATTGAACAAAAATCTTTGTTTTTTAGATTTTATTTTTCTTGATTAAAAAAAGGGGGGTTACATGTAACTCTTCAAGGACAAGACAAGATCATAACCTAAAACCTTCTGATACTTAAACATGAAAATTATATTTAAATATACAATGAGTATTCAGTTCATACATATCTGCTATGCATTCAATTCTACTGAATCTGAGGCTAGTAATCTGGGTCAGATCCCTTATTTTTGTAAAGATTATAACTCCCAGAGATAGGATGGAGCAACAATGGAGGGATTTTAAACAAATATATAATATACGCTTTTGTTTAAAAGAAAATTCTTCTAAAAGACAAGAGTCATGATTAGTCATAAATATTTGGAAACATCAACAGAAGTGTTGATTCAAATTTGTTTAGATACATGTAATAACCCCCCAATGAAGAATCGGAAAACACAAAGTGATAAACTTTTCACAATGGAATATATAGGGGAAAAAATCTTTAAAAATCTTTTTCTCAAAAATAAAAAGAGCTATTTCATTCGTTCTGACATTGAAGCATCCTCACGTCGTGTAGATTAACATTTGTTCAATCCATGACGTTCAGATGAACAGTGTAGCAACAAAAGAAAATATTTTTTTGTTTACAAAATTAAGAGAAAATATTTGAAAAAAATCTTTAGATATCTTTAGGAACAGGAGCTTTCATGTTTAGTCACATTTACATGTAAAAATCCTCAAGTAGTTTAGATTTAAGATTGTTAACCCCCCTAGGGTTGCTGAAAACGATATTGGGATTATCATTTTTACATTTAGGAATATTTATGAAAAAGATCTTTAAAAGTCTTGTTTCGAGAACAGATATGTCATTATAAGTAAGTAAGTAAGTATGTATGTAAGTAAGTAAATGGCATGGTGACATGTGTATAGTTTTCCACAACAACATATATATATATAATATAAACATATATACATTACACGCGGCCCATTGGACCTATATGTCACTTTGATATAATACATGTACAACATTTCCATGATAAATAAAGATAGCGCTATGACTTTAATTTGATTGGTATAAATATTATTGTCTTACTGAAAAAACATAAATTAAAAAATTTTGGCAGTTTGTCTTTAATGAGTTTTCATAAAAGTGTTTAAATTATCAACTTGATATACCTTTCTACTTTAATTAACATTATAAAAAAAGAAGCTTCTCTGATATATCATGAAATCAGAGAATTTTACAATGTCAATATAAATCTTAAAGTAGATAAAAGATATGATTTTCATAAAGCTCTCTCCTAACCGTCTTTTACCGTAATTTTATATTTAGCCTCTCTATTGTGACGTCATATTCAATATATCGCAATTGATGACGTCAACTTAAAGTGCGATTGTACATTTAAAGATAAAGTTTGCTATACTCGCATTGGTCAATATCTTAATAACGAATCAACCACGGCCAGAATAGTACATTTTGGCCGTGGTTTAGTACACTTTGTCTACATCAGTAGATTAAGCTTGAACTTGGATATTATAGGATTATAAATTTAAAATTCTGCTGATAAAATTCGGCATGGTCAGATTAAAACGTAGGTATACATTATTAGTTTACTAGTGTTTTCTTGTCTTTGACAGGGGACCCGTTCACCACAGGCTGTCCAGAATGCGCGAACGGAATGAAGTTCACAACAAAAGATAGAGACAATGATAATAACGGAACCGGAAATTGCGCAGTAGTAAGCAAAGGCGGCTGGTGGCATAACTTTTGTCAAAGGTCAAACCTGAATGGACGATTTGGTGAAACTGACTATCGGCTCGGCGTTAACTGGGATTCCTACACTAATCTTCGTTATGTCGAGATGAGGGTTAGAAATCCATGAAGAGTCAAAAAATATTACATACTATTTTTTAAGTTGTTTATGAGTTGTTCTAATAAAATTTGGGGAAAAAGTGATTTGAGATTTTATCATTTTGACGCCTTCCTAATAGATCTGCAACATTATTCTGTTCAAATAATGAATTATTTAGTTCTTTCAGAGTTACTTACCTTTTTCCAAAACGGATTTGTTCGCTGTTTGATAATTATGCAAATACTTACATGCATAAGAATCAGTTCTATGATTTGTATTTTAAAGTATTTTAAGCCACTGATTAAATCAATTTTTCTAGTACAACATGGTTAAAAATCAACACCAAATTACAGAGAACAGTCTTAAAAATGAACTGGTGGAGTACACTTCTATATATATAACGCATAAAGCAAATACTGAAGCATATCTGTTTGTCCGATACACTTCGTTATGAGCATGTTTTATTGTACATCAATAAATTAATTAGATTCATCACATGATATGCAATTTTATATTGAAATATAAATGTTTTAGCACAGAGCATATTTAAGCTTCCAGTGGTGCAGCTGTTACTTTTTATTTAAACAATTTTCAATATACAGTGTTACAATTTTAGATATAAGTTAATCAAGAAAAAAACCAAATGCTTTAAATTTAAATAATTCAATTAAATTGCATGATTACGAGGAAAGATAAAAGATATCTATTTACTATGTGGAACTTCAAGTGTAAATGTATTTTACGATGACGTTCTTGAAATGTCATTTGCATGCTTGTGTATAGAAATCTATAAAACCAATCACATTTTGATCGTTTCTCTTACATCGCATGCTGGGAATGCAATTGATTCAGAATAACTTTCTTTCAAATCAATGGGCATTATCCTTTCAAAACAGTATCTTAAATCTATTAAGTTCGTCACTGATGTTTTCATTGACTTACTCAGCATTTATAATAATGCAAACATTTGGATGTAAAATCAGCTAAACGTACTCGTAGTTCAATTTTTTAAAATTCATTGTGACAACAGAATATGTTGGTTTCATTTTCAGTTTTGATTATTCTCATTCATTTAGTTTTTGTTAAAAGTGCAGATCTTGAACATGGTCACTTCTATTTCGTTGGCGACATTTTAAAGAATAATTCTGCTCATGTAAAATATCGGACTTCGACACAATCAAAAAGTGTTTGTGCAGCAAAATGTTTGCAGGATTCAGAATGTATTGCAATTGAAATATGTGCACAAAGTCGGGAATGCCGATTGACTGTCGGAAAGGAACCAGAAATATCGCTAAAAATCTCTACAGATATATGTCGTCGGTATCTACTGGTAAGCTATGAAACATTTTGAAGAAAATACTTTTAATTGTTTGTTAATGATTTTATATTATATACACACAGATTTTGATTTTATTTTGCCTCTTGTGTTTTTGTTCAATGCTCATATTAATGAATACCGACACATCTAGATATTTGTTGAACAATTAATTCTTATATTTGTTTAAAGACTTTTTTTTTTTTTTTTTATAAAAGCTAGGTTTGTTGACCTTTAAATGTGTTTTTGTCATAAGTTTATAACTGTTTTTTTTAGAATATTATTATTCTCTATATAATTATATGGATTGAATTTAGCGAAACATTTCTAAAGAAAAATATTTTGCACATTTTCCTCAAAACTAAATATATGTAGGACTTAAATAGAGACAATAACTTACATGTATCTTTTTGAAGGGAAATAAAAGGGTGTCGAATTTAAAAAAATCACTTATTTAGAATATCAGTTAATTGTATATTAAAGTAATTTATATTTTTTTTGATAATTTAAAAAGGTATATTTTTAGTTTCTACATACATAGCTTAATTAAATTCAAATCAAAAAATGGGGGTCAATATGCTTCTTTTGGCGCTACAGTACATTTAATATAACCTTTTTGCACTGATATTTGTGTCTTAATTAAAAATTACATTATTATTTTTATCCAATTAAAGCATGAAACAAAAGGAACTCGAAGTCTGTTTAAAAAAGACCCTTTAAAAGTGTGACTAAGAAAAAGTTTCAAATTGCTTCGCATAATCAATTAGTTGACCTTTCTGCACTAATAAAATGTGATTTTTCTGGTTTTGAAAATTTAATAAGCAAGACAATTATTTTAAAGTCTTAAACTTTTTCTGATTTTAAGCAAACAGGTCAAAGTTATCTTGAATATATATGTATATGATGTAAATTTTCAGATATTACTTAAAAGTGTCAATTTTACGTTAAAATTGGCTCATTCCTTTCCTGAATTTTCAGGATATATATACTATATTTGTCTCACTTTGTTGATAGAATTCATGAGAAATCATTCAATAGATATTTCAGAACCAGTATAACACATTTCACTGCAAAAAACAGCTTTGTGTGCAACCAGCAGGGAAAAATAGGAATCCAAAATTAACAGTACTATAATAGCGAACAATTCAGCGTAGCGAGCTTTAACGTGAAGGAAGTTCAGGTTGTGCAATTGTTCCAAGAAATTTTTATGAGTCCACGTGAAAAAATTCCAAACTCCCAATAATCCTTTGGGTGCATAGCAACATGGTGGCAAAAACATAGCAACAACGTACTTGAAAAAAATTACAAACAACGAAATAATGCAATCAAAATGCCATAAAAATATCGTTTGCGTCCTAAGTCAACAGAACTTTTTATCTGACGTCATACTTTCGTCACTTTAACGGTTCGGGTATTTCCGATTTTGTCGCCCCAACGGTCACACCGTAAAACATATTAGTTCAAAAGGGAAAAATTGATCATTTTCGTCTTAAAAACCTTCCGCCATAAAGTATAGTCCCTAGTTTAATTCTACTTGAATGGCGGTTTTTTCATTGAATATAGTTCAGTCTGCATTGTAGAATTCAGATTTTATGCTAGAACTTAAAAATGATGCAGAATTTTACAAATAAAGGACATGACCAAAATCCACTCAAAATCTCAGGATCGAACGTCCTTAAGGGTCTTTAATACTGTTTTCTGGTTTCCCCAAGTCTTTGTGACGCGACAAATACGAGGGTTATTCAAAAACAACTTTTGTTGTAACTTTTTTATTTGATGTCATATTTAAACCTAATTTGTATATTTTGTTTTTACAACTGATTCAAATATTTTTGGCAAAGAAATTGGAATATATCTTGATTTTTATCAAAATTATCAAAGTTTTAATTCAGCAAAAATAGGGCCACGGAGCAGGGTAAAAAAATGAGTTATTTACTAATTATACATTTTTCATATCTACAATGTATAGTCATACCTCTTTAAATTTGGCCTTAAACGATATAAAATTTAAATGTTCAAATTAAGAATTGTTGTATTACTTCAGAAGCTAAAAGTTAATGTAATACATTGGTGTGTTTAAAAGATATTGATTTCTAAAGACAGATAATCTTGATTAAAAAAATGCAGAAAATCATGACGTTGAAGGACGTCACGGAGTTGCAAGTAGCAATAAAATTTTATCTTGCATTGGGGAACAAACTCCAAAAATGATGGAGGAACCAGAAAAAATAAATAGAATGAGCCCATGTATTTGTTTATACTGGAAAAGACAATTTTTGAGGGGTAAAGACTTTGAACTGGATGATGGACGGTCTGCAAAAACACAGATTATAGTTCAAATTCTTGTCAAAAGAGTATCGTAAGGAACGTCATGAAACGTGAAGTGCGCTTCACTGTTGCGGAACTTGTGAAAGCAGAGTTACGCTGTAAAGAATTTGAAAACACTAACGCTCTTACTTAAGGTACGCAAATTATTGTTAGCATACTAGGTGTCAAGTGTTATGGTTACATTTTAATGAACGAGGAATACGATACAAACCGTGTGTAAAATGAAAAGGCAGAGTAAGTTTGAAAAATTTCTTGACGTTGTTTTTGACATTACAATGTATTTAACCTTGCTCCGTGGTACAATACATGTTGTTTTTAAAATTGGCTTACATGAGTTCAATTTAATCAAATAGAATGAAACTTCACACATCTATCAAAAACGTATTCTTGCATATAAAAATGTACTGATACCTAACTAAAAATAATGTGATGATGAGGAACATTGTCTACGTATTTTTTGAATGAACCTCGTATATTTATATTATTTCCTATAGCACTTTCCTCTGAATGTATCATCATTTTGTATACGCCTGTGACGTCTTAATTACTATGTAACTGATGATGTGCCTTAACAACAAAAACCCTGTAGTTACTGACAAATAAGTTGATGTTACAGTGACTAATTACGAGGTTTTTGTTTTATCCATTTTCGTCATATTAAGGCACGAGACGCCATGAAAATAATTTTAAATCAAACATTTTTGAAAACTTGAATTTTAGCGAAAGAATAGCCCAATAGGGTTTTTTTTTTATACAATTTTCTGTAGTGATTCTATATTGCGTCTATGTTAGATGTAAGAAAAAAAACTACTTTTATTTTTTTTTCAAAAATTGATATTGTTGAGGTAAGGGCTAATATAGCAAATTATATATATAGCTTAATGAATTATCAAAAAACGAAAATTAAACTATAACAAATTGTCAAAGAATTGACCATTGTTTGCCTTATTAAATGCACGTAATCTTTTTATAGTTTGAGATTTAACTTAACAGAGAAAAAAAACGTGGTTTAGACTATTTATTCTTTTTTGTCTTAAAAGTGTGTAAAATCTTCCTAAAATGTATTTTCGGGACGAATAAATCATTTCTCTTCAGGTTGAAATCATAGACACATTTTCAGAATAAAGACCAATAGAAACCATTCTGCATTTAACGGACTTTCTATTCCAATTATGCTAATTGTTTTCAATAATAAATATGACTCTGCAAGCTTCAAAGACCTCGTAAACCGATTGCTGTTACAGTAAGATAACACGATACAATAAAATTTGCATGGTTGTTAAGCCTAAACAGTTTTCTTTGAAAGATCTCATGTATACACTAATTCATTTACAAAGGACGTGAGCTTACGGGTCATGCAAGATGTTAAAGAGAGAGAGAGAGAGAGAGAGAGAGAGAGAGAGAGAGAGAGAGAGAGAGAGAGAGAGAGAGAGAGATCCTGTGCTCGTTTTAATTCATTTCCATCATAAGTTTCGATAAGATTTGCAGGATTCAAAGAGAGATAAAAGCTACATATTGCCTCTGCTTGGACCATAGGTCTACTGATTAATCAAAGTAAGCCATTGTCAGTTGGCATGCTTTTTAACTTTCCTGATTTTTACATTTATTTATTGATCAAATGAATCTTACTCTGTTTAGAGAAATATAAGCTGCAACTTTGATGTCGGAATTTTTTGTTGCAAAATTGAAAATAACTTTATCAATGACAGAAAAAATAACGTTGATAAACTTGTGTTATTCATATTTGCGATGGAAGAACTATTCATAAGCTTCGATTGAATCCAGTTGACATGATTGTTGTCCTGTACAATAATTATTTCTTACATAAAACTGTATATTGGATTGCACATGTATATAGAAGTCTTTCTTCTGCTAATTTTAGTTTAAGCGATCATAAAGATTTAAATTTCAAAAATGCAGCTCATATATTGCTTTAAGAAATCGCATTTTGAAAACGTTTACAGACAGATGCCATGCGAACAGAAGGAAGACGGACACTTTGCCATTGCATTAGCTCTAGCAATGGATTCTACACAACCTAAAACCTGTAAATAACATAATCTAAATGCTGCAAACACTTAACCAACAACATTGAAGTTGTACATGTATATCACGGCGTTATAATTTCTGTTTTATTTCATTCGAGAAGATTTATCTCACTTGTAATTATAGAGAACAACAAATTTGTAAGGCATATCATAATTCTTTGTATTTATTTTCAGAATTATCCTTGTGCACAAGGTTATTGGGATAGAATACAAAATACGTGTGATATGGGTATGTAGAATTTTATTTCCAACTAGCCATTACTTTTATGTCTAATGAATCCCTGCCTTCCATCGACCGAACTTCACTGATGCTTGTGCCTGTACTTTTGAGAGAATGAAAATATTCCTTACGATTAAAATGTTAAATTGGTTTGGGAATAAGCATAAATGGTTTTAGTTTAAAATTTTTACAATCTTCAAAAATATTGTTTTTGAGAGGTAAAATCGATCTTATCAGTAAATTCTGATGATATAATCATTTTGTCCGTTTTGTTGATGGACTATGTGTAGCGTTTTAACCATTTTTAAATGTCAGCATGTTCTACAGCTCTTAAACATACATATACAATGCAATGATTAAAGTATTTCAAACACCTGAATACTGATAGTCATAATTTACGAGGGTTTATCAAAAAATTCGTGGACGATGTTAATCTTCGTTACACATGCACATGTTCTACTTTCAAGAAATAAAAAAAATGCAATAACATGTGTAAAATATTAGTGTTGTTGATGTGTAAAGTTTCATTTTATTAGATTTAGTAGAAATCAATTTACTTCATTTTAATATCAACATCTTTTGTACATGAAACCACGTACGGACGATACTGTAACGTCAATACATAGCGTCAAGAATTTCTTAAAAATAAGAACAACATACATTTCACACAGTATAGTTCAGTAATCACTTATTAAAAACCTATTTCTAGAACTTGACATTTATTTTTCTAACAATTGTTCTTGTTGTATAATTTCCTTTGTCTTATTGTGTTTTACTTTCTTTTACCACTCAAGTGTGGTTTCACAAGAATAGAATTTCTGAAGCGGCTCTATTTTTTTTTATGATCTTCCAAATTTTTCAAAGGTTTTGATAAGATTTTTACCGGATACATGTAAACCGCTTTTCACAGATTGTTTCCGTCCGATACAGAGTCTCTGTCACCCAAATACCGCCTGTACCATTTATAACAAATGCACTACTTACTTGTGGCATAATGTTTCATCCCTGTAATATTTTTAGAGTTTATTCAGGATTTTTCCCGACTATAACACAACATTGCATCTTTACATACTGTTCTGTGACGTTCAACAACGTCATTATTTTTGTCGTTTTCAATGAGGACTACCCAGCTATCTTCTCAAATTGTTTTCTTTTCAACGAAACAAAATATAAAGCCATAATTTGGGATATGAATCAATATAACAGTTCTAGATTTAAAACTCGAGGATTTCATTTTAGTTTTTTGCTCCATTTTACAGAGAATATGACTACAGACATTATCATATTATTTAGTGTGTTGTTTTTGAATTACTAAATTTTGACCTGTTCTGCGATCCGATTTTTGCTTTTTTTTAAATACTGGATAGGTTTAAATAAATCATGATAATTGAAATTTTTTTAATACAAATACAAAATACAAATACAAATTGATTGTTAAAATATTTCTACCAAATTTGGATAGCATATGACGTTAAATAAAAAAAAAAAAAGATATGACAGGAGTCCACGAACTTTTCGAACAACTTTCATAATTGTAATTTGATGTCAATGATGCAACAGACACCATAACAAACTCCTCCACCATAAAAGTTTCAGCAACCACAAACACTATAACAACAATGACAACAATAAGGCCAACCACGATAGATTATGTTACCACAACAAAAACAGAAGAACCAACAACCGAAGATAACTTCTTCACACCAACAACAATTGCTGAATCAACAACTTTAGACGACGTCTCCATAACAACAGAGCCAACGACCGAAGCTAACCTTTTCACTACTACTGCAGAATCAACAACTCAAGACAGCGTCTCGGCCGCAACAACAGAGTCAACAACCAAAGATACCATCTCTACAACTGTAACAACATCAGAGTCAACAATGACAAATGCCATCTCCAACACATTAACAGAAACAACATCCACAAACGCCATCTCTACTATAACACCTCAGACAACATCATTACAAATCACAACAACACAAGATGGAAACGTCTGCTTTGACTGTAACTGTGCATTAAATACCTCCAGTGTGACAACGGGAGAGTTCCTGCTGGGTAACAACAAAACTGTTTTCTGTGTCATGGATACAGTAAATAATCATAAATGGACGGTAAGTCACGCATGGTAATTGAAGAAAATGACAAGAAGCCCAGATACAAAAGTCCTTTTATTTTGCCTTTGGTAGTCTTGTCGTTTCATGATAACATTTGCAGTTGATAAACTTCGAATAGTAGATTGTAAACCTAGAAAGCTTTCTGAATGATTTAAAATGTTTTAATCCATATACAGAAGTTCGATAAGCGATAAAACTTGTAGAATTATGTTAACTTGTTTAAGATTGATAATGCATTTCCAGCTAAAGGACAGATGATACAAAAATGTTGAATTTAAAATTCTGAAAAAAAGTTATAAGAGAAAAATGAATAAGTAAAAGCGCACAAAGTTTTATTTTCATTTAAATTTTTACAATAATGTGATTTTAAGTAATAAAAAATGCATCGATTAATAAGGATGGTTGCAGAAAAGTTGAATTAAATTTGAACATCATAGAAAGTTTAGAAATTCTTCATTATTTAGGAATTCATTAGTCACATCATTTATAAGCAAATAGGTGAAAAAAATATACCAATCCAGGCATCTATATTTCTGTTTGTATCTGTCCTTCAGTAAAGAAATATTCATGTATGCACATGTTAATATATATGACGAAAACATGAGTATCATATCAAAGCCCTTTCTTAATAAAAAAAAATTAAATATATAAAATGCCCTATTCAATGTTTTTCTTCTTCAACCCTGACTTGAAAATCACTTTGACAAAGTACTTCTTTTAGGAAAATTGAAATTTCAGATAATTCAAAAGCGGTTTTCTTCTGGGCTTCAGAGTTTTGACAAGAATTGGTCAGACTATGAAAACGGTTTCGGATCTTTGAGTGCGGATTTTTGGATAGGTATGTTTACGGACGCTATGTTGTTACTTATATGCATACTTATATTATTGTTCTGGATGGTACAAATGTTTTTTGAATTTATAAACATATAATAAATACATGAATTCAGTGTTGTAAAATTGGTAACATTGAGGTTTTTTTTTTTTACCTAAGTGAACCCTAGTAACCAAGGCGTCAACGGAGATTGGCAATGGTTTTCGAAAATCAGCTAAATCAGAGTTTGTTTTTCTGATAGGTAATAAGTATTTACATGAATTGACCTCGATTTATGGTAACACACGTCTACGCATCGAAATGACTACACCTCAAGGTAAAAGAGGCTTTGTGGAATACACTTTCTTTATTGATGATGCGTCCCAGAACTACACTCTGCACACTTCCAACTACAATGGCATGCTCGGTAAGTTGTTTTTTTTTTTACAAAACAAACAAGAGAAAACAAGGCAATGGAAATAATAATGGCGTAGATTCATAAAGAATTTTTGTCATTTCTGAATTGAACTTCATGTATCAGTTTTTCAAGGAACATTTATTTAATGGATATAAAGGATAGAATTGTAACTTGAAACAATACATGTTTATAGGTTTTACGAACAAACTTTCACGTGACAAAACATTTAAGATGGTTGTACTCCTTCACCTCGTTTTCTTTGCAGAAAAAACCAAAATTTTACATTTTAGCCTATTTTGAAACAATTCAAGATCGGTTTCAAATTTAGGTATATATTTTTGTCCAAACAGGAGATCCTTTCACCTCTAGCGGAAGTTGTACGGAGTGCGCAGACGGGATGAAATTTACAACCAAGGACCGTGACAATGATTTGGATAGTGCTCACAACTGTGCTTCACTCAGTGGCGGGGGGTGGTGGCACAACGCGTGTCAAAGGTCAAATCTGAATGGTCTGTTTGGACAGTCCAGTTATTTACATGGGTTTAACTGGAACGGATTTGTGGACTTTTCTTTTGTACAAATGAAAGTTCGAAAACCTTGATCTACAACTAACTTGAATTGATATGGCAATAAATAAGTAAGGTACAAGTTTCTTGATATGCATATTATTAACTTTGCCCTTATAACAGTGCATATTCCAACAATAAAGGAAATATGATATTGTTTGTAAAACAACAGAAATATTGTTCTATTTTTCAGTCAATGATATGAAAGGAAACATTTCATTTTTTTTTTAAACACGGTTTATCAAATCAATTATTACTCCCCCCCCTCTTCGTGCGTTTGATTTTTGACCCAAAAAGGATATTGAATACCTGTAAATGTATGGCTATGAATTTGAACAAGAAAAACAAGTATCTAAATGCTAGACAAAGGGATAATGTTTCCAAGCAAATCAAATTCTCTTGTCATATCTTTTAAGCCATTTATTTTTGTTTGTTATTAAGTAAAAACATTGATATACTTGCATGGGGGCCATAAAAGATGAGCTCGCTTTTGATCTCAATCTCACTTTTACCAAAGGAATATATAGTGAAAGTGAGCTCGTCTAACTTTTATGGCCCCCAGGCCTGGTGTAATGTTTTGCATCCTAACAAGTTTTCATGACGGATAGGGCCTGTACATCAATGTGCCAAATCATCGAATTTCATAAAATATTGCACTATTGCCTGAAGAAATTTTAGAAACAACCACAAGTATAATTGTAGCAACACTTACTAGATACATTTTATCAAGTTTCACCCTTCTTGAAACATCTACGGATTGTGTCAGTTCTAGATATTAGCTGAACATTTTGAATTACAAAGCTTGCCTTTAACAATCTAGCCTATTGGAATGGAAAGCGGCATTCTTTCCCTAATGAAAGAAACTTAAGAAACTTCTGTGAACTAATGAAAAGCAGAAGCAATGAAATACGATGCATTAAATTGGATCGTGGCGTTCAGTTCAGCCGTGCTTCATTGAACTAAATGTAAATAGTCAGAATGAAATGGCTCAAAAGATTTCTAACAGATTTACTGCAGAAAGCAGTTTGTTAATTATTGAGGACTACTACTGTCAAATATTTTTTGTTATTCATTTCATAGAGGAAAGGAGTGTTGTAAGCAGCTTTTTATATTATTTGTTTATATTTTGTAAACAAAAAAATCTTCATTTTCGGTAAAATTGTTGAGAGATTCAGAGTACAAATAAGTTAAACTCAGTGTTGCTGTCGAAATAAATTTTATTAAAGAAATTTCAGACTTACAATCTTGCTTCTTGATTAAGCAAGTATAAAAAAACCTGACATGTTCTTTCAGTTTTGCTCTAAAATTAACAAATGAATCGTCTGTCTGTTTGCCCTTGGTTCTGAGAAAATTGTCTGCCTCCTCTCCTGCTGCTCACGAAGCGACCCGTACTTCCTCCTCTTGGGCTCGAAAAACCTTGTCTGTCCCATCCTTGGTATCTGACGCTCCTCTTCTTGAGCTCATTACGAATTATGTATGTATTTCCACACGCATAATTCCATTGACCACCCTGAATAAGCTCCAGTCCGTTCTGCCAGTTGTTAATATTTGCGATATGGCCCCTGTCGCCACCACCATGATCGGCAGCGTCTCGTCGCCGGTAGGCTGATTCACCTGGGCATCTACATTAATTCCTAAAAGATGATGATGAAACAACAAATTGAATTGTTTTAAAAAGTGTCTTTGTCATTATAATTTAGATTTGAGAATTCAACGATGATTTAGTACTTAGAATATTCCATGAAATTGAGAAAACGTGTCTAAAGAAACTATTCCTTAATCGTGAAGTATTTTTATGTTTTCTTAAATATGTTCAAGTCAGAATAAAAGATATAAAAAAAAATCCGTTACGTTTTGTGTGAAAAATATATTTAATTTATTTTTGATTAAAAGAAACATGAAGTAGGACAAAGTCAATGTAATGTTATTTGTACTAGTTACACCTTTATAAAGAAAGGAATCTCTTAAGGTATAACTTATTACACATACATTTGTTGTACTTGTCAACGTAAGAAAAAGTAATTTTGTAATTTAAGTTACAGTTCTATTTCTCTTGTGTTTATTAATGTCTTTTTTGAAATATTAAGACGATATGACTTTAAAAACATATTTGACTTTAAAACTGATTTACATTTCGAAAAACTCTTAATGGCTAAATTACTATCAATTCATTAAGTAAAGATTTGCATTTGTATACAAAAGTAAAAAGAATAAAAAAAATAAAATGTGTGTATTAATTTCAATTTTTTTCAAACTATGAAATACAAAGGATATTTTACCTGCTTCTGCTTGTGATCTGTAATAATGTGTTGAAGTATTAATGGCTTCAGTGTAGGCAGGTAATCCAAGTGGTCTCCAGTCGTCTATCAATCCATTATGTCGCAAACTATAGTAAACGTTTAGGAGACCCTTTTCCGAAAAATATGTCCGGAAGTACTCGTGTTCAGCACCCAAGAGTCGCCTTTTTTCTCTATGTCTGCAATATGAATAACTTAGGAATTATTTTCACTAAAATAATGGAATTTAAAAAATTCTATAATTCAGATCACACTTCGTGAAGTGTTGGACTTTTAAAACTTAATATGGTGCATATTGCTGTATACAATTGACGATATCATAAAAGTAAAAATATAGTTGTGACTCATCAAAATTTCAAATTAATCTATCACTTATTTCGGCCCACAATACAATGTATATTGCGCATGCAGTAACCGGGCCTGTTTAGATAGCATGAACTTCGTGAATTCCAATACTTTCTATTTCCGTTATGGAAGAGTTATAGTTTTTAGTGCACTCTTTTGTAAAAAAAAAATTGAACAAATCTTGCAGGTTTTCTGTGGCAAACGTAATATAATCATGTAAACAATATGTTGAAAGTCGATGAAAAAATGCTGACAAAACGAACATTAAACATTCTATTTTAGTAGACTCAACAGGCATGGAGAGTAGAAAGACAACGATTTCAATTTACATGTAGATGTGTTGTTGATCGTAGGTATCTGTTTATCGGATGAGATCTAAATTGGATTTTAATTTAAATTTAAATTGGATCAAGGTTTACATGTTGTATTATATCCACAACATCATGCTGCCCCAGTCAGACGACCAAATGTGCCTTTAATTTGAATAGTTCCGGTAATGCAAATCAAACGTATAATGGAGAGACCTCAAATGTGAGTCTATACAGATCAATATTCAATACAATATGTAGACTTTGCCATCCGACCACACTTTAATGTGCGTGAAAGATGTTTATTACTAGAGTGATTTTCTGTACACAAAATATTTCTTGAAGAAGTTTGCAAATATGACTAATAATTACTAAATATTTGACAAATTTGCTCCTGGAATCCAATTCCTTCTTTATCAAAGAATAAAAGTGAACCCATGACCAAACTTAGCATATGTTTATTTATTAGAAAGGGGATTGCTGTTGTGTAGATGGTTGCTCTGCATCCACAAAAGCATATAGCAATTTCCGTCCAAAATGGTATTTAATTTTGATAATCAATACAGCCCATGACTATATGTATTTTATCCGATCTAATAACTCGTTTCAAAGTTAAACTGAATTAATCTATTCTAAATTATTTCACTGTATTCAACGAATGTATTAAAATTCTGAATGAAACACTGATTTTATACCATTTCCTACTTCTCCCTGTTTTAGCAAGCATATTGGAAATAATAAGTTATGTTTCATTGACAAGAAAAATAGATTAATTTGCAAAATTGAAAATGTCAGTGTACTTAGTATCAAAAAAGCTGTCATATTCTAAAACCTAACCTGTATCTACTTAGCAAACATTATAAGTATAAAACCTTATTTTTGGATATGAATCATATGTCACCTTTTCAAATTTTGGTTATGGAAGGGACTTGTAATCACGCCATTGTCCTCAGTGGCCTTCTCTGAACGTGATGTTCCTTAGTAAAAAAATGAAGAAATCGTAATCAAGAAACATCAAAAGTAATGCTAAAGAACCAATAGAATAACACTCTCTTTTTGTATTGGAAGCTGCAAATATCTTCTGCATAATAAGAATGATTTTTTGAATATTCTTCACAGGGATGGGGTAATTGAAAAAGGTGATTGCAATCGACTAATATCAATTACATTTTTAAAAAAATTGGAAGTAATTTGTAATTGAACATTTTTTAATTACTTTTACTTTAATTGACTAAATACTGAAAAAACCCATGTAATTTCAATCATTTTAAAACTACATTTCCGTTAACTTCAAAATACATTTTTATGATATTATTTCTTCTTAACATCCTCATTTTATGGTTATTATATCGTAAATCATTCTAAAATATTCCGTTATATAAACATTATATTTACTTGTGTATTATTATAATAATATATTTAAATATATATTCACTGATTAAACAATAATAATCTGAATTTTAGAATATTTATTTTCATCCTAATGTGAATTTTTGTTTTAAAATGCTTTTTTTAATCTTAATTTTAATTCTAGTCTTCTATTCAGCCATGACACTTTCCATTCTTTTATGTTTTTATCAGTAATAGTAAAGGATAGGAACGTGCATGTGTCACTAATTAAAAATATATCGTCTTGGCCATAGATATCCCTTAAATCTCACAGCTGTTTATTTCGAAATAGCAATTAAAAAAAAAAAAAAAAAAAAAAAAACACACACACACACCCTAACACACACAAAAATAAGCAATGTCTAAAGTAATCTGAATTTATTTGAACAGTGGCTTCTTTTATTCAATGACAGTCTGTATATTAATGCACAAGGGTTATAAAAATTTACAAAAAATAAACAATGAATAATAAATCAATAAATAAAATGTGATTTTTTTCAAAGTAATCGTAATTTAATTCATTGCATATCTTTTAAAGCATGTAATTTAATTGTAATTTGAAAAAGGGAAATATCAAACTGACTTTACATTAATAAATTACTTTTCAAAGTAATTTGCTACATTTGTAGTACCCAGGACTATATATTTTCTATCATAATAAAACTTTTCAACGGCACTTCTTGATGAATGGTATTTTTAAAACTCTTGTATTCAATACCCATAGAGTTACATGTAGGAAATTTAGATAACTTTAAAGTTATTAAGGAGGCTGAGGGGTCAACAAATTAATAACAAATTAACCACCAGATTTAACTTATTTTTAAGATAAGGTATCTTAAGGTGATAACTATCATTTGGCAAAGAAAAAATTTATACATTTTATTTTTAAAATTTGATCATTTTTGTATATCTTTATATGGAGCTCTTCTTCTAAAGGAGATCGAAATAGTCTGAAAATGGTTGCCACCCCCAGCCTCTTTAAAATACTGAAAGTGCATGTACTTTTCCATCAAACATGGGCTAAAGAACCATAAGTTATTAGATTTAGATATAACATGATAATAAAATAATATAACTTTTGTCTCGCATAATTCAATGTATATATCAGTTTTAACTATCAACTTCAAAGAATGGATATATGTCTAGTGTTCAACATTGAAACAACTTTGTTTCTACATTAATTTCATATTTTTTCTTACTATCAATAAAGTAAAAAATATCAACTTAAAATGAAAAAGAAATGAAATCACTGGTTTATATTCATGAATATTAACAATTACATGTAAGGTATTTTCAGGCATCTTATGATCTGGCAACACCTTGAAGGTATAGAATTTAATATATCACAAAACCATCTTATTGCAAGATTTTCCCATTTTAATTGAATAATAATTTATTATGCGATTATATAATACGCGCGATTATTCGTTCAGACTTATTTTATACACCTAAAAGTTTATTTGAAAAAATGAAATTTATGCATTAATGAATTTGAAAAAAAAACCCGCTTAAAAGGTAGAATCTGGTTAAATTTCGAAACTTTGCAAAACAGTCTCTGAGCTATGTCCTATTTCTGTAAGTATTTCATAAATAAGATAAACCTAAATAAACAATGTAAACAAAACGTAAACGTAGGCATAAATCCAATATTAAGGTATGGTAAATTTAAGGGTTAAATAGATTAATTTTCATCTTTCCTAGATTTTAATTACTGTTTGAGCAAATGTATTTTTCTTACCTTCATTTATTATGAAAATCAACAATACCAGAAGAAAGGGCTTCCAATGCATTATTAGTTAATCTACAAATAATTGTTTGAAAGGAATATAATTTACATGTTTTGCAGAAGGTCCCTTTTGATATGTAACAATTAATCAAAAGTTTGAGAAATTTTCAGTGACCATTTTAAATATTTTTTAAACTAGAAATAATTAAATTTGTTTTAAAAAGATTCAAGAGCTACAATAATTTTATTGCAAGAGAATATTTACTTGAAACTTAATAAAAAAATGCAGTTCATTAGATTTTAAATTTAATCACAAAGTTAAATGTAGTCGCTCTTCACTAAAAAAAATCTTACCTTAATTGAGAATCTTGACAATGCAATGCTAATTTTTGCAGAATTAGCATTGATATTTATAGACGTTTTCTTAAGTAGTTGGAAAACACAGTGACGCAAAATACTTTGGAGTAATTCACACATATTAGTTTACCCCTCACGAATGAAGTCTTTTGGGAAATGAAGCACTTTGAGCCATCTTACAAGTACTGGAATCCACAACCTTGTGACAATTAGAAACAAGCATCAAGAATGTCAAAATCTTTTAGGATTCATTAGAAAAGGTCAAGTCTCAGATTTAATTTTATTACGCAGATTCATATGTAATAATAAATGACGAGAAAAACATATGCAAATTTTTAAAAAAAGATTTTACGCCGAAATCATGAGGAGAGAATTTAAACTTTTTAAAATTTGAATCAATATTGCTTTTTAAGAACTGCAAAATTAAAAATGAGTTATTTACACCTTAAGTTACCATTTATTATTTACACTGTTAATGTAGATTTCATTTTAATTTAATCTCTTTGCTACTCTTTCCTACCTAAAACATCTCTCACCGGGAAACCATGAGATGTCAAGAAATAAGATTTTTATTAAATACATCTGCTTCATTAGAGTAAATAAAAATTACAAGAATCGTGTGATATTACAAGTCTATAAATACAGGCAGCCATTGTATCTTAATTTCCTAAAATTGAAGCTAGTGGGGGAAGACTTACATTAATAGACACGATTTTCGTAATAAATGCAGTCATATTTCTTAAAATCTTGTAATGACCTTACTTTACAATAACCTATTTTTATGTAGTATTTTTCTGACGTGTTTCAAACCAATTTTAAGGCTCTTTTTAATACTTTTTAAAATATATTAAAAATATTTCTAATATAATCTCTTCTACAAAATAAATATCAATTCAACATAATTGAATGTCATTCCTAATTGTTGATTTTTAGGGGGCCAAAATTGGCTCTTATCATATATAGTCCTTTACTTCGGAATATTCCGACAGTCTGATCAATACATAGATGTACAAGTACAACTCATCATGTGTTTAAAACCATTAATTGAAGAATTTATATATAGAAATTTTACAAGAAGATTTGCTTTCTCTTCCTAGACATCAGATCTAAACTCTGGAATTTCCTGGGTTGTGTTTTATGCCATGTCCGGAGATTTGTATTGATTTTAGTTTTTTTATGAGATCGATCCCTGTTCGTTGTCCCTAACTTTTTATAATACAGAACAATTTTTTTTTATCCCATTTTAAAGCAGGATACGCTTAAAGTTATCTCAGTGGATATATATGAAATGATAATGTACCTAAATAAAGGGGTTTGGTTTTCTTTATGTGTCTTCGATTGACATGGAGTAATGAGTGCCCTGTGTTTCAATTAACGAACCGATATTGGAATTCAAACAAGAGGCATTATAATTGCTACGTGAACTTAAAATCAAAACATTTTTTTTTACATTATTTGGCTTTTCCCTTTTCCCCCTCCAACTGTATATGCTATGGAAATTTCATAAAGAAAGCAGGTAAAAATAGCTATTATTGTATTACGAATGATCACTGTTGCCAGCATGGCGCATTGGTTAGAGGGTCTGCTCTACGGTCGCAAAGTAAGGAGTTGATGCTTAAGTCGCATGTTCGATTCCCACTGTGGGACGTGGAGACCGGTCCGTCGGATGAGACAGTATAAACCGAGGCCCCCTGTCGCAGTAGATGTTTGAACGAAAAAGATCCCCCACTGCTTAATATATAGCCCTTAGTGCCGAGTATAGAACGAAATTTGTATCTCTCCACTGACAAGTGGTGGCATCTCCATATGAATGGAAAATATCGTAAGAGACGTTAAACAACATACAACCAACTAACGAATGATTACTAAAGGAAGGACAGAAATAGTGTTTTTGCCTCTCTATGGAGGATGGAGTGGGGTAGGATGTGTTACCTTATGTATAACGTGTTTAAATAAGGTCACCTAGTTAAAATACTAGGCAAATCAAAATGGATGAAGAAAATATGGAAAACTGTTCCATTTAAAGCCATATGAGCTGCACTTTTGAGACTTTAATTTTGCTTTTAAAATGTTTTGTAACGATAAATGAGATTAATTTGTATATAATTTAAATCTTTATGATGATTTGGACTAAAAGAAAGTATTAGATTGTTTCAGAGAAATTATTGTTGTGCAACTGAACATATAGTACATGTAATATATAAGAAATCAGTATTGCACAGGGCGACAATATTGTAGTTTTGTTTCAATCTAAGCACATAAATAGTTCTTCCATCGCAAATATGAACGACAGAAGTTTATAAATGTTCTAATTCTCTATTATTTCAATAGTTAATAAATTATAATTGTTCAATAAAAATTTCCGATATCAAAGTTGCAGCTCACGTTGCTTTAATCAATTCAAATTAGAAACAGAACAAACACAAAACTCTGAAAACATCAGATGTGTGCCCAGATGCTACAAGCAGCCCCTGTCAACTGGTCACACCCGCATTCTACTCCTTATAATGATTGGGCAACCGGAAAATTATGTGCGTAAATATGGCCTACCAACGTCAATCAGCATTTTACTTAATAACAGACTGTATTTTGAAACAATGTCATTGCGAAATAATAACTTTATACGTGACCGGTGATACTTCAGACGCCCTCGATCTTGGGGAACAAATATTCCAATGTTTTAAATTGATCTGGATATATATAAGGAATATAAAGAGCTAGACTCTCTGAAAATTCTAAATGAATTATTTTGTTACTTTCAACTGAGAAGAATTTTAACTTGTAATGATAAATTATTTGTTTTATTTTCATTATTTTCAGCCGGTACCTCTTAAATAAATAACCGTACCTTGAAAAATAATAACTTTCGCTCACTATTGTTTGAAAACACGATAAACAAATACAATAAGATAAAGATAGTCACCAATTTTGTCTAGAACTGAAAAAGCAAAATTGTTTACAATACTAAATATATTTGTAAGTTCCTTTTAGGCAAGCTTTCTTGCATTGTTGTTGATGTAAAAGTGCCATTTTATACGAAAAAAAAAAACGTATTGATTGTTAACTTTTATTACAGTATGAAGTCTGAACATACCAAGTGAAGTATGGTTGCTTAATCAGAATATGCATTTTTGATAGGTATTAAGTATTTACTTATTTAGACATCGCTGTATGGTAACACAGATCTTTCTTTATCGATGATGCCTCCCAGAACAACATTCGGCATACTTCCAACCACGAATGCACGAAGGGTTTTGTAAAAGCAAAAATTAGAAATAAGGCAATTGAAAAAAAATTATGGCGTAGATTTATAAAGAACCTATGTCATGTCTAAATTGAACTTCATGTATTTTTCAAGGAACATACATGTATTACGGATGTAGAATTAATTTGTAACATGCAGTAATACGTATATAGGTTTAATGAACATGTGCTAAACATTTCAGGTACCGGTAAAACTGATAATGTGAAACAAGACGTTCTTTAAATTGCACACATTCACCTCTTTTTCTTGTCGGAAAAACCCAAAAATTTACATTTTAGCCTATTTTGAAACAATTCAAGATGGGGTTCAAATTTAGGTATTTTTTTTTCACAATAGGAGATCCTTTCACCTCTACCGGAAGTTACACGGAGTGCGCAGACAGGATGAAATTTACAACCAAAGACCGTGACAACGATTTCGGTAGTGCTCACAATTGTGATTACTCAGTGGCGGGGACGGTGGCATAACGCGTGTCAAATCTGAATGGTCAGTTTGGACAATCCAGTTATCTACATGGGTTTACTAGTAACTGATATGAATATGCGGGCTTTTCTCTTGTTAAAATGAAAATTCGGAAATCTACGACTACCTTGAATTGACATAGCGAGAAAATAATTAAATACGAACTCAAGTTTTTTTTTTTTAAATTATGATTAAGAATGCAAATTAAATTAAAAAAAGTAAATGAAACATTATTGTCTGTGAAATAACTGGAAGATTAATAATTTTTTCTGCCGAATATTATCAATGGAAAGATTATTCTAATTTACGGTGGGTCAAATCAATAACATCCCCATGAAAATATACGGCTCCCACCAGAATTTAATATTACAGTAACTCTACTAACTTCCAGCTCCTGTAGATTTATCAATGACAAAGTAACTCATATTTTTTTGGTATCCTAAGTTATAATGAGGAATGCATCAGTCCTTGTGCATCAAGTTGACATGTTACCGAATTTAATAAAGAATGGGTTGACTTAAATGGCCAGAAAAAATGCAACAAATTTAAGTTTCACAAAATGTTTATTTTTTTTTTCATCATATAAACCCCTGATGTCTTAACTATGTATTTATTGTACGGATGTGAATTTAAAACGCTTTTTTTTAGGTAAACTAAATAAATATCGAAGGCATGGTGCCGGAAGATTTCTTGAATATCAATAGATAATCAGTGTCACGCGTTTTTCATCGTCTGAATACATAGTCAGCACATGTTTGTCGGCTGTTCTTAAGAAAGTTGTTGTTTATTGAACAAAATAATATTATATTAAAAGGAGAAGAGCCGACAAACGTGTGCTCACAATTAATTTAACAAAAAACATGTTCGAAAGAAACTTCTCGCTTTCATTGTTATGTCTTCGATTGACCTGTTTAATACTAAAATTCATCACGTGATGTCCACCTGCAAGTGCACTCGTGAAAATAGTTACACTGTATTCTTTAACCTGACCTCGATCTAAATTATGTCTTTGAGCGTGGTTTGTTGCCGTTTTCAGAATTTAGCAAAATAAATATTGTTTTAATTTTGTGTGTCATCACATTTTTAAAATAATAATATTGCTGTAATATGCTAAACACGTATTCAAATTTCTGGAGAGATAGATAGAGAGAGAGAGAGAGAGATGTCAACAATGACGCCCATCGATAGCCCTGCCTCCTATAAATATTGATCGTGTGACATAAAAACCACTCCGGGTACATGTCGAATTCCGGAAGACGATACTCATGTATCGTTGCTTCAATTTCAATACATGACAACATGGCATTGTTTTTCCACAAATGTTCCACCTAATATAACCAAGTATATATATGTAAGACTCTAAAGTGCGATGGTGACGCCAAAGTCCGATGGTCTCGCCAAACTCCGATGGCCTGCGCCAAATCCCGATGGCTCGCTGTCTTACGGACCCCAAAGTCCGATGGTCACGCCAAAGTCCGATGGCTCGTTTCCTATGAGACACGCGACCTTAAAATGTGATGGTCTGACACGCCAAAGTTCGATGGTGCGAACGAACAATCAACGTTTATGATAATACGTTTATAACAATAGTCTGACGTCATGACGTTGTCCTGCATTCAAAATCCATCGATTTAGTATTTGTCCCGCTTACAATTTTACTGATTTTGCTTATTGTTTTTGCCCACCAGAGCTATTAGGGTAAGTCCTTGTACACCATTCGATTGATTGGGTTAATTCTTGAACACCAATGTGTTTCAAGAAATTTTATGGTTAGTCCTCGCACACTATTGGACTGATTTAGATTCGCCATGCACCCATCCAAGATCTTATGGTTGTTACACATTTTTCGACTGATAAGTGTTAGTCTCGCACCTATATCCAAAAGATTAGGGTTAGTCTTTGCATTTAATATTCATTTGTATTTATTTTTAACAATCGGGCCGTGGCATGGCGCGGCATCGCATTTTTGCAAAGTAGTACTATGACGTCATAAACGTTGTTTTCTGCACCATCGGACTTTGACGTGTCAAACCATCGGGATTTGGCGCAAACCATCGGACTTTGGCGTGGCCATCGGACTTTGGAGTCCCATAGCACTTTGGAGTCCTACATATATATGTAGCTCTTTTCGTAGCCCGTAATATATATTGGATTCACTTCATTTACAGCTTGGTAGAGGAGTCTCAAAAAGATCCAAAATAGGGCGTTAAGTCCACCCATTCTTTGTCTTATTCCCTGAAAGGTTATTACACGGTATTACAGGTATACATGAACATGTAACAACGATTTCTATGTGAATTTTATATTTCACATATTTAATTAAATATAAACCATCGAGCCCTACAACCCCCCCCCCCAAAAAAAAAAAAAAATAAAAAAAAAAAACGGAGTTATGTTGAATGGATCAAAAGGTCATTTATAAGGTATCAGACCAATATAAGTCTTTGGAAAGAAGTTATAACTATTTTGAAATTATTTATAAAAAATAAATACCAGGGATTTCGATAAATGTTGTTTTGGAAATAAATATTTAAGGTGGAATGCCATACTAACTTTTTATTTTATAGATCTTTGAGCCATCCTTTTTAAACAATGGTTTCAGCATTGAAAGGCCGATATTAGCTCTTAATTACACTGTATTTTATATGATTTTTTTGGTATTTTTTCAAAGAAAGTGAAAAAAAATATTTATATCCAAATAAGTTGTTTTCTAGTTAAAAGTTTGCTGTAAATGAATGCATCATATGAATTTCTAATAAAATATGTAAAGAAAGACTGGTAAGACTTTTTAATTTGTTTTTATAAAAAATTATTTATGAAAATAAAACACATTATATGTGAATATTGTTAAAACCTATGGTTAAAAACACCATAAAACTAGTCACAACTGAGGACAACATGTTTGTCAATCATATTTTAAAAAGAAATTTAATCTAAATTGAGAAATTTTACAGAAATTAATTTTTTTAATATTTGGACGTAACCGAATCAAAATTAAACTGATCCCGATCAAAATTAACACAAAGTGAATAAAATGCTAATTTATTGCCTCTCCATGTATTTGCAATGAAGAAATCTATTTTCTTGTCAAGTTCAATAATGTTTTAACCCTTATAACACCTAATCAGACAAGTGCTTTCGGGAAAATGTTATTTATTTCCAATAATTGTACATTGTTATGGTTGGGATAGGTTAAATTTTGATCGGGATTGGCCAAAATTAAAAAAATTAATTTCTCTAAAATTTGGCCATCTCGTTTCAATTTCTTTCATAAATATGATTAATGAACATGTTCTCCCCAGTTGTGAATGGTTTTAAGAAGATTTTAACCACAAGTTTAAAAAATATTCACAAATTATATGTTTTATTTTCATAAATATTTTTTTATTTAAATTTTTTTAATATCTTTACGGCTTTTCTTTACATATTTCATTAGATATTCATGTTATACATTCCTTTTACAGCAAAATTTTTACAACAAAGCATCTAATTTGGATGTAAATATTTTTTTTCATTTTCTTTGACAAAATACAAAAAAATTCATATAAAATAATTGAGAGCTAATGTCGGCCTTTCAATGCTGAAAACATTGTTTAAAAAGGTTGACTCAGAGATCTATAAAATAAAAAGTTTGTATGGCATTCCTCCTTAATAAAAGGAATAAAAAAATCTGAAAACTATTTTTGGTATCAAGATTAGTTTTGAGAATTAATTTGTATTGAATAAAATCAAAGAGGATATCTCCAAGGTCAGGAGAAAGTATAATAAATTAGGACATCTCCAAGTCTTACACACTGATACTAAAATATGATATTTTTGGCTAAATATACTGAGTGTTGGGCCCATATATATTCATTATGCATTCTATTCCATTGAATCTGAGTCCCATTCGGATCGGATACCTTCAGTCTACAAAATTGTAATCAAACCGTCAGATTTAATTTGACTCGGAAGATTACATATTCTGCAATCTGTAGTTTGGTTCATAATTTCAATTGTAAAAGACGATAATTGTCAATTGTTGAATATTTTGAATTCAAGAGGGAAAATCGTTTTTAAATGTTGCTTGTTTATATTCTCCAACACTAAAATCAGTTGTGATAGTAAAAAAAAAAAGATTTTAGTACAAAGAAATAACTCAGCGTTGCTGTCAGAATGAATTTTATTTTTGAAATTTCTGATTACATATCTTTTGCCGTTTAATCAATAAGGAACTGTGACAGTTTCTTTCAATCTTGCTTTAAAATCAACAGACCAACAGTCTACCAGTTCGTCCTCGGCTCTGAGGATATCGTCTTCTTCCACCCCTGTTGCCTTGGAGACGACCCCTGCTTCCTCCTCTACGACTAGAAAAACGTCGTCTGTTCCACCCTCGATACCTAACGCTCCTCTTTTTGAGTTCATCGTGAATTGTGTAGATGCGACGACACTCATTATATCGCTCTTGACCACCCCGAATTCGTTCCAGCCCGCTCTGCCAGTTGATAATAGTTGCGTTATGGCGCTCGTCGCCACCACCATGATCCCTAGCGTCTTGCCGCCGGTAGGCTAGGATGCCTTCGATGCGATTTACTTGGGCATTTACATTAACTCCTAAATGATAATAAAACAACAAAATGAAGTTTAAAAAAGTGCACTTATCAAGCTAATTCGTGGATTTGAGCATTCAAAAATGATTCAGTTCCTCAATTAATCAATTTAAATAGAGAAAACAATCAAGTCTAAAGGAATTACTTCTCTTTATGTTTAGGTCAGGATAAAGGTTAAACTATGTTACGCAATGTTTGTAGTAAAAATGATATTGATTCATTTTGGCATAAAAAATACATAAATTAGGACTGATTTAGTGTAATGGCAGTTGCACTCTTGTTTAATAAAGGGATCTTTGTGTATAATTAATACAATAATTATTTGTCAACGTAAAGAAAGAATTTTTTAAATTAATGTTAGAATTTTATACACATGTATCTCTTATATTTATTAATATCTTTTTTGAAATCTGAAAACGATATGATTTTATACACATATTAAATTTTGCAACTGATTTGCTTTCCTGAAAACTCTAGTGGCCAAATTGCTATTAATTCATTAAGTAAATACATGTTTTTGCATATGTATATCAAAGTAAAGAAAAGACAAAATAAACCGTGTCTCTTTTACAACAACTGTTAAAAACTATCAAATGGAAAGGTTTTCACCTGCTTCTGCTCGAGACATGTAGTATTCTGTGGAAGTTTGAATGGCGTTACTGTAGGAAGTTACTCCTAGTGGTCTCCAGTCGTCTATTAATCCATTGCGTCGCAACCTATTGTAAACGCTCAGAAGACCCTTTTCTGAAAAATATGTCCTGAAGTACTGGTGCTCAGCTCCCAAAATGCGCCTTTTTTCTCTATGCCTGCAATATTAGTTTTTTAGAATCGAACTTATTTTTTTTAAGTGAAATTTAGAAATTCTTATTGAGATCACAAATAGCGATCACATCAAGTGAAATGTTGGTATTCTAAGACGTGATAAGGTGCATATTGTTGATGATATTTTTTGAACATGGTTCATGTACCAAAAATAAACAGCTAAAATTTAAAAAATATCTATGGGTCCGCTTTATTGTAAATTTTTAAACAGATTAAGCAATGTTTGTTTGCAAAAAACAAATAGCATATTCTTATTAACAACCCTTATATCTTCAATGATTTTTAGATGTAAACAACGGATGTGTATTAGTGCCCTTGGCTTTTCCAAATTTGAAATTTGTAGTTCGACTGAAATCTTGGTTTCAACTGTAATGTTTTAAATTTTCAACTTTTATCTTGGCTTTTCCAGCTTTAAAGTAGTTAATGCCAACATTTAAGTTTGTCAATCCAACTTTAAAATTTGCAATTTCAACTTCGATTTTCCAATTTTATTGGTGGAAATTCCAAAATTAATTTATCTCGACTTGGCGTTAAACAATAATAATTAATCAATGTTGGCTTTGCCAACTTTTAAATGAGTAATTTCAGCTTTAATTTAGACTTTTTCAACTTTATATTTGGTAATTCCTACTTTTATCGGAGGGGGGGGGGTTCAAAATTAAATTTGGTAATTCCAATCTTGATTTTTCATTTTACGTCTTTATGTTTCATTTTCAGATACTTTGTAGCTGAACTCGCGTTGCCATTTTAATTATATAGATACAATTAGAATTGAAAAATACTATTTATCTACAAAATTGTGAAGAAAGAAAGAATAGTTACTTTCATTGTTTTACACACGCAGAATTGATACAGTAAGTTCTGTTGTATGTTTAGCATGTACATATTGTTTGCTTCAAGCTATATATCAAATACCTAATAATGATCTCATTTAATTACAAAATAATATTTTTGATACAAAATAGAATATATGCCTGGAATTTTAACTATGTTCAGTTGAAAGCTTATAGTGTACGGAGTTTTAAGAAGTTATTATCTATATAATCAAATGAGATGGACCAAAGGAAGATACATGTAATTTAATGTTTTAAATTATATGTCAGATCCTAGCGGAGGTCAAGTGAAAAGAACGAAACCTGACACAGATTAAAAAAAATGCTAACCGATTTATTTGATGTATTTATTCTTCTTTTATAAAGTTTCTTTATAATTTAAAATAAATGAAAACAATAAAAGGAATGCCTAGAAAAGTTCATAAATAATTTTAGAAAAGACAACTTGAAAGTTGGAAATTCCAATATTAAATTAGGAAAAACAGAGATAAAAGTTGAAATTACCAAGATTAAAGTTTGAAAAATCACTTTAAATTTGTTAAAAGTATTCAAAATAGCCATTTTTAGAGTAAGAATTACCAACTGTATTAAAACAAATATATTATGTGGCACTAATTAGCTTCCGTAATAAATTTAATATAATTTTATCACCTTTCAATCCTTTGGCTATCAAGGACACCCGTAAACACTCCATTATCACCAGCATTTTTTTCTGAGAGCGATGTTCCTAGAAAAGAGATATAATATTGTAATTAAGAAACATCTAAATTAATGCTAAAGAATAAAAAGATGGCATTTTAATATTGTCTTAGTATTGGAACCTTTCACCTGCCTAAAACGTTAAAAAAGGCAATCATAAAAAAAAAATCCATTTAAAATAGTTGAAAAGTCAGCTTTGTACCTGACTTCTAATTGAAATGTCCTTCAGTGAAAGTCATCTTAAACTGAATACATGTAAGAGAAATGAATATTAAAAAAAATATATCTTGTTTTGGTAATGTATAATTCAAAAATACTTCTGTTCGGATCGTCTTTTAAGAATCTTTTCCCTAATATCCAAAGAGTATGATATTTAAATGATTTTAATTTTAGATAAGAGTTTAATAATTCAAATACGTCAAGTATTATTTCAAAAAGCTAAGTACATATTTATATGTATGTACGAAGACAATATCAATTGTGTCGACATTATTCAACATGCCAGTTTTTACCATCAACTAAAAAAAATTGCTATTTTATTTGGAATCAAACTTGTTTCCACTTAATTTACGTTTCTTCTGGTAATCACCTCTAATATAATTTTCAAGAAAGTTTAAAATTTAGGATCAAATTTTAATTAAAAAACATTGTAATAATTAATTTTACCAGTGGTTTACGTTCATGAATAATGAAACACAGGTTTGGTTATTTATATTATTTTCTTTTTCTTTGACATTAATCGGAAAGTATATATTTTAGTCAAAATTTGTCTTCATTAACAATTTCATTTTGATAAAAAATGTATACTTGTCAATGCATTAAACCTGTTTTAAAAGTGTATAATAAATAAAAAATATACATATTAAGTGAATTGATATTTTAAATTTAGAAAGAAATACAAATAGTTACTTGCAATTTTATCAGTAGTATATCATATAGAGGAAAACCTATTGCCACTGAAGAAAAAAATATTAGAGAATGGCGAAATAAGGGCTTATTAAGAAAAATACCACACCAAAATTTTATTTTACATATTTTTTTTAGACGTTCCTATTGCGTTATGGTTTTAAAATTGAGGTTCAACTTTTAAATATTTAACATGCTTTTTTCAGCATTTTTTTCATAGAATATAAAATAATATGTTTTGTTCGACCCCCCCCCCCCCCCCCCCCCCCCCCCCAAAAAAAAAAAAAATGAGAAGTAAAAAATACTGCCAATGTATGCACCGAACGAATATCGATTTAAATATAGAAAGAAATGTTATATAGACAATTTAATTTTTTTTACTTGAAATTATTATTGAGAATAAAACTTATAGTTTTTATAATTTTTTAAACCTGTGTTCAAAAACTTTATCATACTACACGCAACTGGAGAGAATATGTTAGTCAATCATATTTACAACAATGTGAAAAAAAACTTGAATGGAATTGTTTTTTTTTTAATTTTAGCCCATCCCGATCGAAATTAAACTGATCATATCCAGAATTGTATAATTATTGGAAACAGATAACTTTGTCAACAGAATGCTTGTTTAATGATGTGAAATACAAGAATAAATACTTATATCTTGATGAAAATACATGTAAAAGACAATAATTATTAATTCATTCAATTTGTGTTAATTCTAATTAGACCGGGATTGATTTAAGTTTGATCAGGATTGGTTCAACTTAAAACAAATATTTTCCCTGAAATCTTGCAATTTCATTTTCTTTTACAAATATGATTGACTGTTTAACTCAGACTCATTTTCAGAAAAACAATTAACCATAGGTTTAAAAAATATTCACAAATAATGTTTTTTTAAACAAATTTGTTTTCTATTAAATAAAACAATACATTTTGTTGACATATTTTATTAAACATTTATATCATTTATTTATTAACAGTTACTATTAAAACTTAATCCATCTTATTTTCAAATAAAATGACGTCACTTTCCTTAAAATTAATTAAAAAAAATGATGAAAAATAAATAAATTAAGAGCTTATAGTGGACTTTCGATTCTGAAACCCTAATATAAAAGAGACGTTTTAAAGATCCATAACATAAAATTCTGATCGATGTGCCCATTCCTCCAGAGATAGTTATAATACCATTTTGTCTAAAAATTTTTAAAAATAACTGTTGGTTAAAGTATTTTGAATGCATTTTCTTACCTTCATTTATTATAAAGATCACCAAAATCAGGAGAAAAGCCTGCCAATGCATTGTTAGTTTATCTACAAAATATTTTCAACGAACATAATTAACAGACATTGCAGGAAGTTTTGTAGAATATGCTAAAATTAATTATTAAGTTTAAAAAATTCTGCATTGAAAATTTCAACAATATTTTTTCAGAGAAAAGATTCAAGAGATGCTACGATTTTAATGCACGAGGATGTATACCTGATCTTTAAAAAACTTACCTCATTTGAGTCTTTTGACAATGGGATGCTGAAGTATGCAGAAATTACTTATATATTTATATACGTTTTTTGACTATTTCGAAATCACAGTGACGCAAAATACTTAGGTGTAATTGACACTTATCAGTGAAACCCTCGTGGTTTGAAATCTTTTCGGAAATAAGCACTTCGAGTCATCTTAAACAGCATCTTTGTTTACAAGTACTGAAATCCCTAAATTAGAAATGACAAATTAAATAAAGCACCAAAATATGTTTATCATAGGCAAGGCTTCATTAGAAATGGTGAAGACTCAACAATGTTATGGTTTGTTTTTATAGAACAAATTATAAGAATGGAAAGAGAAGAAAAATGTCAATGAATTTTACGGAGAAAGGTGTTGAGAGAGATTTTCCACATTTTTAATTTGAATCAATAAAGCTATTAAAGAAAAAAAAATTTGCTAATTGAAATTTTTTGCACTTTCAGAATATATAAATCATCATTTTAAATGTTTGCGACACTACATGACATCACTTATTTTTCTTGTTTAAATAAATAAAGCTCGGGAATTTAAGCATTCAATACGAAAAATAATATAACATCAAGTGCGACTCTTTTCTTCGCGTCACTGTGGAGCAATAATATTTTAGGCAATGAAAAGAGACAAATGAACTTAGTTTTAGATAAACCTTGTAATTTTCATACATGTTTATTTCTTCTATTAGAGAAATCAAATTCTAAGAACTATGTGATTTTATAAGTCTATAACTATTGGCAAGCGGCGTTTCTTGATTTGTTGAAAGGAAACTTTACACGTAAAACTTTGAATTCGATGAATAATTATACTTTTCTTGATAAATGCTGTTAAATTCTTTCTCAATTTAAAATAAAATCTTACAAGGACTTAATTTAGAAATAAAACCATAATAGTGCGTTGTGTCTTTTTCCTGACTTGTTAAATACCAATTGTAAGGCTCTTTTCATTGAATGAAGAATATGAAGATAACGAACAGTATTCAATCTCAAAGTCAATAAAACAATACAAAATAAGAGCAGAGCAAACACGAACCCTCGAAACATCAGAGATGGGATCAGGTGCCATGGAGGAGTGAGCATCCCCTGCTGACCGGTCACACCCGCCGAATGCTACTTGTCATGATCGTGAAATAACGAAAGAATCCGTTGCCAATTCTTTGTAGAAATAATGGACTAACAATTGGTATGAAAAACGTCACTTAGCATTGGACTCAACGACCGGTCACACCCGCCGTGTGCTTCTTGTCATGATCGGCAAATAACGAACATATCCGTCGTCAATTCAGTGTATAAATAATGGACCAACAATTAGTATAAAAAACGCCATGATGGTATATCCCCGTGTATTTTGAGGTCGCTCACTCTTCCTAGATACCTGCTGATCCAACCTCTGGATTTTCTCTGGGTTAATGTTTTGCGACCTGTTTAAAGGTTTGTATTGATTATATATATCAGGCTTGGGGCGAATTACATTGTAAAGTAATGCATTTCATTACCATTACTTCGGCAATTTGGGTATTAAGAAAAGGATTGCAAAGGTCTGTGGAAAATTCCGCCCAATGAATTTTTCTCATTTTTACATATAATGTGCCTTTTGTACCATTATATCCAAATATTAACCATGACATCAGAATGAAAAGGAAGTTATGGCTGCCATGGTAACCACCATTTTTAATCTTTTGATATTTCTGAGGTGAATGTTTTATTATGCCATACACGCAACAAAATTGAAACAAATTAAATAATTTCCTCCATATATTTTAATAATATGCTTTATATTTTTTGAAAATAAAAATTGTTTCGGAAACTATTGATAGATGTAGTAATGTCATTGTTTTATTTTTTTTTTTTTGGGGGGGGGGGAGTATTAATTGTAAATTAATTGTAAATTTGCAATAATATTTTCACCTCAATAGCAGTTTTTAACGTCTAAACAAAAAATTACCCAATGAAGGTTCCCAAAATTAAAATATGCTGTACTAGTCATTATAAGTGAATTAAGGTTAAAATATGAAGTAAGGTAATCAGATTTATTTTGCAGCTACACGCATTTCAGTTAACCCCCCTCCTTTCCTAGAATATTAAAGATTTCACGATTTTCATATGATGGTTTGTTGTTGGACCTTAAATATGTATAATCTGTTTAAATCTGTTTTAAGATAATAAAAATAATAAATGCCATATGTATAGATAAATGAATACTTTTTCTCTGAAAAGCTTGCAGTTGATTGTCATTTTATATGTGAAGCATAATGATTAACTTATCACCGACAGCGGTCACGAAAATAACTTTAATTTTTTTTCAAACTCAGTTTCTCATCTCCAAGACATCTATTTTGTTACTATGTCAGTCTAAATACATTACATATTCTAAAGCAGTGCAGTAGGCCTAATTCTTCATTCTTTGAAAACTCAACGATGTTTCTTCTTAGTGACCTAGAATCGGGGTCGGAGGGGGGGGGGGGTTCAGACATTTGAACACATTGAATAAAAAGAGGTTATTTCATAGAACTTGTATCTGCATTATAATTTTTGAAATATAAATATTTTTTTCTATAAATAATCTTATTTGGCAAATCAAAGTAATAAATTGTAAATATTTACATTTACAAATATATTTCCTTCCGATTCCTTGCAAGTAAAAGAACACTTCATTCTCTCCTGTACATGGATGAGCGCTATCTCCATTGTGATTTAAAATAATCGTTGATTGAAAGTTTTGTGTCGCTTCATGATTTATGCTGAAGTGAAACATCTATGTTCATGTCCTTGTGATTTTTCAAAAAATTAAATCAGTTTTTCAAATATATTTCCATAAGCATGATGAGTTCAAACATATCCTCCCTCTCTGGAAGTGTGTTGTGTTTCAATACGATGCATAAAATATTTTACAAAAATCGTTTACGCTCTATGTGCGACAATGATTTAATGTTTATATGGTCGATGTCACTGCTGAAAATGCTAAAGATCTTATAGTAGAAAACAAAATTCTCTGCAATATTTAAAAAAAATGTCCTCTAGGCATAAGTGGTCTTCACCGTAACACGTATATATCAAAATCGCTTTTGATATGAACCCCAATGAATGGAAAACTATTGCCGATGGACCCTCATCGCAATGGCAATTAAACCATATGCATTGTATCGATGCACTTTAATTGATGACAAACATGAAGCAGTTACTAAGAAAGTTTTAGGAAGTATTCCCAGCAATACTTTCAATCCCAGCTGATGAAAACAAAAAGGTCTCACTTTGTACTTTTAGGTGACCCTATTGCCTTGAAGATCTGGCTCATGAAACGATTTTCCAAAGTTCAAATTTTTAAGAGGAAGAGAAAATTGACAACTACCACTGTTCGGATGTCATGTCTGGAATTCTGGTTGACAGATAAATTTGTCCTGACTGCAATAAAACCGCTTAATAGTTATATTGTGCTGACCTGTATTTGCTTAGACATTCAGAGGAACCTTGAGTATCCGAAAGCACAGTACTTGTCCTTAATCATATCGAAGATCAAAACCTTTATTACTTACAAACAAGTTTACGAAAAAAAAAGTTCTCTAGTCAAAACAATGACCTTGTCAGAAATTTCAATCTATCATTAAGTTAAAAGCTGAATGACATTTTTTATACTAACTGTAAGACCAATATTTACACATCCAATTCTTGAAGGATTTTTTTCCGTTATTTCCCGATCAAATCAGAAAGCACACGGGGGCTGCTCACTCCACCTTGACAAATGATCCCACATCTAATATTTTATAATTAGGGGTCGGTGTTTGCTTTGCTCCCGGTTTGTATGTTTGAATGGACTTTTGAGACTGAAAACTGTTCATTATCTCCATTTCTTTCATCCGTTACATCATTTCTAGATTCTTGAAAGATTACCAATTTTGGTTAAGGTTTGGTTTGGTTTAGGCAAATGATACTATGTACTTAACAGTGGTTATAATTACTGCCTTCCGCTGGCCAGTTAAATCTAAACCGAGTATATACACCTGTATATATCAGGACCCTAGCTACTTCACTCAATTACAGGAAGAGTGTCTTGGCAACGTAACTTAATCTGAATAAATCACAAAAATTTTTAATGAAAACACATTGTAAATGATTTTATTGTGAAAGTGATTTGGCCGTAACCGTAGCTTAGCAATAACTAGTGAGACCTTCGCATTATAAGGTATCACAACCGGATACCGTGGCTGTACGTAACAGTATCCGTGGCGTGAATAGCATGGTCCTTAATGAAACCGTGTCCAAACCTTGTAGAACCCTTCAATAATCCTAAAACAACCGTTTCGTATGTTTTACGCGCCAAAAAATCGTTTTACCATTACGATATCATACGGTTTATAAAATCGGGGTGAACCGTTGCAATCCGTGTCTATTACCGTGACAGTGCGACCTAGGATAAAACTTTGCATTTTTACTTTCAAAAGCATGCATCCACCCCCTTCAATACTAAACCGATAAATGATAATTCAAATTTGATTTCAAGTAGTTGTATATATTACACTGACAATAACTTACATTTATATATTTTTAAATTGATCACTGTTTGTAATCTTCATCTTTTTTTTAGATTATGAAAAGAAGTTAATACATTACACGTTAAAATTTATTAAGAGAAGGATGTTATTCAACATTAACACATCTTTAAGGAAATGGGATTTCAGTGGACCTATACAAAACATAAAATTACCAAAACACAGGTATTGGTTTATGTAAGGAAGGATATGGAGATAACGAACAGTATTCAAATAAGAGCGGACCCCCGAAGTGTTTTAACGGCCGTGATTTACTGATTCATACTAGTGGCCTCTGTACTTAT